AGTTTTGGTATACACCACAAGGACTAATTTAACTGTTAACTCTTACCTACTACTAGTTCTTAAACCGGATGGGAAAGTAATATCCATTTAGAAATCCATCAACCATCAAAAATCCAGGACCGTAATTTAAGTTAAAATTCGAATTAACCAAAACAATTTCAATGCAAATGTGTAGAAAACAGGTTTAATATCCATGAGCCAAGTCAGAACGACATAAAAAACTACTAATTATAATGCTGAGTGTTTGAACACTGATGGTATTTTCAAAGCTCGTACAATGTTGGTAAGCTTCTTCTTCTTCTAATTTTTTCACCGAGAATGTTTAGTGGTTTTCTATTTATCTACAATGTTTGCATTTTTGCAAGGGGTATAAATAGAATGTCTTATAAATGGAAATTAAATTATGATAATTTGTCACAAAATGCATAACAAAAATGCATTTTTCAAAAGGAAAGCAAAAAGAATTAACGTCTATCTGGCGAGATCAGTGCCGTAGTCTAATAACGCGATAACCAAACTTGTCGTTGTGTTGTAATGTCGAATGGAAAACGTTACGAGAGGCGGACACGCCGTTCTCCATCTATAAATGGGCCCGTAAAATGACCATTTTTACAACGTCCGACATAAACTCCAGCGCAACAGCCGAAACGAACATCAAACCGTAACGTTTCGAGTCCATACTTTGAGCTTTAATGGTTATTCAAATAAATATAAAATGTAAGAAATAAAATATTACTTATTTCGCATTTACTATAAACTCCATTAGTGGACATCCTTTATGGACTTACTAGAAACCTAAAGTAGACCCCCCCACTAACTAGAAAATTCGCAAAACCCATGCATACAAATACATATGCATATGCATATACATGCATACATATGCAAAACAAAAAATATTTATATAAAACAAACTGTAATTTAACTAATAAGGAAAAGCTTTCAAATTAGTAAAATATTATATACAAAAGCTAGGTATAGGTAGGAAGTACAAGATTTCAGTTTCATTGTCAAAAATATTCTTTAAAGGGCGTCGATACAATGTCTGCATCTCTTTAAAACTGAGCTTTCATAATACTTTTTCTAAAATCTTTCTTTTACGGAGAACTCCAGGTATTCTTGGTATAGGTGAACCAGGGATTATAAGGGAGTAATAAAATACTAAAAATAACTCTCAGGGCCATCACGGTAAATGACACGGATAATTGTGGCAAATATTTTACTTTTGGTCAAAGTATTATTATGGTAACTTTCTAGAATTATTTTCATACTATATAGGTTGTCAAGTCATTAAAGTTTATTTTGCCAAAAGGTTGCCAAAAACGTATCCCAGTGTAATAGCAATTTTAACTGGATACAACTTAATTAATTTAAATGAACCACTAAATGTACTTGTTCCGAGTTTTTGCAGAACACGTCAAATTATGGTTTTTGGTGTTATCTAGGCAAATATTTAATTGCATCAAGTTGCCTATGATATTTATAAATGAAATAACCAAAACAATTATCATTTTCTGCCGCTTTATTTAACACCCAAATACAAAATAATTTCATAAAGTACTCGGCCAAGCTGTATTTTATAAGGATGGTCTCTATGTTTTTTAAGATTTCTTAAAGTACTTGTTTTTGATTTTGACCAATATTTGATTTTCTGTAACTTAACCGACTAGTGTAAAAACATTTGCTTCATCTTCACATATACACATTTTATTGTACTGTTATTTTTACAATACATAAAATGATTTAATATTCTGTTAAAACCGTTGAGATGATGATTTGTTTGAGGAAAACCAAAGAGTCTAAGATAGAGGGGAAGGCTCCCACTAGTGGCAATGTTAATTGTGTCCAGTCATGAAAACGGAAAACGCGCGGGACCTATGGTTCAATTCAATTTAAAGTTTGAAAGGTAAATTGTAAAAAAAAATAATGTATGTCGAAATAGTTGAAAAAAAATTTATTAAAATATAAATAAAGTGCTGTTATCCGTTACAAGCTACTGTAGTATTTTCAGTGTGAGAGCATTACTTTAAACCGCCATGACAGTACTTTAGTATTTGGAAACAAATGTTAGATGGCATTCGTAACAGTCTACGCGACCTTCCCCTCTATCTTATACTCTTTGAGGAAAACTTTGAGTATAAACTCGAGTAGTAGCTAATAAACAATGACATTCTCCAAGGACAAAACCTCCAATAAAAATCATATCAATACACTCTTCTTTTTGGTAAATCTGCAACTGGAACACATCCACACAATTCACATAAAATAATAAATACAACTGTGATACTTATACCGCTTTTGTTTTTTTTTTAGGAAAATAACGAGGAAAATAATTTTAAAAAGTTACCATAAAAAGACTTCGAACATTGAATTAATTGGAAACTGCAGTCGATGATATTTCGTAAAAACTATTTTAACATATCCTCAAAATTATAGGTATAGGAAGATGGTAGGGAAGATGTACAACCTGAAACAACCTTTCAGTTAAATAACCCATCCCGAGCGTATATCTGGTCATAAAGTCATAAAAATTAGGTGATTTCCATTTTCAATAAATTACTTCCGATTCTTTTTTCTATTATCTTAATTGTAATTTGTGTCACCAACCTGTATTAAAAATTATCGAAATTCCTCACTAAATTTGTTAAATATGGTTAATAAAATTAAGAAACAATTTCTTGTTATTTTCAAAAATATAATTTTTAGCTACTTTTTCAAAATTTGTGGATTTTATAAAACTGATATTTAGTCACACAGACAATACTCATTCTTAAGTTCTGATACGAGGTTTTAAGTGTATTTTTAATTTTTTTCGTTTGAAATGCAATAATAAATGAAAGACCTAAAAAGTTTACCAAAATATTTATCGAAATTACTAACTAAATCAAAGGAAAATATAAGGAAGAAAATTAAAAAAAAAACATTTTTATGACAATTATGAAACTATATAGATTTTATAAAATTTTATATTACAGACACTGACAAGACAATACTTAAAAAAAAAGGTTTTGAGTATGTGTTGTTTATAGATCTTTTCGTTATGACTTGAAATCCGTGAAACCTTTATGAAATCTTATGGTTGTGTGAAATCTGTGTACCCATTTTGGTAGTGTTTGTTAAAAATAAAAATAAAAAATAAATAATAAATGACAAAAGCCATCGCCGAAAATAATATGACATAGAAAAATTGCGAAATTATTATCGAAAACCCTTAACCGACGCGAAAAACATCCAGTCCGTTCATCGTAAATTTTATAATTTCACAGGAGTTGGAGCGTAAAAGCTTTGAGGTAATTAAAAGTTTAGGGCCGTCCGGAAGCATTTTTAAGCACCAACGTGTCGTTCCCGTCGGCAAACGAAAATAACTTTATTTTTATTCGTTTGAGGAATTCGTATCCGAACACGGAGGAAATACGCGGGCATAAACTTCTATATATCCCGATCTTAAACGGAACGTAATTGTTAAAGTTTAGGTTGTCCAACTATAACGTCTCTTTTTATATTCGGGGATATTATCGCGTTTAATTTGTCAATTTATCCAGGCACTTTCGGTTTGAGAATCTACTTCTTAACACAGCCGATCAATAAAAATTTTTGTCTAAACCTTGAGACGACAATTAATAAGAATAACTTATTCTGGCGAAAATGGAAATGGACTACTGCACCATTACTTAGAATGACACTACTCCAATAAGCTTTCCATAAGAGTTTAAAAAACTGTTAATATGATTCTCAAACAAGTTTTATTTTATTTTTTAAGTATAGCAAAATAATATATGTTACGGTTAATTTGGTTACTGCGCTAGTTTTCAAATTAATCAGCCAATTTGCAAATTAAGTAAATACCCTATTTTGGAAGAATCAACCGTTTCCCACAAAATAGATAATTGGTTAGTTTAGAAACTAGCTGGTAGGTATGCATTCTATTAATTTGAATTGATTAAGTACAAATTTTGCATTATTGCTTTTATATTAATCAATGGTCTTTATTTAATATGACTACTATAACACAGTTGTATTTATATGTTTTAAATTATAATGTTTTTGATAAAAAGCGTTTGCTTTAAAAAATATCTGGTTCTTAAGAACATGTTTTTATATTTTGAAAATTTTACGTTTTATAGAAATAAAAACCAATAATCAACAAGAAAATTGTTTTCATTCTTTATACTGGAAAGTCTGAAAACTAATTGAATTACCATATTAACCGTCATCAATTGTTATTTTGTGGCAGTTGGCTGACCACAAAGTAACAGCGTTTTTAGTTAGTTTGAGAAACCAAGTAATCAATTAGCCGTAACATACATCTTTACAATTGAGCAATATTGCGTATTCCTCATTAAGTTTTGATTTGTCACGAGCGCAAGTTTTTTTATACACGATCAAGAATTTGTTGCATACTTGGCATATTTTTCATACAGAGAACAAATACATTTATGGACTGAGAAGTAACGTGACGAGTACGAAACAGCGGTTAACGAAACTGATTTTAAGCTACATGGATATTAGAAACTTCAGAAAAGGGAAAAGGAAAAATAAATTCAATAACCTGAAAAAAGTAAGTGAATATAAATATATAGGTCTAAGTATATCAGGCAATATAACATAAAATAAACACCTACAGCTATAGGAACTTTCAGCAGAAAAAAAAATACTGCTACTTGAAACAATCCGAACGAAGTTCATTTCAGTTAAATCTAAGTTCCATTGAAAGTTTTTAATGCAAATATTTTTATCGAACTCAACTTCAGGACTCTAGTAACTTGTTTGGGCAACGCAAGTATAGTCTGGACCAAATAAACTTTTAAACATAGCCAACGGAGGGATTTTTTTCTACCAAGGTTAAGTTTGTTAAAAAAAATCAAATAATAGTCGCAGAAATCTTTTTGAGTAGGAAAAAAAATCCAATCTACCGAATTTGATATGTTGAACTTTTAATTTTCATATTGACTGCAAAAACTTAACACAGAAACGTCATGCAAAACAATACAAATAATACTTACCATAAACTATCGTTTAACATGTAACCAGTGAGGAAATCTACGAAAATGCCCATCTTCCCTATTAAAGGAAAATGTGAACTAAAAACACTGAAAACCAAAACTGAAACCATCGTAAAATGATCTACCAAAAAAGTCGTAATCTCAAAAACATATCTATTATCTATATCCCTATGCTGGTACCAAAGTCATATCACCAGTCCAGCTAGAAACGAAAAATTTCAAAATCAATTTTTTTTGTTGTCATTTCCAAAATATCCTCGAAACAATATTTTTCTCATCGTCTGCTTTGTTCCTGTCCCGAGTCCCAGTAGTCAGATGAACGCGTATTATATATTACAATATTGTGATCATCACAAACGTCTTTCCTAAACAATAATAATTTACCTATACCAACATCGAATTAGCGTATCATTTATTTCAACGTGTCACCAATTTATTATTTAAGAAATATTTTTTGGTTGCAAATAATAAATGTTGCTGGTACATGATTAGTCAATTGGTACAAAATTAGAAAGAAATCAGTTCTTTATTACAAATTTACGAAATTTTCCAATACCAAGAACACATTCTCAAAGGGGGAAAATAATCAAACCTGTTTTTTCCCGAATCAGCTGTCAAAATATATCTCACCGCAAAGTGGTGATTCTTGTATATAATATTACTTTTCCAAGAAACTTCCCAACTTCGAAGTGTGTGCTCGTGACATTTAAAGCATTTAAGTTTTATATCGCCCCAACAAAGGGAAAAAACAGAAGAAAAAAATACTTTGTATAGCGTGATTGACAACTAAAGTTGTTACAAAGACCGAATAACTTATGCAAATTTGTTTGTCAGTATTAAAGTCAGTAGTCTAGGAAACTAGTCAACAACAGTAGTTGTTAAAAACAGGGTAAGGAGGGGTTTGATTCTCGTTTTTTACTGGAACGTATAATGGTTCAATTACGTGAAAAATAAAGAAAAGAAATATTGATGATCTATCCGTGCTAAAGTAAAGTTGTTACAGATCTTATGAGAACTGGCCTTTAAAACGTATTTTCGGCATCGGCATTGAAATAAAAAATTTCTTGTCGTTCTATTAAAATTTTTAAATAATCATTAGGTACGCAATTTAATATTTCTAAAATGCTATACCTACCTACTTCATAAAGTTGCATTTCCTACTTTTTAAAACGCAAATTTTTAAATAAAAAAATCTTTATTTACTTACTTTTAACAACGACTAAGACTGTCAAAAAAATTATATGAAGCTTTAACTGTTGCAAAAATTTAAGGGTAGAAAACCTTCAACAAAATTATAAAAGGCAAAGATATATGTAATCAAATAACTATTAGCTGTTTCGTATTATTCAAACATGGATCCAAATCCATCCTCCAAATCCAAATATCCAAATATCATAAAAATACTTATGACAAATACTTATATAAATGTGCTTTTGATCGAATTTCAAGATAAGTTAGTTTGATTAGGATAAGACAAAATTTGCGTATGGAGAATTAATTGAACTGTGTTATTTCTTTCCGAGATAAATCATTAAACAATAAGAAAATGTGTGCATTGGTCACTTTAGCTACATTACAGGAAATTTAAACTAATTTTTAGCATTACCGAACATTTTAATACATCCTTACAGTTAAAAAGTTTTTTTTTCAGGTTTGTTCCTATTTACGAATAAGCACAGATTTTTTGTCATTTCAAAAAAGAAATTCAGAATGTTTTACCCTCAGTTTTGGTTAGTCGCTAATATATAGACGTGATATTACTTATATTTATTTTATATATTTTATATTTCATTTAGGCGCGTATATTCGCAAAGTTAATGCGTTTTACGAAGAAAACTTTTAAAAGCAGAAATATAGGTTAGAAAATTAGATAACATATGAACACCTAAATGAAAAACGACCCTGGCCTTCTTTTAACTCGACACAAAATTGTGAAGCATCTATTATCATGTCAATTAGCCAAAATTACTTACTTTTTTCTAGGAGATGCAAAATCTACTTCAGAGGGTGGAAAAAACTTTTCATAATCACCGAAAAAGAACGCAATGTCCAGCTAACTTTTGTAAACAGTCCGACAAACACAACACTGTTACAGCTGATTTTGACAATTCGATGTATATGTTATTATAAATACCGGAAAATTACGATATTTTTAAACACAAATACTCTGTACTGTCAAACGATCTCCATGACAGTCTCGACTGAATGTGTAAGACGCATGCGTGAACTCGTTCATACCGCGCAAACCCACCCTTTTTAATTTTGATATAAAATTGCTTTAGCGTTGTGGCGCTTTTCTAATGTTTTTTGTACAAGATTTCCTAAGAAATGATATGTATTTAGTAACAACAACATTTACTGATAAATAACAAAATCGATTACGCTCACCGATAAGTTGGAGCGAATGTTACTCATGGAAATTGGTTTACATAATATGTACATTTTGATTCCGTATGACTTTGTCGTTATCGGTATTGATATTTTTCACGTTGGTTGTCTCTTCTTGGATTTCGTCAAAGGATTTATTCGGAAATTTATTATTTAATAATTCTGGGAGCTATAAAGCCCAGATATCGCCGTGGAGTGCTGGCCGACATCGATCCGGTTTTCCCGTTTTAGGAGAGCGTACCTATTAGGCACATTATTCACTTTTTGTCATCCGTTTGGGAAAAGCATTTATCCCGATGTTCTTTACGGCGCTCTTTTGTTCAGCGAAAAGATTCCTCTATTATTGCACAGAAAACCTTCGGCGAAACTTGCTCCATATCTGTATCCCTAAGTTTTTTTAACTACTTTTACGATTGAAAGTACCGCAAATTAATTTTATAAATTTTCGATTTTTTTTATCGATAAATCAAATTGGTAAGTGTATATGAAAACATCTGTTTTGGCGAATGCGCAGGTATACATATTTACAATTTATTGTATTATGTAATGAAGTTTCCTTTTTGATTTTCTTTATTTCCCGGTAAAAGGTGATTTAGGTCTTAAATGTAAATTGTATTTGTGACAAACTTCAGGGGTAAAATTTGAGAAGGAAATACACTGTGTCCCAAATTGCATGTAATCACAGGGTTTCTCGGTAACCAGCAGATATAGAACTTTGCAATCTTTGCGCATTTCTCTATTCTCTATTATTCTCTTTATAACAAATAAGGTAAGTATTTTTCTGGAATAGTTATATCAATAGTTATTGTACTGTGTGCTAAAATAACATTAGAAAAATGTGACGTTTGAATTTTACTGGAGCGAGAGATTTAAAATGGACAAGGCGAAAGTTGCATAATTTTGCTATGTTGAATATAAAACTGCACTCAAAATTGAAAGATCTGTGGCGAGGTGGCCCTGTTTCGTTCACGAGAGACAGGATGGAATAGAAATTTGGCAATGCGAATGGAATCATATTTTGGACACTCTTTAAGAAAGAAAATATATAATTCAGTGGTGTGGTCAACAAATTTTTGAGACATACCGTTTTCGAGATATGGAATGGAATTAAAGGTATTATATATTATACAGGTATAGGTATAACAAAAAATAAACAAAATAAAAAATTAATGACAATTTTTTACTCTGAATGTGATATACTTACTAATACTTGATATACTTGATAAACTTAATGATGCCAATAAACAAATTCTACAAGACTAAAAAAAGTGTTCAAAATGATTCCACCTTCGGAACATACAATTGACACTCACTCAATCATCATTATTATCATATCAATAGCTGCATTTTGTGACTGGCTGGATTTAAGTTTTTTTTTTTAAGTAAGAACAAATGAAAATATTGTGAGGTCTTGTCATTTAGCGGGCTAGCTTACTGGTCCCTTTGTACCAATCCAACGATCGTCAAAAGTTTCAAACAGAAATGGCCCTACTTGTGCAGCGCTGTCTTCCTGAAAGAAAATATTGTGGGTATTTCTTAGCGGCATTGATTATAAATTGCCAGATAGCTGGCTGCTGCTAAATTATTATTGTAAATGTGGAATTTAATCTTTGTTTCCAATATAAACCACAAAATTCTATCTCTGCTTGTTATCGAGAAACCCTGTCATTACAAATAATTTGGGACACAGTGTACAGCATGATGGAATTTTAGAGAAATTCCACGTAATTTTGCAAAGAATTTCAGAGCTGTTGGGATATCGGTAATGGTAGGAAATACGATGTGGAAACAGAACTTTTCAAGCTTCATCATTTGCTGTTGTTTATTATTTAATTGATTTTATTGTAAATAATGGCAAAATATATATAGGCAGCTTTTGATGCTAGTTAAAAAAACTATCGATTATCTTAAAAAATAAACATTTTGAAGATAAATGTAGTATATTAAATTCTTGTTTCGCTTTACTGTTTTACTTTTTATTATTTTGCCACAATATATTCCTCGGCATTGTTGTTAATCTAATTACAAAAACATAATATTTGTTGACTTACTATACTTTATTTATATTAAAAAGGAGGCAGTGGTAAGTTTTTCGGCATCCCAAGTAAGTATCGCCGACTTGATTCATCTTCGCGTTGTTTTCCACCAGAGACACACGCATCCGAGGAAATGGAAAGCGATTAGAAGAAAAAACATGTTCCACATATCCGAAGCGAGATTATCCCCTGAAAAACTGTACTTGTCTAGCACGGCAGAGCCATCGGTTACACAAGGTAAATCGCCTTCCCTGGTGTCACACGCTGAAAATATATTCGTAAACCCTTAGAGAGAGTGACGGATTTGCCGGGGATAAAAGAAGAAAAGTTATTTTGGAAGGAATGGGTTTATTCGGTTTAAAGGACGGGAATTTTTAGATCCTTTTTAAAGCGTATATTCTGACTGGAAACCTGCGGAATGAAAAATACCCTTTCCATTGCCGTCGGCCTTTGCGAGCCCTGTTTAGATTCTAAGCAGGTAATATCTTTAAAAACTTTGATTTTTTAAAGTTATAATGTCTAAAAATGTTTATCTTTATTTTAGAAAATGTTATGAAATATCAGTTTCAGCCCCTAAAATGGCGAGGATTAATTAAAAGGGCTTCTCCAAACTCTATATTTCGAAAATTGCAGCGTTGCCACATCTATTTGAAGCACACACCAACTTCACTTTTTAAATGGAAATGAAAAAATCTTAAATTTTCTAAGAAACCTAACAAACTATCTTTTAGAAAATTTTGCGAATCATCGATTATGGAAAAAATTTTACCCGAAAATTGGAAATTTTGTCTTGACAATGAGATATGTCATATGATATAAGATGCCAGGTTCGCATACGGAGTGTTTAGAAAATTATGTAACTTTTACAAAATACGTAAATGTAAATTATATGTGAACTGTAAATTAAACCTCCTGTATTCTGTTTCGGTAATAAACAGGAAAATTCTGTATTGATCTAATGGTATGTTCGCAGACCTATTTTGACTATTGATTATTGAACCGTTTTAAAATTGAAAGCAAAGGACTAGAGTTCAATTATATTGTATTTATCAAACAATTTATTAAGAAATTTTTTGTTTTTATAATTATTCTTGTTTATTAATACAAAAAACAAGGGGTTTCGGAAAAGTGGATATGGATAAAATTTATAGCAGGTCATAGTTTTTTAAGGTTCCCTATCTATTCTTCTGAACTTTTTTTATTCACCGGGGTCACATTTCGATAGCGAGAGAGAGAGAGAGAGAGAGAGAGAGAGAGAGAGAGAGAGAGAGAGAGAGAGAGAGAGAGAGAGAGAGAGAGAGAGAGAGAGAGAGAGAGAGTGATAGAGATATATTAAATGTACTGCATGTTCTTGTTGTAATCTTATTGCACTGACCCTGAATATAACTTTAATGAACAAAACTACTAAAAATTGAATTATTTTAGTTTTTTGCTTTAAACACCAGAACGATTCAAAATAGCTATGGTATATCATAATATTTGTAGAACAAGAATGAATCGTTCTATTTATTGCTAGAATAGAATACAGGCTCCATTTGAAGTTTACATTTATATATTTTGTTGAATGTGCATAATTTTATTTATTAATTTAAATTTTAATTAGCCTTTTATAATGAAGTCGATGTCTGATTCAAGTAGATGATTCCGCGCATCGAGGTTGAGGAACCCTGTATATGACATTGCGGTTTGTGTTGATGATTTTTATTTTTCGGTCTACGTGTGCAATCAACAAATAAATTTAGTAAAAAATTTTGTGCTGCTCAAGTATGGTTTTATATCTGAAAATACCATATATCAATATCTTAAAGCCAAAAATTAACACTCGCCTGCTGATTATTCGAAATGAAACATAATAATCAACCAAACGAAACAACCAGGTAGCTCTAATTGTGTGAACATTATAAAAACGTAAAAATTCACAAACTGTTTTGATGTTACCAAACTCTCCAAAGAGTTAAGACAGCAAATTTTTGGTTGTCAAACTTAATGCAATTTATTTTAGCATTCAGCGCACCTAATCATAAAATAGCATTATACAAAATTCTACATTGAGATAATTCTGTAACGTGGGCGTTGTAAAACTTGAAGCGTTAATTGAATCAATGTTGGAAATTTAGATTTCCGCGAGATCTCAATTGGACAAATAGACGGAAACAAGCAATTGCCGAAGTTGCAAAGTTTACCAATATCTCTACTCACTAATGTTAGTTATTCCTTCCCACTGCACTATACTCAGAGATTCGGTCGAATACATTAACCACGATAAATATTTCATCCATGATACGAGCTGGGGGAGCGTTCTGAAAATATAAAAGTACATTCCGGTTCGTCGTAAATTTATAAAAATAATGTGCTATTTTCGTTTTCTTATTGTAGTATACGTTTTTACAAATAATAGTCATATATATAAAAATCTAATAAAATTTCAAATTGAAAGTGGTTATAGAATTGACGCGCACCATTTTTATTTTGTTGGAGGGCTTTTCAAATTTTTTTGGAACAAAGTAAATCAATGAAAGTTACGGTATAGGGTGAGTCAGTTTTTTGGGCCAGCGTATATTAAAATGCTACATGCCCTTCATTCCGCGCTCAAATTTTAATATTTTTGTGTTTTTCTTCATTTAAAAATAACGATTTCATTGATATTTGATACACCACACACTGCGGGACTATTAGATAAACCAACCAAAACTATTTTTATGGTTATTTCATTACATTCTAGATGTAGGAGAAAGGGAGGCATAACAAACCCGGTAGGTAAAACGGTCCGTTAAAATCCTTTAAATACTATTTGCAGCATCTATACAAAGTTGTTAACATGAAATTTTGCTGAACGGAACAAGCTTCGGGCAGTTAGCCACAAGCCGGCAATAGTAACCTACGAAGTTTTAACAAGGTAAGCTATATTTGGTGGAATTTAGTATAAAAATGAAACAATATTTGAATGCCCGTACTTTTTACTTCTAGAATAAGGTGGGTCAATACCATTTTAGCCTTTAAGATATTAGCTTCAAACTATACATATTTCTTTGATGTTCCATGTTGATATAACCTCCAGATCGGCACGTTTTCTAGAACATAGCAAAAAGGCAAAACGGACTGGGGAAAATGGATCACTTGGACCATTATGCCTTGCCGGTCCGTTTTGCCTAAACAACTTCTTATAAACAAAAACAAAAAAAACAAATGGTCCGAAGAATCAATGAATGAAGCAATAATTTAAGTTGCAACTAAGGCTATAGGACTTAGAAAGGTATCAAAATTTTGATACAGCAGCAGCGCAAGTAAAAAATACGGAGGCCAGCATAGCTTTGACCCAAGTACAAGGATGGCCGGTAGATATTGGTTTGAGATTTTTTAAAACGAAGTCCCGATCTTAGTTTTCGCAAATCAGAGGCCGCCTCAGTTGCAGAGCTGTAGGGTTTCATCGGGTTTCTTTTCACTTTAAAACCTGGATCCGATGACGACGGGAGCCGATATTCTGATGAGTCATTTGCAAGGCTAAGAAACCAACCTTGTTGTTCAAAGTCATTCTTGTTCAATATGATAAAATATGATAAAAATAGAAAAAAAGAAGGCTAAGAAGTTTTCCCAGAAAAACGAGTACTCTTCAAGTGAAGAAGAAGCAGAGTGTCTGTATTGCCACTATTTGTATTCAACGTCAACGAAAAGCTGAATCCAGTGTCTAACCTGTAAACGTTGGGCTCGCTGTTTTTGCGCTAGCGCTGAAGATGAAATATGAAAAAGCGGTTTTTATTTGCGAAACATGCCATTAAAGGATTAAATGTTTTGTATTGAGATCCATTATGACTTCATGCGAGTGCCGTTGTACCTTTCTATAAAGACAAAATGTAGCAAATGTAGTTTAATGGTTTATTGTTTTAAATAAACCGTAATTGTTTATTTTCATTTATGTTTAATATGATAGTGAAAGGAAACATACCCATGTTACACAAATATAAGTTGTCAAAAAGTTTTGTTTATCTTTTTTTATCCTGGCCATAACTTTAAGGGTACCATTTTGCCTTCTGTTCCCCTAACTATTAAGTAATTTTTCAAAGAAACTTCCACAGGCTACAGTAATACTTGTCATAAAACTTCTGGATTTCTCCTGCGTCGGTTTTTGTTAAGTGGAACTAGATAACGTTTCGCCAATCATCCTGTTGGCTTCTTTAGAGCTTGACTGAAACTGAAACTAACAGTTTGGACTCAACAAAAACCGACGCAGAAGTTTTATAAAAAGTATTCAGTAATTATTTTTAAAATTATACTAGATTTTATGAAACCTTTAATAATTTTCAATTTTGACAGCCCTTAAAGTAAGTTGCCGTGTTATAGACATCATAAAGTCGATAGATTCAATATTCGAACTATTTTTCCATTCGCTGTACAAAAGAGGGACTACAATGTAAAACCGAGTCTTAAAATCGTAATCAACAATTTGTCCGAAATACTGGAAAAAAGATCCGTAAATGTTAAACTTTGCAAAAAAGGTGTTATGTGAATACTATTGTTGCAACAGGATTTCAGTTAATTAAAACATTTAATAATGCAGCTTACCCCAACTTAACAAATAATCCAGAAGTCACCATAAGAATGTAATCGAAAGGCACCAAATAAGCCATGGCGGTCGGCACCGAATCAAATGCATTGGAAAACATTATACCTACGACAGACGGAAAAAGAAAAACTACCTGATTAGACGGCAAATTGCTTGGTAAAATATTAACGCGTGTTTACCGCAAGCCGAAGCGACATTGGTGGTGAGCATTGTAATTAAAATCGTCATAAAAAATGCATAGGAATTTGTGCGCAATCCCGATATCCAGTACGCAATTACCACAAATAGCAACGGCTCGACTATAAATCCGGGTAGCTGAAAAGGAAAAAAAAACATTGTTGATAGCTATAAGTACATAACATTTGCTTACAACGTTCAATATCTTGTACAATAACAAAAAACAAAAGAACTAACAATACTAATTCAACACTTTTCTTGATATAATATTCAACAACAAACAAATTAACGTTTCATAAAAGTTGACCTAGTAAAGATTTAATATTTCCAAAGCAATTTTCTGTGATGCAATGAGTCGGGATGACGAACATTTTGGGGTTCTAAGAAAATTTGAGCAAGGTGTAGATTATTAGTTTGTCAATTTATTTTTTCAGTTGAAACGGGCGTTAATATTTAAATTAAAATACTTCGCATACAGGGTGTTCTCTAAATGAATGTGAATATTTAAGGGGGTGGAAGGTTGAGATACATTTCTCATAGAACAAATTAATTTTGAAATTTCGTTTACTTACAAAAATATTTCAACGGATATTTGTGATACAATTTAAAGTGCGCAAAACGTAAACTCAAATAAATCCCAAATGGTCTAATTCACACAAATGTATATTTTCCGGGTTTATTTGACGTGATTTAAAGTACCTGCCTTCTTTGATTTTTTGTTTTTGAAAAAAAATTGCTATTAAAAGTTTTGACAGATGATGATGATGATGACACCCCAACAAAAACATTTTTGGATTACAATAATATTAACCAATTAATTAAGTGTTTTAGGCTAATTATTGTTTAGTTTTGGGTAATTTGGTTTTGGTTACAAATAATTATATGTCTATAATATCTGTATGCACACCATAATATAATGATGATTGATGGAAACATACAAACTTTTATGTATTTTTTATAAGTCTGACCTTTCTAAGATAAGCTAAGTTAAGGAGAGAATAAATAATTTATATCATAATTACAATTATCAATTAAATTGCCGGCTACGACAATGGAGTCACATCATTACATATTTCCAAGTAGCAGCAATTTAATATTAACTCTAAAATTATCATCACTTCTTATCAAACACGCATAATTAATACTATTTAAAAGGGATACAGATGAGAACGTTTAAATATTTGATTTAAGGGATATTATCGACCAGTGTGAGGACAAGATTTCCAAATTATTATTTTTTTTGGATGATATATATAAAAATTTCAGTAGCGCCTAAAAAATTTGTCTACTGTACAATGGCAATAAGCAAACAGCAAGGAGCAAGGGTCAAAATATAGTTGACATATAACTGAAGAATTATTATTGCCGAGTTCGTAGTTTTTCCATTTGCTAACTCTGATGAACCGATATGATATGTAAAATTGAATTTAATTTAGTTTAACTAAGTTTAATTAAAATTCTTTTCTTGTACGTTTGCGAAATTCAGAACAAAATATATCTGATTGGACTTCCCTGTAATAATGTATTTTTTCAATAGTATTTTATAGTATAGTTCAAAGACTATAAGATAGAGGGGAAGGCTCCCATTAGCGGCAATGTTAAACGTGCGGTTCAATTCAATTTAAAGTTTGAAAGGTAAAATGTGAAAAAAAAAATTATGTCGAATTAGTTTTTAATTTTTTTTTATTAAAACATAAATAAAGTGCTGGTTACCGATACAAGCTACTGTAGTATTTTCAGCATGACGAATTACTTTAAACTGCCGTGACAGAACTTTAGTACTAGAACACAAATAGTAGATGGCATTCGTAACAGTATACGCTACCTTCCTCCTATTTTATACTATTGGTATAGTTTACAATGCTTTGCTGGGTCGAAAAACATCCATCGCTGATTTTTTCGACTTTATTGGATAAATTGTATAAGAGAAAAATGTGATGTAAAAAACTCATACTAACCAAAGCAATTATCCTCGACAAGTAGTACGTGACTGGATGATAGAGTCCGGATCTGAACTCTCTCAAAAATATCGGCGTATTTTCCGGAAATTCAGCAAGTACAGAATACATTGGATTAAAGGTATTTTCAGTGACAAATATGAATATCGCCCCTTGCACTGCCTGTACGCCATTTTGAGTTAAAGGATTTGTCCCGCAATACGATAATCCCACTATGACGGCGATGGTCTACGAAAATATGGACCGTTTATAAACCGGCGTAATTCTGAAACGACTCGTCGAAAAATCAATATGTAGTGCGCCCCTAACACATTGAGAGCTTCTTATAAAAAATAAAAAAGTTGGAAACAATTTTGTTTTCTCGGACACTTACTGTAGGAAAGATTCTATAATTGTTAGTAAAGTTAGTCTTGTTTTAGTAAAATAATATTACACATTAGTAAATATGAACGGATAAAATTACTGACACCAAATGCATTTTATTATTAAAATTTAGACAACCGTGACTATTATCAACAACCATGGTATAACAAGTATACATATAGTACGGCTGCAAATAGGTATAGGGAAATATTTTACAAAAATTGTCAGATGTGATAGCGGAGAAAAAAACAAACAATTGTCTTATTAAAAAAAATCATAATCGTGGTTATTTTTCGATGCAAAGCGGAAGCTCTGTGAAAATATCTTAGATCGACCGATGTGAATAAGCTCTCAAATCTTCCATGAGACACTGTATATAATAAACTGATTTCGTTTCTAGGCTGATTTGTTTGCAATTCGAGTTTTCAACTTACAATTCTTTGCAAAATTCTAAGAGCTTGTACGGATGGATTCCTCAATGCCTCCAGGGACCATCTGTATATTAACCAACATAGTTTCTGCCACCAGAACGGCTCTTTACTAAAATTTGTCTAGTTTAAAATTCTCCACGATCGAGTATAAAGTAAATATTTGACTTACAAATTAGTCCGCAACTCGAACTCTCTCGGCTGAAACAAAATTTTAAAAATTCGAAAAAAGTTTTTTAATATTAATATCTTGTTCGTACAAACCGCGATAGTAGATCCTTTCAAATGATTACTGCCCAACTCGAATTTGAAAAATTAATTGAAAAACAGCGAATTGAAATTTAACAACGAACCGCCTCAATAAATGCAAGTGGCAAGATTGTTCCATACTTTTTATTTCCATTTGACATACCTGAGCTCTTCCCATATGAAACTCGTATTGAACAACCACATCTACTTCTTTAGCATAGTCGCTTACAGCGAAATGGTCACAGATCTTTTTCACCGCTAGTCTACTATTTTGTTCGAAGCCAGGAGTAGTCGCTAAAGTTTTGATAAAAAAATCTGCTGGACTGTATGAACTAGGACAAATAAATCCCAACCTACGCAACAGAGAAATAATAAAAATATGTAATCTGGCAATGGTTTCGCCCAGTTATATTATATCCGAAGCAGTCCAGACGAGTCATTGATAAAATGTGAAACCGGCCATGTTTATAAAAACTTAACTCCGCAGCCAATTTAGACCGAGTAAACCACAAAATCTCAATCTCTTTGCTAGATTGAAATTTTTACTTTAAAGAGTCAAATGAAAAGAAGCGTTAAAATGGCATTTTACGAAATCAACTAAAACTTTTTGTAAAATGACCACTTAAATGTGCTTTTAAAAGTATATTCATGGTGGTTTAGAGTATGATTGAGGTTTCCTAAACCTAGCTCTCAGAAATATTATTTAAAAAAATTTAAAACTTACGTAGCTATTTTTTTAGGAAACGAATCACGGTGCTTTGAACAAAACTTTGCAAGTCTGCTTGGTGCAAATATTATAGTAATTACTTGTTATTTACAAGGAGACAAGTGTGTTTAATGTACCTAAATAGTAGACTTTTTGGATCATCGTAACATCAGTTTGCAATATGAACAGGTCCAAAGTTCGTACTTTGTGCAGAGTTTTTGTTAATATTGGCCACAGAATTCCATGAAGGACTTGAACTTGAAAGGCCTGCTTCGGATATAATGTCATTGGTTTAGACTCACTTCTCAAAAAATTCTGTTGCACTTCCTCGACTGCCCATGTAGGCAATTCGGCCATCGGCAATCAAAATCAACTGTGTAAACATTCCAAAAATCTGTGAGGACGGCTGGTGAATGCTGCAGAGGATAGTCTTTCCTCCTGACGTCATTCTGCTCATTAAAGACACAAGTTTTTCGGCAGAGAAAGAATCCAGTCCCGTGGTTGGTTCGTCGCAAAAAAGGATCGGAGGGTCTGTAAGCAACTGAGAGCGAGCTAAAATTATTAATTTTTCTGTAATCAATGAATTGTCAATTCTTGGCAAAAGCACTGAAATCGAGGAACATCATAGGTAATTGAACAGTACTTTCTCTTAAGTTTAAAAATATGAGGTTTTCATTAAAATTATCAATTATATAATTTTTACAGGATGGATCAGGTTTTTGTGGCAAACTCAATAGTTGTTAGGAAAGCATTTGTTATAAAATGAAGTTTATATATCCTAAACTGTTTCACAGCTTACATGGTATCAAAGGCACAAGAAAATGTGTTTTTCAAAACAAAACTTTAATACTAATTTAGATTACTTTATCGAATTTGCTACACATTGGATAATGTGGGGTAAAATATTAAAGGAGTTCAACAGAATATTTTTTTTTAATAAATGGAACGCCATTAGATAATTTATTTTTTCTACTCCCCTATTCTAAAATTAGTCCAAATTATTATTATTATTATTATTCATAAATTATGGGTTTTTAGTCATTGATGGTATTTTATCAGTTCAGATGGTCACGTGCTAAATTAAATTCTTAAGTTGACGTTTATGAAACTTTTTGCGTAATATATTATTTATTGCCTTTAGTAACAAAAATTTCTCATGAAATTATCGAGAAAATTGGATCTCTTGATTTTTGATATTATGTAGCGCTTTTATGTGAAAAAATAAAGCAAGTATAAAATAAACTATAAAAAAAATAGTTATTCCGACAATTTTAAATTTAAAAATAAAACCTTATGTTGCATAACTGAAGTCATTGAAACAATTTCTAAATTATGTAGAAATATTTAATTTCAAATCAGTTTTAAACTTAAAACCTTTGTGAATAATTTTTGCATTTAACGCTTTATCTGTAACTGGTTGTCCAGTTGACTACCTTTAAGTCCACAGTAATAAACCTTTTTCCTATTGCTGTGCTATAATCCGTATCAAACCAGTATGTATTTTATATAGATTTATTTCAATATGATTTATGAGATTTTACTATAAACTCGTTTCAAGCTAAAAACAGACCGATTCCACCAACAAATTATTGTGATTCTTAGATATGCTCTTCGGTGAAAACATATATTTGTTTAAAAAAAAAACAGACGAATAATACAGTGGGTACGAGCACTCTGTTCAGATACACTCACTGCACAAAACAAAAACCGTTCCCCGATAAAACAACAAAGAACGATTTTCCGCCGGTTCGAGTCTCCACTTTAGATGGACGCTTTTTCCCTTAACCACTTGGTTCAATTTGTCTTGTAATTCATCACTCATAACGCCACTTCACAAATTTATCACCGCTGAAGGACGAAGGATCTTTTATCAGCCCTGGGCGTCCTCGGACATATGGCCGGGGAATAACGCCCTTTTTTTATTACACGAAGTGATAGTTTGGATAGATATTTAAAAAAACTTAATCAATTTCGCCCAGTTTCGAACATAACGGCCCTTAAATGGTAAAAATAAATTCAGCGGCATCCTTAAGCGATTCAAAAATTAAAATAAGGATATCATAAAATCATCCTTGGGCTATGCATCGGTTAAATAAAAGAAAAGAAAGTGAAAGTAAGGAAGTTGTCAATACCAGCGATGTGCAAGATGAGGTGTATGAAATTTTGTCGGTTTGAGGCATTCAGGAAAAAATAAAGCAGTTTCTTAGTGTTTTCTTAGTGTAAAAGGCGTATGCAGTAAATGATCTTATTTTATTAGTAAGGCTTTGGTTCTACTCCCCATCTTATTTCACTCCTTTTACACGCCGCCGCCTCTGGAATTTTATAAAATGACCATATTTACATAGCAACGCAACGTATCAAAAAATGGCAGATACACGTATATACCATACCATACATACTACACTAGCGCAACTACACTTCATCTGTGGTTCAGCTTATTTGGTCTATAATGAATTCACTAAATGAATTAAATATGCACTAAATTACAAACCTCAATTTTATGGCGACGCTTTAAGATAATTATAACATATAATTTGCAATAAAAAAATAACGAAGAAGCATACCTCTGTGGCAAATGCTAATCTTTTCCTTTCCCCTCCGGAGAGACCTTTGCTCTCGCCCACCGCACCGATTCGGGTCGATATACATTTGGTTAATCCCAGCTGGTTCAGGATCGACCTTATCTTTTTAGATTTGTCAAAATTGCTGACGCGTCTATCCAACTTTAAATGAGCCTGGAAACATACAATTTCGTTATGGTTGCTGCCAAATATTTAGAATCAAACTAAAAATTTAAGAAGAAATTCGTTACCATAATATTCATATGTTCTAGAACAGTAAGCGATGCTACATACAAATCTTCCTGGGGCATACATCCGCTCAAATATTTCATGTAGTTTCCGATAGGACGTCCATTTATTAAAATATCTCCTTCAACTACCGTATCACCTAAAATATATAGAGATATAGATATACAAATTTCGTAATTGAACCAGTTCTATTTTAGCCGCAGAAAGATTGCTATTGACATACAACAATGAGTCGTATGAATAAAAACGAAGTAGATACCAATACTACAACTGTCATGATTTACTTCGAAGTATTTTCTCTACCATGAGGTTCCGGTAATAGTCCCTTACTTCTGTCTGTGGAGTCCACACCCCTTCTGTTTAGAAATGAGCAGGATATGACAAGACTGGGTGTTCAAACCATTTGCTATTTTTCTGGATTGCTAATTATTTGTAACAACTATTAAAATGCTAATTAACTCAATTTTTTTTGGGAAAACAATTGCACCTGCCATCAGGAATTCAAAACAAAACCTAGATACTAAAAAAACACAATTAAAAAAAATTGATAATATGAAAAGCAAAATAAATAAAATTGTGGATATGTATAGAATAGAAAGGAAATGAGAACCCAGTAATTCAAAAAGTTTTATGCTTAAATGTGATGTATACTAGGTATTTGCGTAGTCTAGTAATGTACCTATGATTCGTTATGGTTATTTATACAAGTAGACTGACAATCGAAGACTCGAAATTTTTTCGCACCCACGCTGTCTGTATTGTAAAATATCCTTAGTATGTGTGTAGTATGTTTGTTTCTGTTTAAATGAAAATAGCATAAACACTGCGAGAAATATTTCTCGCAGGGCCCAATACTTCGTACATTGCATGCGAAAACGATGTATTTGTCACACCGACAACCGTTAAAGATGTCACAATATTTGGACAGCTGTAAAAAAATACCTCCATTTGTGCGCTGGGGCAGAGCCTCTAGTTTCGTTTATTTTTGTCAAATTAGCTAGATAGTTGAATATTATGCAAAAAAGTTTATCAGTTTATCAGTTTATCTTCTACTGCCATTAATCTTAATCGGTACATTTCATTGTTCTAATTCCTTTAGCTATTTTCACTAAAGTGCTATTTGGTAAAGTACCTTTCGGAAAAAGTGAAACTGTCTACTTCGAAATGTATTTCCTTCTGAGTTAGTATAATAGCCATGCATTTCATTTTTATCCATCCGCCCCACCACCTCGAATATACAATAATTAAACAACATAAATGTTAATTTTTCAAAGAAATTTCCACAGGCTTTGACTTCTGTTGACTTCTTCAGAGCTTGACTGATACTGGCTCGTATTTTACTCTATATATTGTTTGAAGGGGGCGCTAATGAGGGGCATAAACACGTGTCGGATGACTGATTCCCAAATTGGTGACAGGTAGAGACCTGAGTGGCGGTTAAGATTGTTAGGTTGTTTATAGATTTCTATAGACTCTCGGATTTTTCGTTGGTAGAAGAACTGATTACATGCAAAAATTTTAGTTTTATCGAATAAAATCCGAGAGTCTAAAGAAATCTATAAACACCCTAATAATCTTAACCGCTACTCAGGTCTCAGCCTGTCACCAATTTGGGAATCAGTAATCCGAGACGGTCTTTAATCCCCTCATTAAGGCCCCCTCAAATAATATATAAACAGGTACAAAGTAAAATACGAACCAGTTTCAGTCAAGCTCTGAAAAAGTCAGCAGGATGATTGGCGAAACGTCAGCAATTTCGACTCAGGAAAAACCGACGCAGAAGGAATCCAGAAGTTTTGTAAAAAAAAAACATAAAGGTTTATTGAGGCATAACCTGTACAAAAATTTGGTGTATTCTTGAAGATACTTTTTATTATATATATAGATTATTATTTTACACCAAAGGACTATAACCAATTTACAATTATTCTAGTAGGAGGACATCGAGTTACATAGATTTTTAAATTTTTAGATAGAAATATTACGCATTTTACACAAAGCAAAATATTTATAAATATATATAATAAGTAACGTGATGTCGTATCCTTTTGAATGAATTTTCTTGCAAATTTTCTATTTTTTTTTTAATATATTTTTAAAATATAAGTCCGATTGGTGAAATATTGGAAATTCTTAATTATTTTAATTCTGAGTTGTTGCAACAATTGCATACTAGGTAGTTTAAATTTTCACGACAGCCTGGAATTAGTGACATATGTTTATGGGGGCAGATTGAACATCAGCTTATTTGGGCTGCAGGTTTTTAGGCATATGTCGGGATTGTCATTGATTGGTCTCAACGACCACTAGGAAATTACGATCCGTATATTTGGTCGTAGTAAAAACGCTTTTATATTTACCTATATTTCTGTAAGCCAAGGCGGCCATTAAGGTGCTTTTTCCCGCACCGCTGGAAGAACAATTACGTTTTAGAGTTATATTCAAATTAGGCTAATTTCACTCACCTTGCTCCCATTACTGCCACCAGACTTCCAGGTTTAATGGCTCCGGTAACTGGAAAATAAAATGCGTTGCAATTGACGCAGGGTCGTCTATTTTTACGTAATAACAATTTATTTAGTTAATGTGCGCGAAAATGAAAACTTTTATCGCCTCAAGCGGGGCCTTACCGCTGTTTATAATTCTCTTGTAAGTTATTTTGCCGTTCGTTTTGGCTTTCGCGTATATTGTTAGGTCGTTCCAGGCCAGAGTAATTCCTTCTTCCATTGGGGACCAACGAGAGTAACTTCTGCACTTCTTTCCGAAGGAGCCGCTCGATTCAAAGTTGTCTGAATCATCCTTCAAAAATGTTAAAATGTAAAATGTGAAAACTGTAAAGTAAACCTAATCTATGCAGATAAAAATAACCGGAAATAACGATTCGTCTTGATATTTACGCGCAGATGTTTAATTATAAAATACGGACGATACAGATAGGGTTGCAAAATATTTATTAAATCCGTGTAAACAAGGCGCATCTACGGGGAGTAGAACTAATTAATATGCAGTTTACATGCGTTATTTTGTTTGCTTAATTATATTCAATTAAATTTAATTGCCACAGCATACATTTACTTTCCAGATTCAAAACAAACAAAAGAAGCAAGGCTCTATTATTTGCGAAATAAATTATTTATGTGGATAAATAGCTACTATTTATACATAATAAACAATTAAGAATGAATTTATGTAATATGAAAATAATAAGCATAAAGCACAACGTGTTCTACTGAATATTCAGACTAGAAAACTTGTTTTTTTGTGCTATTTAAAAACAACGATTTGCGGGTGACTTTAGGCTTAATATTTTTATTGGATCAAAAATTAGGAACCCCAAGTGCCTCAAAATTGTATTAGAAAAGTTCATAAGATGTATTCTAAGACCGGCGCTTTTTAATTACTTTTTTATGTCAATTAATTGGTGATTTTAAATTTTAAACAGACTTGGAGGTGCATTCATCAAAACATGATCAAAACAAGAAGAGCCACTCTAACTATATTTAACTAACTGTATTTTTTACAAGCACCGAAGGCGATAGTTTCATATATTCGGATAAAAACTGTTTCATTTACCTGGATAACAAATGCATAGACGGAGAGTTTTGTCAAAATTAAATTACGACCGTTCCACGGAAGCATCGCTGAACAAAATTCCAAAACCAAACCAAAGCATGAAACTTCATATGAAAATATATCTTAAAATATCGTTTTTGTAATGATAACTCAAATATTTTGTTGAAATTTGTCATAATTATTAACTGGAACAAGCACCGTCAGTTTATATTTAAGACAAAAAGAAAGTCCGCCACTGAGTTTTATATTTTTTTTTACTAAAAATTTATGAACAACTTTCTGATATTTGATTTCTAGTTTTGATGAATATTTTTGTCTTAACTTGCAACTTAACTGGAATTCATGATTATCTTCTAGTTGGCGATAAATAAACATCAAAGTTATCACTATCAAATTTCAACTAAATCGGCATTAACAAAAAGATTTTTTGTTTTCTTTGACGCAAGCAGCGTGTCTTGTTAGCATTGAGCAGAAGCGAATTAAAGGAATTAGCATTGAATTTTCTTTGGTAAAACTACCAATTTCCAGGAAAAATTGTTGAATATCCTAAATACCAAAAATAATAGATAATTTCCAATCTCCGAATGATTATCCTGTATATAAACTTTTACAACATACAGCATGTCCAAGGTTTAAACAATCTTCGAAAACTTTTTGCCAACCCAGAGTTTGGGGGTTCATTTCGTTTCTATATGTGGGGACTTGTTCGAGATTTCTTAAATGTTTTTCTATAATTGTAACGGCTTCACGACAAATGGAAAAGGAAATGTCACTTCGTTCCAATTGCTGTTACAAATTTTACTCTTTTCCGTCATCCCTTCTAAATGTTTAATAAATCAGAGTAACCTTCGGCGTAAATAAAAATTACTTACGTTAAGGTAGCTGTCGGTAGATCTACGATCTGGCCTCAATAAAGTCAGTTGCGTGCTCTCCGTCGAGGATCCCGAGGTCCTAGGGGTAAACATTTGTTTTATTTTCCACGAAAATTCGAGTCTGATTCTATCACGTCCACCATTATTACCGGTTATCTTTTGTATGATTATTTTATCTTAGAGTTTACATTAAAATCGAGTTATTTAAACATCCAAAAACATGTAACGGCACTTTTTGTGTACTCAGAAATATACTTAGATAGGCAGGCATGCGAGGAAACCTTTCACGATATTGGATTAACCAAGGAATAACGAGGTATCACTTCGGTAGCTTGTAAATGGATCCTTCCCCCTACTTTCCGCGAGCATTCTGTATTCCGATCGCTGTTTTCTTTTATATAGTTTGTATCAATTAATTTATTAAAGAAGATTGATACTGAATTTCTAGCTCCATGCAATAGCATTTTCTGTGTTGCCGTTCTTTTAAAATAATTTGTCTTTATTTGTAACATATCACAGCAAATCACTGCATTTGCGAGTAAGAGTTTGTTTATCTCGTTCAAGAAATAAAGCCTAGTGGAAACAAAAGCCCAGTCAACATTTGTTTAAATTTGATTGCTCTAGAAACGTAATCGTAATACGGATACTTTTTTTTATTAAACCAGGCTTTAACTTGTCCAGTTTCCCCAATTGCTCTATTTATACTTGCGATAGGCACTTCAAGAAAGTAAGAAATAATTTTGTTTGATACTTGAAACAGAACAAAATTCTCTTCTAACTTTGTAAACAAGATTTGCATGTAAAAAAAAATAAAATGTTTCAATAAAATTTCCTGGATAAACTTAATAACAAGAAAATCATTAAAATTGAAAATATCGAGGAATTGACTAAATCGTTTGGTTGCTAGTGAAAAATTTCCCTTGGTTGGATGGTTCCTAAAATAGAATGCCACCAAGAAACCAGCCGGAAAACGAGGTTACTACAAATGTAAGGAAAAAAGGAGTGACACTTAAGGTGTAAGAATAAAAAAAACGCATTCAAGACTGTTGGGTTCGAATTTCACAACGTTTGCTTGTCTCTGTAGCACTAATTGTAGATTCAACAAAATACTTCTCAAAACTTTTGTGCTGATAGGTATTTTGTTTAATCATGATACCGCTCGAGATATATCGATACAGAAACTCTATCCGTCTGAACCCTAAGGGCTTTTTCATATTTTCACCGCATGAATTGACAAGACGACTTTCGGATTTTTTAATCCACTTATATTGAAATGCAATATTTGTATAACATCACACCAACTCGGAAATCGATCCGATAGGCTAAAATGAACACTGAACTATATCCATTTGTCCATCCAAAATGCAACTAACAATTGAAGAAAAAATATCCAGATAAATGAGAATAAAAAGTTCAACACGTGATAATTTCTTGATAGGCAAATCCAAACTTAAAAATAAAAAATATCGCATTTTAAATTAAAAATTATTGTTTAGGAGTCTTTGATATTTGCAATTTATGTTAACTTAACAGAATATGACATTTTTGGCTGTTTGAGTTTTATAAGCTTATTAAAAAATATTTTCTCAAAAATTCAACAAAAATATAGACTACGAAGTACGAATGGCTGACTGAATTAACAGATACTATAAATTATTTTGTTATTCATTGGCAGGCCGGGGAAAATTTCGTATTGAAAGAAGGCGGACTTGTAACCAATATTTTTGTTAATACTAGGCCCATTAGGCTATCGATTCATGTAGACTCTGACAATGCCATATTCTGGTATTAAAAACGCATGTAGAGAACTTTTTTCGTCTTAAATGTCGTAAAGGCATAAATCTGGCGACCTTCATAACTCTGTCTCACTCTTAACAAGCTGAGAAACCAAAACTAAATAATCAGTTTTATTTTCCAAAATTAAAGCTGTAGAATTGGATTAGCGAAAAGTAGATTTATAATTTGAATAGAATAGAATAGAACCATATATTAGAAGTTGCACGGACCGGACTTCTTAATATCTTACACATGCTTACACAGGGCGGGCCAAAAAATAAAACACAATGCGGACTACATTATTTATTATTATCCTAAAGTTGCCTGGGCAAAAATAACTGCGCATTCTTCAAAAAGGAATACAGGCAAAACCAGTGACGTAAGGAACTATCAGAATTTCGTTAAACAAAATGAACAAATTTTAATATTAAAAACATTGGAAACGACTGACAACATGACTTACACCTGGAGTATTAAAAAAGTAGCGGAAACGTATTACCCCTTTTTAATTTCCCTTTTCGTACTTGTAAGTTTTCCACAGCAGAGCAAAATATGCGAGAAGCCTGAACCCCAAAATAAGACCCAGTAACGATGATAGATCGACAATAAAGTTTTCCTGAAAATAACAGTAATAACAAAATTACGAATTAAAAAAAAAAAGGCATCTTACTTCGTCGAAACTGTACATTTCGAGAACAATGTGCCCGTCCTTTGGACAAGTAGAGTTGCCGAAAGGGCATTGAATACTGGTCACGTTTTCCCATTGATTTATCATTAGGGCTTCGTTTCCGTATTTGAACCACGACAAATAGGATAACCATTCGAAGTAGATCGGTATAGAGCTAAATTAAAATTTCAATTCAGTGATCATTCACTGGATAACTCAACCCCCAACCACTTACTCGATATTGAGGAAGAAGCCCCCGAAGAGTAGGAAGGGCACTATGAGCGGGGGTCCCACAGCAACGGCCATTGAAATTGTAGACGAGGCGCATGATATCAAGTATCCTAAACAAAATTCATTCTTTAAATTAATAGGTTTGTAAGACGTGTTTTGTGTGTGTGTTTTTCTTTTCAGTGTGAAACTACCAAATTTTAGCGAAATATTTCAGAAAAAAATTTTGCTGGGCATTTACTCCATAAATATTTTTTCAGTAAATGAAATGAATATCCCATTTTCTGAAAGTTACTTACTTTAGTAAGTAAACATTCTTCAGTAAAACCATGCACGTAGTCTCTCAAAAACTATAATAAATTTACGCACACATGCACAAATATAATATTTGGACCTCATAGCCATAGAGAATTAAGTTCATCCATTTATGATTTTAGGTTTATAAATAATTTAAAATTTGACGCTTTTCTATTTCAAATTGGTATCACATTTCTATACTTTTCTATTGTCTTTAGATTCAAACAGTTTCAGTGAGGTCATATGAAATGTAAAGTTAAATTTTCTGGCTTAATACTGTTTACATTTATACCGCTAAACCTGTAAAAATTACATCCTGATTTTACTAAAACTAAAATTTAATCTTTCTAGGGTCAAACAGAATTGTCATAAAATACCGTAATAGATTTATTTTTCTCGAAACTAAGTTCAATGAATTCAGGTTAAGCAAGAACAAAGCAAATTAGTTTCCCCTACCACGCTCCCCGTTTCCCTGCTTGAAGAGTAAAGTTGAAATAGAGGTAAGATTTTGTTGTAACATGGACGACCCCTATCAACTATCTTACGAGCTGGAATACAACTTCCAGCATGTGTAAAAACTAACCGAAACTAGTCGCTGCGTTGGCGACGAGGATGATAATGCCACAAGCGACGAAAAATCTTGGCATTTCCGAGTTCAGTCCGATTATGAAATAACACGTTGTCGTAAAAAGTATTGGGATGAAAATGAATATTGGTATGTCTGCTAGGGTTTTGCCTAAAAAGTAAACCTCCGTTCGATACATGCCGTTTCGATGCTCTCGTAGAAATATCGGTAGTTCGGATGAAAATACCTAAAAAACCAAGTTTCGACGCTTGTTATTGAACTATATCAGCAAGCCATTCTTACACTGATAACCGCAAACACATTCTGAAACGTCATATTTGTGAGGAAAATAAATAAAACCCCGTTAATGTTCATTACGCCATCTTGATCGATCACCTGTCCGTAATAAATGGCGCCCAACATTAACGAGACTAACTAAAAGAAACATATTAGAAAAAATATAAAACAATTGCTCTTTCAAAATTACGATTGTCTGCATGAGTCGCACTCTCATCAGAAGAGGCTCTTTTATTATACTTAACCAAGACCTCCACAAAACAGCTCTGAATTGAGCGAACCATGACGCTTTGTAAGGGCTTTTAAATCCGTTTGAGCTTCCGTTTATCCATACCTCCGTTTCGCTGTGTCTTAGAAAATCTCCTTTCTGTAAAGCAGGTCTTATCTACACATGTGTTTTCTCTGATTACTCTATTACAAAAACATGCAACACTTAGGATACGAATCGAAGCAATAATCAAAAGGAATGCAACAGCACATTTTTGAGGAACACCAAAAGTTAGTTAACAAAAAATCTTTAGACATTTGAGATAAATAAACTAGAGAATTGAATACTTTTATCAGGGAATGTTTTTTATCAGTGCTCATCACTCCAATAAACCTACAGTAACCCCAACGTTGTTAATAACCAATTAGACTGGTTGAGTAGGTTTGCACAATCGTTAATAGGACTGCTTTCAATTGAATTGATTAAAACTACAATTGGAAAACTGTAATTTTACAAGAATATTTAGGCCTTCATCTGTACCTGTATTGTCCTCTAAAATCGTGTCGTCATTCCAAAAGATTTAAATTTGACTGCTTTAAATAAATAAACAAAGAAATAATGCGAAGTAGAAAAAGATTGAAAAGAGAAGTCAAAACTTTGAGGGCAGTATTTTTTAAAATTTTCGATATGTGAGAGTTACTTGTTATGAGTTTATGCAACAGCACATGGCATAGCGTTAAAGAATTTATTTGTTCCTACTCTTGTCTCAGATTCAAGGGCTACTTTAATCCCCTGTTCCGATTTTTCGAACTTGTCGCAGATCATGTTTACGGCTTGTCTGCAAGATTCCTCATTTCCGGGAGCTATAGCCAACAACTGGATGAAATAATCTGCCGGGTTGTAATTTTTTGGACATGGCGCTTCGAGTCTAAAAAACACTCTGATAACTACGATTTGGTTTGCATATTTATTGACCTACTGCCGGAAAAACAAGTCCGCCTCCTCTGGCGTGCCTAAGAAAGCGATTCTACCTTCTGCCATCAGGAGAAGTTTATCGAACATAGAGTAAACTTCCGAAGAAGGTTGATGAATCGTGCATATGACAGTCCGACCTGCGTGGGCCATATTTTTTAAGATTTGCACCACATTTAATGCCATAAAAGAATCCACTCCTGAGGTAGGTTCATCGCAAAACATTAGCGAGGGATTGGTCAGAACTTCCGATGCAAATGAGAGTCGTTTCTGTTCGCCACCGGAAATGCCCTTGAGACGTCCTGGAATGCCTATGCACGTATTTGCGCATTTGTTTAGGTTCATCTACAGAAATCATGAGGTTATTACACTTTCACTTTAAATTAAACCTAAGGAAATATTCTAAAATGACTTCTTCATATTTGTTTTAATATTAATATTAACTATATGAATTTGGAATACATGATTTACCCAGGGTTTTAGGTATTAATACTCTTGATACTACTTTCCTATTCTATTTTATTCGGCTTAATTCAATCTCGACTTTAGTAGTTAAGTTTTTAGAATATTCTTTAGGAACAGAAGGAATAAAATGGACCGTAAAACCTAGCTGCTGTCTTCAAATCTTGTTTTGCACCTACCGAAACCAGAAAATACATAGATAGTTCAACAAAACCAGCCTTTTATTGTTTTTTCATATTTAATTTGAGATATCACACAGACACTTCCCAACTGCGAATACCGTTATTTGTTCGATTTCGATGCCTTTCTTCAATTTAATTTTGTTTACTCGTTTTTTTGTTTTAACTCTATGGATAGTCAATGAAAGGTGGCAAACCCCTAACACTGAATTTCAAGAGAATAAATAAATGCCCCGATAAATGCATTCCGGTTCCAATTAATTTTTGAATTACTTACCTCTGACATAACTTCTTCCACTCTTTCCATTCTGTTCTCATACGAAATGTGCCTATCCATTCTGACGAGAGCCTTTAAGATTAGTCGTACTTTTATTTCACAATACTTAGAGACTACAAGACGTTTAAAAAAACGCGGTAATATTTTAGGGGACTATTTCAATAACTTTTTATATAATTTGAAAAATAAGGGGTTGGTTTGGTCCTAGCTATAGTGAAATTAAAAAAACACGAAAAATACGAGATTAAAAATAGTAAAAGCCATTTTAAGATACATTTTTGAAAAGTTAAAAACACTCTCCCAAAATTATATTTTGAAAAAACTGTTTTTATTTTCTAAATCCGGAGCTATCTTTCAACCAACATTTTTTCATAAAATGACCTGCCTTAAATGTTGCCGCGTTGTTTTAAACTTTAAACACATTATATATTATAATTATTATAAACTTGTAAATTGCTATAAATTTAAATTAACAATTTATGTAATAATTAATAATATTCTTGTAATACTGAAGTTCCTTGGGGAAGCCCAAAGCAAATCAGTTATGTTGATTCGATCATAAAAAGAACCACGCAAGTATAAAACGGGCATCAGAAACTACCGGAACTCAACCTTCAGCCAAACCACTTGCAATTTGGTATAAAATCTCTAACCTACTCAATTTCTTAAACAGGACATTAGTTTCTGTAAACAAAAGAAATAGATTTACTTGAAATTTAAGGTGTTCCTTGACGGTCAAACTTCCTATAAATAAATCGTCCTGTTGGACGTAGGCGGATTGGCTTGTCAAGGATTTAGAATTAACTGGGACTCCATTAACACATCTCGTTCCGGTGACGGTAATGCTTTTAGGTGACCTGAAAGTTAAGGCATTGAGCAACGTTGTCTTTCCCGCTCCGCTTGAGCCTAAAATTGCCAGCAGCTCCCCTGGATATGCCACGCCGCTAACTGAAGCACACAAAAGAAACACACCGATAAATATTTCGAAGAAAAGAATCAAGATATAAAGTTCGAAATAAAATTAGTATCAGGTTGTAATAAGTATCTTCACGCGTTTCTTTATAAAACCGCTGCAAAATTAAGCAAATCTCATATATGTTTATAGATTTTTTAAATGATTTTGAATATTTTTAGGACAAGATTCAGTGTATCACAATACTTTTTACTTTACACTAAAATGTATCTATTGAATTATTGAAAATGAAAAAACAGACCACTCTTTTCTTAATCGTCATTAGTAAAGCTAATATCGAAGTTTTCCTTGTAGTTTTGAACACTCTGTATGCATTATCTAAACTTTTTTTTTTATTCTTATTTAAAAGTAAAGTAAAATATTAAATTTCTGCGCCCATGTTTCCTCTCAAAAGTAATAACGTATTTTATACTTATTGATAATGGGCAAACCCAGACAGTGGCAGTGTTTGCCATGCGTTTCGAAAACACTTGAAATTATATCAAACCAAAATTATGAAAAATGTGTATGAATATTTTATAAATAATTGACCACTTCTAAATTGACCAGTTAAATTCGCCAAAATGTTTTAAATAATAATTGTAGACTGGTATCTATCATTATTTGATAATAACATGTATTTTATAATAAATTATTATGCCTTATAACCCTCTCCAAGGAATACCCGAATACGATATTTAGCGATTCGGGGAATCTCAACAAAAATATCCACTCCAGATCCAGTTCTCAGAACGACGCGATGGTGGCGTAACGCACAATATAAGTAAATATAAATTTCATTGTATTTATAAAATTATTTCGGTGAATTGACACAAAAAAAATTGACCGGTCAATTCCATGACCCCACCCTTATTTTCCTATTTACGTTTAGCGATAGTCATCATTTTTGGGAATACCGCTTACCGTTCTTTAGCAAATGTTTTCCGGAAACTGTTTGATAGCCCGACCTTTTGCAACAACAAAAGTAGGGATCAGTCTTTTGATTTTCAGTATTAGTGAAGACGTTAAGGGAATTCCATGTGTAAGTTATTCTTTCGTCTGCTGGAATAGACTTTCCGACAATGCCAGGCTGCAGACCAGCATGAGTACCGTAAATCGGCACTTGGAAGGATATGGACGTTTCCCTTGAAGTGTTTCCACTCTGTAAAAATAAAAGTTTTTCAACTCTGATAACTGTCTTTGTATGCACAAAAACTTTAACAATGGATGTTGTCAATAATTACTATATTATCTACGCCAAAATCTCTCAGATGCAAATAAAAATTGTACTCGACCTAGGACATGATATTTTGCGTGTTTGTATTCGGAATTAGATTAGCATTAACGTGGAAAAAATTCCCACTGTTGCGGTGAATATAAATGTATGCTTATCTAATCTTCGGTGACACCAAAAAAATTTGTTAAAACAATTTATCTCCACTAAAAATTTTGCACAAAATAAAATTGGAAACACCAATTGCTTTCGGTGGCGAATATAAATATATAGAAAAAAATTGACGAGAAAGTATATCCCATTATTTTGCTTTATTGAAGGTTTTAATTCATTTTTGTAATAATTTTCCATAATTTTTTTGCTTGTTCGAAATTCACCTGTGTGTCAACATATTTTACGCTATATTTATTTTGCATAATACCGCCATATTTAAAGATAATTCGGACAGGTTAATTTACAACAAGGCGTTTTTTTAGTTTACTCAACCCACGCCATTTTTTATTCACATAAAAGCCTAAAATGTATGTGCAAATATTCGCTCAAAGTTACTTAATGAACTGGTCGAATTTGCGCGAATTCATCGCTCTTTGCACACAGAATAATAGTTATTAATTGGGTAGTAGTAGAACATTAAATTAATAATTTCATGTCATGTATGTTTAAATCCGTCTGTTAAAAAAAATAGAAGATAAAATTAGAAATTTAAATAAAACTTAATTTAGAATCTGTAATAGAAAGTTTTCAAAATCTACAGTATATATCATAATTTGTTGAACAAATGCTCTATACTCGAACAGGGTTTCACGAAATTAGAAATTTTATGTACGCCATAAGTCAAGGTCTCAAAAAAAATTAAATAACCATTTTTTTTAATGTTCACGAGTTCGGCGGCGGGGCATCAGCCATACGAAAGCGGCAACATAAATGCACGCAGATACTTGTATCTGCGAAACACGTGTAACATTTAAAGAAATCGAGAATTTCATTTGCAGCTGACATAAGTCAAAATTATTGTTTAATTTTAAACAGAAAATCGGTCACCTGTTAAGAATAACAAATTTATAATACTGTAGATTTCGAGAGTTTTCTGTTTTAACTTGTATTTAATCCCGTATACATCCATGATTTTTTGATTAAAGCTTCAATGTTATGATAATTGATGTTAAAAGCATACAAAAATTAATTTCCAGTAGTCTCTGCGGCAGAATTATTTAAATTTGTCTTTGTAGAGAGGATGTGGTGCTTTAAAATTACTTGAATTTCTTTTATTAAAGCACCAATGCAACATTAATTTTTAATCTGCCGCTCATACACCGGTTCGAAGAAGTTAATGACATAATTTAAAGAAACTGGATTGGAGATTGTCGAAGTTTTTGTGTAATTAAACTCCGTCAGACTAAAGACAAAAACGAGAATAAAAAAATCAAAATTAATGTAAAATTCCAAATATTATTGCTAAAAGTAGTGGATAATATTCTTTTAACTTTTGTACCAACAAATGAAAACTGCATAATGCCCACTTACGTTATTTTCATGATTTCCGTTGATATTTTTCACGATTAGCGGCAGTTTCTCCTCACTCATTTTGGGAAAAAGAATCGGGAGCAACACAAACCTTTCACAAGAGCCGTTCAATATAATATTTTAAATATTTATTCATGCATTTAGATAAAAATATGCCGTATACAGTGCAAGCAAGCAAACGACAGTGACTGAAGTGGTATTTATTTTAGTTAGGCAATATAGGATTATTCTAGGAGAACAGTTATTAGAAAAGCTGTGTAAAATGATATCCTCCATAGTAGTCGAAACATTGATCGGATATAGGATATCGGGCCCACTTGCTGACGGCAGGCCGGAGAATCTTAAAGCTTTTAAGCGCCAATATTACAGAGTGGGCCCATAATATAAGGAAAAAAATAAAAAACTGAAAATAAGTAAAATTAGTCAGACGAAATCTATTTAAACAAATGTTTTGGGATACTTCACTATATTTTTTTTGACATTTAATAAAATAAAAAATAAATTCTTCTGTTGCACGATCACCATTTTTATCCAAAACATAAACGACAAACTTTTTAAGCTCATAATTTAATCATAATAATACATACCTTTTAATTTTTGTATCCTTGTCTATTAGGATTTGGATGGGTATTAATTTTGTAATTAAATTTGACACCTTTATTGCATTTATTGGACATAAACTTCATAAATATATATAACATGAACAATTCCATGAAAACAAGGCGAAAACTACTTAATATATAAATTTGTTAATTGTTAGTTCTTGCAAAATAGCAGTTTTTTTCATCGCAACGGCAAATTTTACTGCGAGATTTGAACTTGTTATTTCTGATAGTTCTTCTATCGAAACTTAAGTTCAAAGAAAAGAATTACAATGGGTAAAGGTTCATATGGGACAAAACAAAAACTCACCACATGTCAAATTAAAAAAAAATTGTTATGTGCCATCTGCTTGGTTTAGTTACCACCCTGTATATTAAAGTTTATACAATGTAAAAAAAATCAATGCAACGCAAAGATAGCGGAGCCTTTAATTCCCCTCCAAATACCTTTTTTAGTGTTGCAGATATGACAGTCCACCATAATTGTATACTCGTTTCTAGTGTCCAGTTCCTGTTAGTCGCCTACTTCTTGAGTTATTGTATTATTTTAGATATTTGTGCATTAACTGTGTCAAAATTTCCATAAAACAGAGCAAGATTCGAAAAAATAACAGCGCAAATTTTAATATAAATAGTTCTTAATACTAATTCTTTAACGACTAATGATTATAGCTAAACCCTACAAACTGTTTCAGGTTCAGGTATGTTTTTTAATGTCGTCTCAGCAACTAACCAAAATTATTTAAGTGCAGGTTTGATGGACTGAAAATGTTCAATCATTCGTTTTACCAATAGGAGTATCGATCGATGCTTTTCAGGTTTCAAAAAAAATCATTAACCACATTTCAATGTATTTATTAAAATGATATTAGCCTTAAATCTACTATTTACAAAAGGTATATTTTACAGAAGGCAAAAAAACTTCGTTTATTGTTCTTGCTTCGATTACCAAGTATATGCTAGAGCAGACACTACATACTATTTCCGCCATAAAAAAATTAATCGATAAGTATTTCAATAAAATGGAGTACCGTCTATCAAAAAAGTCTAGTAATACCTCCAACTAATGGTTTGTTAAAAAACATACAATTATTAGTTAAAGATTGAACAAAACTACATCAAAAAAGGCTAATTCACAGTAGACACATTTCGCCTGCCAAGCATTTTGATAACACAAATCAAAATTTTCCATTTGCTACACATCATTTGATTTTAGTGTTTAATAATAAAGATTTTTACCAAAAATGAGTGAATGAAATTGTGATGTTTCAAATCCTGTGGGAAATATTGTTATAGACTTGTGGAGGAACTTAGCAATTTCAGACCACTACTTCATAAAAAAATAATGTCTCGTTCTGGTTGTCCAAAAAAGTTAACTTCTCTTTCAGGAAGCATTTTCAGTGAGGAAAATATCGAATAACCCGAAGTTAAATGTCCGTCACTTAGACGGGGCAATAAAGGATGACTTCTCAAAGGTAATCAATTCACAAATGTAAGAAAATGTTTACATAGAGTTGGGTACAATGGTCAAATAGCGAAAAAACTTATTTTACTATTACCATGGATTATCTAAACATATTGATGGAACAATATTCAAAAATTGGGACTAGAGGGCCATTTCATGTTTCAACTTACGGCCAAACTGGTACATGAGTGGTTAATATCTAAAGTTCGGCAAGAACTGAGTACCTTTTTTCAACTTTTGTGGGAACAGAAAGAGCTTAAATTCCTGGTTACAAAAGAGTATAATAAAACTCCAAGGAATATGATCACAGATGTAGCAAAGACTCAGTTATGCGACAAAATATTGAAATAATACATTTTCAAAAAATATTTTACAGACACACATATTCGTAACAATAATTTAAATATGTAGAGATATTTTTTATATAATTCTGTGCAATTGACGAATCCGTTAGTTCGTTAATAAACCGACACTTCGAGATGCTGCATATTTATTTACCATACTATAAATACCACATTTATTTTTAATGATTACTTACAGAAATTGAAAGCTCTCATGTATTAACAATAAAAATATTAGGGTATGAAGACTTTTTAGATAGATTGCATATGGGCTAAAACAAACAGTCTACATTGGTACAATCTTTTGAAACACTAAAAAATATGCTAGCAAAGCCAACATTCATTGGCAGGATCAAAAATAATCACGCATTACAGCAAAAAATTAGATAAATATGAATCAATTCAAGCACTATGTGAAATTCATTATTTTCAAATCTTGTTGGCTTGGGTTTTTACACTTTTCCACAGTAGTCATAAAAAAATTACTTTTTATAAAGAAAATGCAAAATTGAATAATATCACAAATCTTAAAACCATTTCATATAAATAAAGCATTTCAAACCTCAGATATCAGTATAACAGTATAACAATTCTCCTCTACAACAAATGTTTGAATTTTTTTTAAATTTTTTATTTCCGTTTCTCTTCTTTTCCCATCTTGGGAGCGGGTATTTTTCTCCTTTCCTTCAGCAATTAAAGTGAAAAAAGAAGAAATAAGTGGCTGATCCTTAACACTATTTTTTTTTGTGTTTTTGGTTTGGAAGATTCAAAAGTTATGTAATTAAAGTTGGATATTCGAAACTCTGGTTTCCTCAGAGCAAAGTGCCCTATTAAAAAAAATGATCTCCTTCTCTTTGGTCTGCCAATATACATAGAAAATAAAGCAAATGATCACATATGCATTGTGACTACCAAGTCTGCTCTCCTTTTAGCCCAATTTTGTATATTGATCACTATACTTAAGACAATGGAAGAGAAAAACAATATATTTTTACTTCCAACAACAGGTCGTCATATCTATATTTTCCCCACAATTGTGTTTCATTTACTGACACAACAATCGGTGTTCCGTTGGCTTTCTCTGAAATAAGGGAACCAACTAACCAACTTTAAAATTTTTGAAAATTACAAGAATGGAAACGCGCAAATATGTTGTATCAAAAATACTCATTCTGAGTAGTTGGCACATAATTTTCTATGGAAAAACTTTCATTTAGCATCATAAGAGAAGCTTTACACTTTGTTGTTCTTTGAAATATTATGGGAAGCCCAGTTCAATGATGTTTTCCACGAGTTTGAGAGGGCTTCATTGAATTTCTGTCGAAAGTGCTCCAAAGCTTCTTCTTCAGTTTTGTTTAATACCTGAAAACAAATCTTTATTCACTTGCCATATAAACCAGGATTTCAATCAAAATTCATTTGCTCTCTGATTGTGAAAAAATGATAAAGTTTCTTCCTGCCCAGTATTAGTGCGAGTTGTGCAACAATATCAGTTTGTATAATCAGCATCGCTGATTGTGCACCTCCCTTAGACTCATTAAAAAAATTATCGCATACTTACCAAAGTTTCTCTCAAATAATGAAGATCTTTCTCGCAACTTAACTCCGGAAGACCTGTAGATATCATCATGGCCAACAAAGACAGAAGCAAATTACCATATTTGCGCAAAATTAAAAACGCCTAAAAAGGATTCTGTAAAAAAAAAAATAAGTAAAATGTTATATTTTACTTTTTCGCAATATTCTTGGAATATTTTAAATTCTAGTGCAGTCTTTTGTCCCTTGTTTATAACATAAACAAAGTCATGGGTCAAAACGAAGGGAACTCTTTCTCGTTTTATACCAAATTTTTCTTTAAAATGTCCTAAAATATGGCCAAAATCGATATGAAACAACTGAAAAAAAAAAGAACAATATAGTATTTTATTCTATAATATTCCCAGCTGATATTTACCTGCCCATTTTGCTTCACCATAATGTTATCAGAATGTCTATCGGCAATTCCCAGGACGTAAGTGGCAACACAGTACCCGGCACAAGACAGAGTGAACTCATTGATTGCCTTTTTTAGTGCAGCTTCTGTAGTGTTATAGTCTTTCAGCCATGCTAGAATACAAAATAAATAACACTTGCGGTACAGTAATGCCCTAAAATAACTACTTAACTCACCCAAAATTGGCCCTTTTCTAAAAGCCGCAGTTGCCGTGAATATTCCCTTCTCTTTTTGAATATTTGCGATCGTTTCCGCATTTAAAACAATTTCAATCATACCAACCTTATGCTCAAGTGATATGCAATTATAGGGATTCATTCTGAAAGAAAATGATATATTTTTAAGGGAGAGAATATGCTGTGTGCAAACTCCTCTTTACCTCAAATCCAGGCCTTCACTTTTCCACAACCGGTCCATCACTTTCAACATTTGCAATGTTAGCATGTCCTGTCTCAGATCATCACCGTTTTTGAATATTAAGTAAATGTCATCTCCATATGGATCAGAGTTTTCAAAAACCACCCAAAGTGGTTTCATTTTACTATCCATAACTCTGCATTTTTCTACCCTAAAAAGTTACAGAACAATATCAATTCTGATTCCACTAGCTATCTACCTAAACCCATATTTGAATAATGGAATAGTCAGCTTTAAATTTTAGTTATCGGGATTTCTAAATATTTAAATTTAAAAAAAATATTCAACATATTTGGTAAAGTTTTGCACACTTTTCATAATCAATCAATTAATCACGAAGTACCTTATTGTCAGTAAGAAATATATGTTTTTTGTACCTAATTACCGATATAATATTAAAAAACCAGTTATATTAAAAAAAATCAATCTCTTCATCTTACTTTATTCCATTCCACCTATAACTGGGATCCAATGGACTCCTTATAGGTTCCACTTCTTTTCCATCTCCAAGGTGATCTTTTAAAACAGCTTTCGCTTTTTCCTTGTCTTTCCTCTCTCTCACCATATCACTACATGTCTTTAACTTGTCTATACTCTGTAACTGTCTTTGTAGCTCTATCATGTGTTCTTGACTTCCTCTACAGTATGCTTCTAAGATGAGACCAAATCGGACAGAAACAGCGGCCACTTGCATTTCTGACCTTAAATTGAACAATTAATTAGTAACTTACGAAAGGCATAAATACCTAAAAATAAATAAATTTGCCTACCTTAAATGCCAAAACAGAAAATGCCCAATTTTTTGATTGGTTAAAGCTCTCTTAATCAAAAAATGTACTAAATCACACTCCAAATACAGTTCATGTTTGATTGCCTGAACAAGTTGTAATAAATACAGTTGAAGATCTTCGTCACTACAAAATTAATATATTGATATCATCGCAAGATAGAAGTTGTTGGTTGACAATATTTAAAGCAATGTACCTAACATCCATCAAACATTTTACAGCAAATGACCTAACCTCCTGGTCAGCATATGCATAGTCCAATAACTCCAGAGACTTTTCGACCGGCAACTTTGGCCACTCTCTAAGCAAAGCTATAACCTGACACACCTCTTCTCTTTTATCCCAGTCAATGCAGGATAACAATTTTGGTAAAATTTCAGGCATATTTCTCATCCAGTACCGTCTATGACTCCAAAGTACTTTTCTATCCTTCAACAAAAGTTGTGATCGAATTTATTGTACAAATTTAGCTAATATTCTATAATTTTTATTAACGAAAAGATTATATCTTACTTGGTCGTGGACATCATAAAAGTTGTCCATTTCATTAATCAGTCTTTTGCAATTTTCCATTTCATTATCAACAGTTAAAACGAAAGTATTCATAGACAAAATCTGCTCCTGTTCTAACTTTAAAGCATATTCAATAACAGATTCTGTGCAAGGAAACATTAGAGTTTGATCTGCTGTGTAACTAAAATCCACAAGGACAATAATTCCTTTACATGAATGAAAGTGAAACTGTAATGGTACCCTTTGAAATTTAGAGTTAAAGCTGTAGAATAATCAGTGTTGGGGTTACTAACTACTGTTCCCAATGGATGCAACACCTCATCCGACATCATATCTTCAGCATAGGTCCACATATAAAGCGTCATTGCACCTGTTCTTAACTGCCCCTTGAAATCAAAAACTGATGTGTTTGCCCAAGCTATTGGATTCATTAAGCTATCCTACAAATATAAAAATTTATTTTTTTATTATTTATATATTTTAGCATAACAATAACAAGCATTAATGATACCTTCAGATCTTTGGTTTTCCGGGTTCTAGTTCCTTTAGCATACTTGCTTAACTCATAGACGACAAAACAGAGCTTAGCATTTCTGGGAATATTGCACACTTGAATGTCGAAGTCTAGAGAAATATCAAACTCAGCATCACACTTCTCTGACACTAGTCTTTCTTCTGTTTTTAGAGGCTGGCACAAAGGTTTGCCTCCATGAAAAAGCCCTGCCTGAACACCAATCTGAAAAGAATATATATTCAAATTACGGAGAAAACAAGAATAGTAAGAAAAAAAAAGTTTGTTTTAAAGCACCACCTCCGATGCAGCAAACTGTAGGATCTGCAATTATAGTTATATAAAAATTGAAAATTAAAAAAAACTCAAAATTCATTAGCTAAATTTCAAAAAATCTCATTGTACTTACCTCAGTTATTTTCCGGGTATCACAATTTAATTTACTAGCTGTACAGACAGTAATTGCAAAATTTTCAGTGATACTCCAAGACGATTTAGCATTCTTCTTCTTCCGTAAGGTATTTCCTGAATTGTAAGATGTAGTTCGAGATTTTCTAATATCATAACCATCTACACTTTCATAGTCACTACTTTTCAAAACTATAAAAAATGATAATGTACAGAAAATCCCTATAATCCAAATTATCACAAAAGTGATAAATAGAACTTACTTGGCACTCTATCTATATGTACTGTTAATAATGTTGGTGTAATATCTTTAGAAATGCAGTCTTGTATATATCGAAATTGTATTATTTGATTATCACCAACAAGATATTCGTCTCTACCACAAACTTTTAAAACATATTCATGTACTCTTTCATTTTTAATCTTTAAAATATTGGCTCTTTTTGAAAGAATCATCTCTATTAACTTTGTTGGTTTTATCAGGGGGGACACAAAGAATTTGGATGAACTTTGCATAACCTCCTTTTCATTGTTTTTGTCTGTATAATCATATTCATATTCACACTTTGTTTCAACTTTTATATTTTTATTTTCTTTAATTGTTTCAAGCATAATATAGCTGTTTTCAGCAATCCGTGGAGGAAATTGATAGTATAATTTTTCCAACCATGTTACCTCAGTTCTTTTTTTTGCAATTTCCTCACCCATCTTCCTCATTTTAAAGCGAAAATCATTTATTTCCGAACTGTTTAATGCATCAAAGTCTTGCAATGCTAAAAATATTGAATATTTAATCAATCAAATTTCATTGCAATTTATGATTTGTATTACTACTAATATAAAAAGCCAATAACTACCCTTTCCAATTAAATGACCAATGGCAATATTAATGTTATGATCAACCGAATTGCCACGACATTCAGTTATTATAAGAACTGCTCCTGTTGGCCTAATGTCACTTAATCTTCTTGATTCATCATTTAATTCTTCTACCTCGGCCATAGAATTAATAATTTTAAAAATATAATCCGATATATCATGGAGCTTGCCATAAAGAGGCATTCGGGAGGCTTCCTCCCAAAGGTCCTGAAAGTGAGACATTTAAACTTACCTACCAATAAATCAGAGAATGCAGATAACTTACTTCTTTAATTTCAGCCAAGGTAGCATTGTAATTTGCTTTTAAAGGTACAACTATTCCATTTGGTAATAAACAAGTCAATTCAATAAGTGGGCACTCAGTAGCGATCTGGTTCCAGAAATCTGGCATATACTCGGCGGGAATAGGAACCATGTTTTTTTTGCTTTGTTCAAGTCTATCAAATCATTATCTCAAAAATTGTCCTGGGCACGACATATAGAATTTTTTATTTTAAATTAAGCATCTATCAGCCCCCCTATGTGCTTTTGTTACGAATTCATGTTGGCTCTTACAGTTTCATTTTGTATTTCTTATGTACTGTAGTCTCAATTAATAAACTTTCCTGAGAAAACTAAACCAAGTAAATATTAATTTGTTAAAAATTGAACGTCCCTTCAAAATATAATCGAACCAAAACACCCATATAAAAACAATACAACCAATGTCACTTTAATAAATCCAAAATCCCAAATGTCACTATACCGATTCCAGAACAAACTAGTTGTCTCTGCCGATACTAAAAATTAACCGAGAGCATGGTATAAAAAGTTTTTCAGTTCTATGATAAAAAAATAAAATTATTTTTAATATAATTATTAAAATATAATAAATCGATAAATTTTATTACAAATTTATAAGTCTACTTTTTCTTTTGAACATTTGTCAAAATGTCAAAATTTGTCAAAATAAGTTAAAAAATGCACACATTTATGCATAGTAGCCTCCTAGTCGCTGGAAAAACAATTGTTTATGGAATTCGGTTTAAATTTCTAGTTGTCTATATGGGTCTTAGTCTTTGTAGTTTGTGTTAAAGTTTTCAGCGGAGCCATCTCTTTCCTCAATCCTGATTAACAACTAGGCTGAACGGCCGGTAAGAGTTTGGGGCGTAGTTATTTTATTCAAATGCTTACCATGGATTTAAAAAGTCATAGCATAAAGAAAGTTTATTTGCTTTAAAAGCTTTTGAAGTTGGACGATAAGGGACCATTCCAGACTGTTTCTATTACGAAGATACCTCAGGATGTTAATATAAAACTTTAGTTTCTGTGAACTGGCCGATTGATTGTAGTAAATTCGGGAATAACAGTAAAGAAGATTGAGAGAAAATTCAGTGCTAGGTTATGTTCCAAATTATTATTGGAAAATGTTAATAAGATTTAGTAATGTTACCAAGACTTTATAAACAAGATGTAGCAGATATTAGAAAGCATCAAATTAATACTCTAAAAATATTCAATGCCAACGTCACAGAAATAGAAGTCGATTCAGAATATGAGATCTCCTTCCAAGCTGGTATTGAAAATTTGGTACTGAAAATTTCGTTGGGATCAGACTTTCCAAATGAAAAGCCCTTGTTAATGATTAAACCGGCAGTCATACATGCATGGGTTAACCCAAACGGGGTGATAACCTCTGCTCCGGGGTTGCTAAATTTTACCATTCATTCTGATTTGGGACGAGTTGTGCAAGCTATTATCCGAGAATTTCAAAGGAACCCTCCACCTTTGGTAAATCCTGCTACAGCAAGCATTACACTTTATCCCTCACCTTCTTTGTCTGAATCCAGTTACAGTTCAAGTACTCAACAAAAAAATGGTCAACACCCAGCTCTACCTTTCAGTATTTTCCCGGAATTAAATGACTTTGAAATCAAGGAATTGAAATTTCTTAATGAGAATGAAGATTACCAGGTAGAATTAATTAACAAACTACCAATTATCAAAGAGCAAAATCATGAAATAAATAATCTTATTCAACACATAGAAGATATGGCCGAAAGCAATTTAAAAAAGGAAGAAATATTAACACAATCTAAAGAAAAAATCAATTTCCAAATTGAGGAAGTCACAAAACTTGCGTTTGAAAACGAGAGGCTCTTTTCTCTATTTCAAAATCTTTCAGAAAAGTATTTACCAAGAAATATACAAGAGGAACTAAAGAAGGCCGCTGAAAAGGCCGAAGAAGAGAGTGAAATTATAGCAGAGGCTTTTTTACAAGGTGAAATAGATGTTGACAAATTTGTTTCACAATTCATAAGAACCAAAGCTTCAAGTCAGCTGCGGAAATCCAAAGAAGAAAAGTTGACTAGACAGCTAGACAAACTGGAGAGGGCTGGATTTTAACTATATTGCAAGTTTTGAGCTTGCTCTGTATTTTATTATCAAATCAAGCATTTTCTGAATTCATTGTAAAATATGTCATTTTTATGTTAAATAACATACATTATATTTTATAAGTCATGTTTTTTAGCATATTTTGAACATGTAATAAGAAACTCTTTGTTTCTATGATATCCAGTTTGAAGAAAAATCTAAAATAAAAAATCCTAACCCATGAAATGGATTTTTACCTTTAATGAAATTTGTCAATTTTAAGACTCTTCAGTGCATACACTTTCTCTCTAGGACCTAAATAGCAATGAATTTTCAAACCTCTTGGGCAATGGCTCTCTACACTGTGAGCCTGCATATGCCTGTGGTCTAAACTTATGAATTTAAATTCTTAAATATACAACTATAAAATATGCAATATTGCTTTAAGACTTTAAACATTGGTCAAACAGTAGCAAGGCAACTGGTTAACTATAATGTCGTCTCCAAAACCTACTGAAGCCTACTGTGACGTAGATTTATTAAGATGTAGTAATAATATTATCAACTTCCAGAACAAAGGCTTTGTCCAATCTGCTTATGATATAACAAAATTTTTGTATCAACTTGATTCTTTATCTTTATATTTATTTTGATAAAAACTTAAATAAGTCTAGGCAAAAATCAATTTATTGAATAAGGTTTACATATTATTGGTTTTAGGTTAGCTAGGCAATAAACTATCCCTTTGATAATATTTTCACACTACCACCATTTTCCATTATATAAGCTTGGATTATGATAAATGACCTAACGCCGGTTCCGGACTGTGGACCAACCATCTTCCTCTCCTGAACCTTGCTCTTGAGCAGCTAAAAATAGGAATGAAGTAACTAATGGTAGGGACCAAAGTAAATGCAATTTTACGTTTTTCCTTTGGTGAAGGAGCAGCCTTTCTCTCATCCGTGGCACCTCTTCTTATAGGTTCATCTCGCCGAGGGCCATCTTTATGCCATTCTCCTACACCCCCTCCGTCGCGAGAAATCCCCCTGCCAGGTGGCGGAAGTCCAGTGCTGCGACGGGGTGCCTCATCGCCCATAGTCCGTGCTCGCCAAACACCAGATTCAGGCTTTTTCTCCCTGTCATCCCTATATAAAAAAAAAACTGTTTTCTTTTTTCAAACGCGAAAGAATTAAAAAAAGAAAACCCAAATGTACCTTCCAGAATCTCTGCCTCCCTCTCTATCAAAGGTCTTGGGGCCTTCTCTTTCAAAATTTCTCCCACCATCTCTGTCATCTCTGCGAATTCTATCAGGAGCTAAAATATTGAATAAGGCAAATAAATGTTAACAAAATGATATATTCTCGATTTTATTATTTATTTGGAGAACTGTTTAACTGATCAAGTATTTCCAATTGTCTTCAAGTGAATATGTATATTAATGACAAATTTTGAAACGCACCTCTATCATAAGCTCTTTCCCTCTCATATCCACTTCTACTAATTTCACGGCGATCTCTTGGCCGGTCAGAATCTTCATATTTCTCTTTGAATTGGTCTCGCTCACGATCATGATGATCATCTCGTTTTCTTTCCTTATCCTCACGCCGCCAGTTGTCACCACCACGATCTTCCATGCGATGTCCTTGAACAAATAAGGTAAAATAGATATTAAACCTTTCTCCAAAATACTAACTGGGTGTCCAAACATCCGTCTTTTTCTCATCTTTATCTTTATCGCCTGAGCCGCTGGCTCTCCAAGACCCCAACTCCGGCTTTTTTGCAGTCACTTCCTTGTCGTTTCTTCTCCAAACGTTACCCGTCTTTTCTTTCTCCTTTTCCTCTTTCAACTTTCTTTCTATCTCTTCCTCCCTCTGTTTTTGTTTGGCCGCTGCACGGTCTAACATTTCCTGCTTCAATCTCATCTCCTCTTCTCGCTTCTCTCGTTCCAATCGTTCTTTTTCTTCTCGCTCCTTGCGTTCCTTTTCTTCACGCGCCTGGCGTTCCTCTTCTTCTAGCCTACAACCAATTTTCATTTCATTCAATATATATCGCCAAAAAAATGAATGACGTACCTGCGTTGTTCCTCTCTTTTTCTCTCCTCTTCCTCTTCCTTCTCTTTGAGGTACTTACGACGTCTTTCCTCCTTACGCTTAGCCTTCCTTTCGGCCAACCTCTTACTTCTCTCCACTGCCAGATGTTTCTCAAATTCCTTCAATTTGTCTTCATATAAAATATTCCGCTCTTTCTTGAGTTTGGCCAGGAACTCATCCTGGAATTAAAGAAAAAAGTCCAACATGGTTTGATATGGTATTATTTTTCATTCAATAAAGATTATTTTATTCTATGTATTTATTTAAACACATCCCAGATTTTATTCTTACCTTGTCAACCTTCATACGTGCTAATCTATCCCTCGTCATTACAGCCAATCTGCGCTCTTCAATAGCAGCTGCGATTCTTTCCCTCTCCTGTTGCTCCCAGAAGTTCTGATCCTGTAGCTGGCGTTCTTTTAAACTCTCTTGCAACAGAGGAATTTCTTCCAATCGTTTTGCTCTTTCAAAATAATCCACCTACAAAAGCACGTTAAGTTTTATTTTTATGCAGATTTGACAGACAAAAATATCTAAACATAGTGATAATAAACTTTTGTAGCTACATCAGATACCTTCTTTTCCTGAGATTTCAATTTAGCTTGCAGTTCCCTTTTTTCTTTCTGCAGTTCCTCAGCCTCCTTGGCAGCGATCTGATCAGCATCAAGCTTTTTAATATCATCTTCATCCAATTTCTTAAGAATCTTTTGCCCATGACCAGTTTGACTTATCTGTATAAAAAGGAAAGGGTTTGTTGATTAAAAAAAATAAAGGTGGGTGGGACTGCAAACCCTACTTGTTGCAATTTTTCTTTAAGGTGGCGGTCTTTAATCTGTTGAATTTCATTCAACGCACGTTTGCGTTCCCGTTCTTCTCTTTCCTGCTCCAATCTTTTTTGCTCAGCCAGGATCATCTGTCTTTGCAATTCTTCAATCCTAGAATCGCCATTATAATATTCACTGCAATAAAAAACTCATCAGACATGCTATACCTCTTAAGTTCTTCTTCCTCACGGACAGTGATCAATCTTTCTATATACTCCTTTCGATCTTCTATGATTTTGTGCCTCTGCAAGATTTTTTGGTGTTCCTTCACCTTGGTTTCATGATAATTTTGCACCATTGCAGTTCGAATCTTCTCTCTTTCCATCTAAAATATCAAATATAACCTTTAAACTATACTATAACCAATATGACATTTGTATTACAATATTATTATTTTATTTTTATCATTTACCTTCTTTTTATTTGGGTTAATTATATGAATGGCTTGATTTAACACAGTTGACATATCAACTAACTGATTGCGAACTTGCTCGCTGGGCATGACTTGCAAAGTTGGTCCTTCAGGTTTATCCTCGCGTTGACTTTCGCTCAAATCAATGCCGAAATGAATACATTGCTTTCCGTGGTCTATTCTAATCTGAAAATGTGCATAGTGAATGTTTATATAAAGTGAATCACCAGTCAATTTATTTAATAGATTCTCACATATTACACACAAATCCTACCTGCATATCATTATGTCTAACGCAATCAACCAACAGCCTTTCTAGATGAAATGAGTTAGCAAACTTGGCAAGGTCTAGGAGTCGTGCAAACTGTATTGTCTGATACACCTGCGCCACTTGTCTAACAAGCCTGACCAAAGTCACATCCTGCAGGGCAGGAATATATTGCTGCAAAGCAGAGCTATTCTCATCTGCCTGGATCTGCTCTATAACACTATGCACTCGGGAGCTTAAATTCAGTGGATCAAATTCTACTTCCAACCAACGATAAAGGTCTTGAAGTTGGGGAGTGGCCAAATTGACAACATTTACTCGAACCTAATGAAGTTGTTCAAATAATATTAGAGTGCATATTCATTATCAATGGCCATAAAAAACTGAATTCTACTTACCAAATCTTTTAAGAGACTTGCCCTGGTAGGCGGCTGAAATAATCCTAAGAGAACCGCTAATCTTTGCGCTTTTTCTAAAGGAGATTTGTCAGTTTCAATAAATCTATCAAATTCCGGATGAGCTGATGGTAGTGGAATAGCCAAAGTGGCCAACAATACTCTAAAAAAATATAGGTGGAAACATTTTCAGGGAATTTTTATTGAAAATTTTAATTATAAAGGCACATTCAATTTTGTTGAATTTCAATTTATGTTACCTATTAATATGTATGTGCGGTAAAATCAGGGAACATTAAAGATCGCTAATACCTTGGTAAAACAATTAGGAATTTTTATTGCCTTTATTTGGGGTAATTGTTTGGGAAAAGTTCAGATAAAGGCAAGAAAATGATTAAAAGTCAAGGTCCAACATCTGCACATACGATATTGATATGATGAAATTTTTACTACCTGCAAGCCATTCTCTGTAATTCCTCGTGTGTAATGTTTTTCTTCATTTCCTTGCTCAATTGAAGTAGTTTAAATAAAGCAGCAGCATGGAAAAGATAGTTTCCTGCTTTCCAGAATACCATAGCTAGCTTTTGATAGTAGTTTGCCATTGTTTTGGGAACAGGCATTTTCTTGGAAAGATTCATTAAATTGTGGATGTCTTCTATAGCTTTGTAAGCCTCTTGCCACAGTTCCATTTGAATAGCATAATCCAGTTGGTGCAATCTAACATTTTATAGCAAATATAACAGGAACAATTTAATAAAATCAATTTTGAAAAATTAAATGCAACTATACTATACTTTCTAGCTTACCTGGTCTCCAGGTTTAGTTGCTGGGTCTCAGGCTTAGACATTGAAACATTTGCCACCAAAGCAGGCAACTTGCAAATATCTTCAAGATGCTTCCTTAACTTGTCACATAATTTGCGAAACTCAGTTTTTCTGTTGTACTTAAGGCAAAATTGAAATGCCATTCTAGCTATATCGTGATACAAATTTTCAACATGAGCATTTGTCCGTAATAGTTCTAAGCACTGACAATAGGACTCCCACAGAAACTTAACCCATGGTGTCAATATAGTGCGATCTGAACGATCCTGTGCATCTTCGCCAGATACAGCACTTAAAAGAATGCTTTCGGGAGTTGCTAAATTATCTAAATCATCTATATCGATAACTGCTTGAGCTGATTGCTCTCTTGCATTCTCTGTTTTTTCTTCAGCCATTCTTAAATAACCTCGAATAACATTTTCCAACGAACCAACATTGACTGACTGAAACATATTTCGATACTGGAAAAGGCCTTCTTTTGCAATATGAGACTTTTTCAGTTCCACACAGAGATCTAAATACTTGAACATAATCGGTTCCAGCACCGATTCTGACCAATTGTAGGCCCATTTTTTGTTGCGGAAAACTTCCTGCAACGTATCCAGGGCTCTTGCAGGTTTTCCCACTTCGATAAATTCTAAATAAAAAAATATAATTACACTAATTAGACCGGAAAAGATAAGTAAATACATATGTGATGGGTAAAATTATTTTCGTACCATTTGCGCGTTTTAAAGCGTTTTCTGGTCGCTGGCCGTATCGAGCCATTATTGGAAAATAGGATAGTTATTCCAAGTTAAGTTTGTCACCATAAATGAAAGTAATTTTCTTGGCGAATATTCTAATAACGTGGACACTGGGTGTAACCTCTATATTAAGCTGTGAAAATGGAGGATAACTATAGATAAGTCTTAGAAGATGTTTTCAATACAAGCAATTTTACCAGGATTATTCGGCCATTTCCGACATCTGTTACGGTGTAGAGTTTGATATTCGTTTCTTTGACGCACACAATTTATAAATATCCCTCGACTCTGTTTTATATATAAAATTAAGTCATTTTTTAAAGAAACTTCCGCGGGCCACTGTAATACTTTTTACAAAACTTCTGAATTCCTCCTTCTTCAGTTTTTGTCGAGTCGAACTTGCTAACTTTTAGTTAATCAACTTGTTGACTTCTTCAGAGTTTAATAGTTTCAGGAAGTTCGACTCAACAAAAACCGAAGCAGGAAGAATCCAGACGTTTTGTAACAAGTTTAACTTAAAATATACTCAGACTTGAGGTCGCTCAAGCATTAGGAACGATACTATTGGATTTTTTCAGAACATGATTGTTACCAAAAAGGAAAAAACAAGATTACCGAATTTCAATGCTTTACGATAAAAAATTTTGACTCTTTCAGGAATGTTACGAAAGTGTCCCTTTCAGCAGACAGAAGTTGTTTTTGTTCAGAAATGCGAGGCTCTTTTGTAGTCTGTGAGTATATAAAATATAACCTTACAATTTTGTTTTCGAATGTGCTTAAGCGTATAAGGGGTTCGGCGGGTTTGATTCAAATTCCGAACAACGCTGGTCTACAGAACGCCCTTTTATCATAATGGGCAGAAAGGCGCATTTTAAAGAGGGTGTGTTGGTGAAAAAGGGACCTGGAAAAAAGGCCAAAAAGCAGAAAGATCCAGTCTTCCCTAAAGCCTTAGCAGGTAGCGTATAATTTAAATTAAAGAATATGTAATAGATCGGTTGTTTTAGAGACGGAAAACAGCGACAAAAAATTAAGCGTAAGGCAGAAGAGAAGACTTAAAAAACGGGAACAGAAACGGCAAGAAATACTAGACAAAGTTGGAAAGGGAAAGAAAAACAAAGAAAAAAATCCACCGGGACAATTTGTCAAGAAACTAACCAGTGAATCTGATGAATCAGATGAGTTCGCAAAGGAGGAGGAAGTGAAAAAATCAAAAGGCAAGCATATAAAGGGCTACTCAGATGATAATAAGAATTGGTTAAAACCAAAAAATAACAATACAAGAAAAAAACAATATCAAAATGGTGTAAGTAATAATATGAATGAGGAAGATAATGTCAAAGTGGGCACTTTAGATGATTTATCAGATGATACTGATCAGAAGGATGAATTTGATTCAGACAGTGAAAATGATGACGAAAATGGCAAATCTGATGATGATTTGCTTCCTATTGAAAAACAAAACAAAATTCTTCATAAACAACAGATCAAAGAGCAGAAATTAGCTGATGAGGAATTGAAATTAAATATAGCAAATCAAGAACATTTTCAGTTTCCCACCAAAGAATCTGAAGAACAGTTGCAAACCTTGCAGGATTGCCAGCAACGCATAAGAGAGATGATAGCTGTGTTATCAGATTTTAAAAGGCTTAGGGACAAGGAACATTCTCGCTCTCAGTATATAGACCTTTTGAGAAAGGATTTGTGCATGTATTACAGCTACAATGAATTCCTTATGGAGAAACTTATGCAGCTGTTTCCCTTGTCAGAATTATTAGAATTTCTTGAGGCAAGTGAAGTACAACGACCTTTGACCATCAGGACCAACAGTTTAAAAACTAGGAGGCGGGATTTAGCCCAAGCATTGATTAACAGAGGTGTTAATTTGGATCCTGTGGGGAAGTGGAGCAAGGTAAGTACTTTTTGTTACATGATGACATAAATTTCTTAAACCAGATGAAGAATTTATGAAATTGAGAGTGTTACAGGTCTAATGTTCTTATGTTGTTGACTATTTCTTCAATTATCATTAGGGAAAGTAATTTTTTTAAATGCTTCACTACTTCACTTGTAAATTTTAGTATTATCCTTGACAGGGTAGTACAATAATCTGTTGATCTCTAAGATGTTTGTGTAACTAAGGGAATTTTTATTCTATTGTGCTTTAAATTTTAGATTGGCCTGGTTGTATATACGTCTCAAGTGCCAATGGGAGCCACTCCAGAATATTTGGCTGGCCATTACATTATTCAGGGTGCTTCAAGTCTGCTTCCTGTGATGGCTTTAGCTCCTCAAGAAGGAGAAAAGGTCCTGGATATGGCTGCAGCGCCCGGAGGCAAAGCTTCACACATTGCTGCTGTAATGAAAAACACTGGAGTTTTGTTTGCAAATGATTCAAATAAGTAAGTTAAATTAAATGCTTGTAGAAAGTTGTGGTTTAGACTTGCTGTTCCCCGATTGAATATGTAATATTTATGTTATTCCAGGGATCGTATCACAGCAGTGGTTGGAAATTTTCATCGTTTAGGAGTAGTAAACTCGGCAATTACTTGTATGGATGGTAGAAAATATCCAGATTTTATGAAAGTCTTTTTTGATAGGGTTCTTCTGGATGCTCCTTGTACAGGTAGGGTTGCGTTTATAGTGTACGAGCTATTTAGTATCATATGTTCTTAGGAACTGGGGTTGTGGCAAAAGATCCCAGTGTGAAAACCAGCAAGGATGACCAGGATGTTCAAAGGTGTTACAATTTGCAACGTCAGTTGCTCTTGGCAGCTATTGATTGTATAAATGCGAAATCTAACACTGGAGGATATATCGTTTATTCCACATGTTCAATTTTACCTGAGGAGAATGAGTGGGTTGTGGACTTCGCCTTAAAAAAGAGAAACGTCAAGCTGGTAGATACTGGTTTAGGTTTTGGTACTAATGGGTTTACAAAATACCGAAATTTAAGGTTGGAATTGTATCAGTTTTATCACAGTATGTGTGTAGAGGTCAATTGTAGGTTTCATCCAACAATGAGTCATACCCGGAGGTTCTATCCCCATGAACATAATATGGATGGTTTTTTTGTGGCAAAACTAAAAAAGTTTTCCAATGTTATACCTAAAACTCAGAATGCTGATGGTAATGAAGACGCGGAGGAAGGTTTTGAGTTAGAACCCCTTGAAGATTCGTCAAAAAGGAAGGCTGAAGATGATGGAGATCATTTTGGTAAGCATTAAAGAAAGTAGAAAAAAATGATTGAATTTTTATAACTTAGAATTGAATTTAAATAAATAGATTTTTGGCACTGTTTTTGTCTGCTTACTAGTGGGGTATGACAGGATACAATACACTTTATTTAATGTTTTTCTCAATTATTGTCATACAATCATCACGAGTAAAATGGGATAATACAAATATAAAAATAATAAATCAATAAATAAATATAAATAAAGGAAAAATATTAATAATAAAACATTTTGGAGTTTCTGTATAAAACCTTGAGTAGAAATTTATTAGGGTGTCTATTAAGAGTGGAAGAAAAAATCTAATATAATAAAATTCTCTTCTTGATATTTAAGAATTTATTTTGTTCTTACTTTTTGGTAATCCACCTTAGTTAATTTATGAAGTAGGGCCTCCAAATAATGGTTTTGCTTAAATATTACAAATACCTAAAGTTCTATCTTAAGTAATTTTTGATCGAAATTTTTTAAAATTTTATCTCTCTTTTTGTCCATAGTTAAACAGCCAGCAAATAAACGGACACATAGAAAAGATAAAGACAATGTAAAAATCAATGCAGTTGAAACAAAAAAAGAAGGAAAAGCAAACAGAGTTTCTAAGGGAAAATATGAAGAAAGGAAGACCTATAGGACAATTAACAAAAAAAAGGAATCAAAAGCAGAAGAGAAGGATGATGACAGATTGGAGAGCACGAAACTAAGTTGGGAGGACATTCCAAAGGAAGTGGGCTTGAAAATTAATAAAACTCTAAAAAAACAGAAAAAGTTACAAAATTTCGGAAATTTTAAAGAAAGCAAATCTAAAAATAAAGTAAAAAAAATGAAATTCAATAAGAAGCAGCATTAATTCTTACTTGACAAATTATTCTGCAGATTTTCTTGTTTTTTAATTGATTAAAGACATTTTAAAAAGTATTTAGTTAATTATTTTCCAACTTTTTTCAGCGGTGTGTTTTACTTTGGAAAGAATAATTTATCCACCATCAACTAAACTCTTAATGAATTCACGTTTTTTGTATTATTTTCTGTAACCTGTGTGCTAACTAAAAGTTGCTTAATAAGAACACTTCAGCAGATTTAGATTTGCCTCTTCCTCTAATCTAAAAACACTTATCTTCTTTCCCTCGCCGACTACTGTTTTCTTTTTGACATGCGACCAAACAAATAGATTTTAATTTAGAGTACAAATACTGTACAGTAGAAATTTGCAGTATCTCCTGAGTTCCGCTCTTTGACAAATTTAACCTTTGGAGAAATAAAAGCACTAGAAAGCGACAAGCTTTGTCAACAGAGATTAAAGTAACTATATAAATGGTTAATGGTAGTATATACAAATTTCCAGTAGCTTGAATAGATCTAAGTTTTTGTTTTCTTTTGCCCTTTGTTCCACTAACTTGTCCCCTTCCTATCAATTTTAAGATAATAAAGAGACCCTCGCGCATCAGTTTTTGACTTTTTGAACTATTATGATGGAAACATGCATTGAAAAAAAAAATTTTATTTTTATTTATTCAGGTATCACGTCGAACCGTATACTTAAAATAACAATCTCGCTCGATGTCACATTCAATTTTTTTAAAATGTTCTGTTGGCATTTGGTCGTTTATGATTCTGGCATACTCGTCCAAATCCTTTTTTCGATTGCTCAATATAAACACCGGGTTTTCGACAACTACCCATCCGCCGGACTTGGTTATTTTTTGAACTGTGCAACGATCGATATATTTTACGTAATTGCTAGCAAAATAAACGATATCGAAAAATCGATCATATTTCTCGTTAGTCACCATCCTATTTAAAATATCAATGGACAAAAAGTTGATGGTCACATCGTCAGGCGCCAGGCATTTCCTGTTAGAGTTTGGCGTCGGTTCGACAGCCCCAACGTCCAAGACAAGGTTTGCCTGTTTCAGGACGGTACCACCCAGGTGAAAGTCATTCGTTTTCGTGTGTTCGTATCTCATTTGGTGCTCAATTTCGTAGAATATTTGCTTTAAATTCCTGTCGGTCAGATCGGTGGCCCTATATGCGTTTTGGCCGTTCCTGGACTGTGCAAAACTTTTGTCTTCGCATTGCAATCCGTAAGCGACGAAAGGACCGACGGTAATGTCCCCTAGGTAACCGTAATGCCCGAAGCGTTCGCCGTTCGGTACCACTGCGCAGACTAAGCTCCGGTTCGGTTTGGATACTTCCGATTCGAGCCAAGAGAAAGCGACTCCATTGAGCCGGAAACTGCGATATTCTTGGGCGCAGATTTGTTTTCCCCCCACCTCATGTAGGCGCATATGCAGGTCCCAGTCGAATGCGCCCAATTTCGAGTCGTACCTAAAAATAAATTTCTGCGACCTTAGAGTACTGCTTCTTTTAAGTTTTGTATATAATTAATGTTATAGTATTTTCTGTTAGTAGTAATTTGATTTTATTATACTTAAATAATAATAATAGTATTTAATCTTTATATTAAAAAAAAAAAACTTAAATCTCCGTCCCTCAGGTTTTATAGTGCCACCGACCGGTTATTTTCATAACTGCTTTCAAAAACAAGAGGAGACAAAGTGTACTAATATTTAATTAATATGTGAGTTGTTGAATTTTATTTGTTTTTTAATTGTGACATCTAACGTGCGTTCATTGAAACTTCTGTTACATTTTCTTAGGTTTAGGGTGTAATGCTAGGTGGTATAAGTTGGCATTGTCTCTGAATCTTATAACTAGGTTGCCGGCGTAACTTTGTAAACTCAAGCAAGAAATCGAAAATTTTTAAGCACGTTCTATAAAGAACAAAGTCGGTATTACATCTCTTACCCTTTTTAAAATCAAAGTTAGGTTCTCGGTTTTTACAGTACATTATGCAGCAAATGTAGTAAACCGCATTTGATTCACGAATTTGTTTGGGACTAGAGGAGCGAGTGCTTAATAAACATAACGTCGGAATTGGCAAACGTCAAAATTCAAGCCGTGCGTTAATATCTCCGAAAATGTCCGATTGCTCCCAAACCCGAGCGGTAATATCCCGGAAATGTCCGAAGGGGCTCGGATCCGTGGGACAAGAAACTCATGTGGTAAAGTGACGTATTTTACAGAAGGGAGTAGAAAAATAAATTTTATTTTGTGCTAATTCTGGAAGAATAAGTCTTATTGAGTCTTAATGGCTTTATTGAAATCGTTACTGGGGAGGGCGATTCTCAAAAATACAGGTTATTTCGAAAAATTGAGTTTAAGTTAGGTGCTCCTAATTGTCCGACAAGCTGTGTCTAATTCCTGTTTCGAATTGTACCAATAAAAAATTAAGTTTCACGAATGCAAAACGTTTTTAGTTAATATAATATAAACAAATTATTTTAATCAAATTTTGAAGTGGAAAGAGTACGTATAAAACTGCATGCACGCCCCTTGAGAAGCATGCGGCTCTCTGTATCATTCGTATTCTCCTGGGTGCGTTGCCTTGCCTAACCACACGATTTGATAAAACATATACTCACTTACTCACTCACCTCACACCTAAATCCTTTCTCAACCTTCTATCCCAGCAATCAACGATATTAAATTCATTCTTCGAGCACCAAAATTTAAGTAAATTTTCGATGAAGTCCCTCTCCTTGTACTTCAAATTTAATGTTACGATGCTCATTTTTTTCTTTAGATAGTCATAGTCGGTGATCATTCTGAGCAAATCGTGTGCCAAATTTGTAAGGTATCTGGCAGCGGAAGGCCTTAACAAAGCGTTTCCGTAAAGATCCATGTAGATTTTGGTCTTCTGATTGAGACCGATCGAACTTTCAGGTTGCAGGGCTGTGTTCAGCAGAAGAAGTTGTTTGGCGACCGTTTCCATGCAAGCTTCCATCAAATAAAAGTCGATTTTAACCTTGAGATAAGACATACGGTTTAAGACCTGCATGAGATTAACGAATGGCTAACTACACTCGTTAAAATCTGATTCAGTCACAATTAAACACTCTTAGATATAGAGTGAAATACTGCGAGCCAAAAAGTCAAGAAAAATCTAAGGTAAATTGTCATAATATTTTGTTTATGGGAAACTTCCACCGCTTAAACAATTTTAATACGAATGAATTAAAAATGGCGTCATTCATAATATATTTCATTACCTGTTGGTGTCGATATCTTCTAGCCAATGTTGTCAAAACGTGTCGACAATCTGTACCTCCAACTAAGAGTATGTTAATTTGTTTATCGCATGGTATACCGAATTCGTTTAATAAATCTAGAGCAGGAGTTAAACCCCAAAACATTATTTTAATTCGATATTAAACGCTGCTGATCACAGAAAAATATTTATGCCCGTTATTGATTTAATAAGTGGCAGGTTTCTACGGTAACTAAGGTATTTATGGACGCTAAATTATTTTATAAAAGAACGCTTATAACAAACAGAAAAAAATGTCAAACTGGATTACTCACAAAATACCTTACTTTCTAGGGTTGCACTGTATTACTAGACATTGCAGAAAATATAGCGTTTAGAAGATTTATGAATTAATATTGATAACTCTCTTATTGTATTAAATTCTTAAGACATCGAAATGGAGAAAAAATTAAGTACCTAGGTTTAATCTTAGGTCACAGTCTTGATTATGACAAGCGACAATGGAGCGTAATTAGAGAAGCCGTCTGTCCAGAAAACGATCAATGTCACTGTTGTGTTTGACAAACCCAAAGATTTTAATAGATTTAAATATTGTGACGAGCGAGCCGAAATATGGGAAATGGGTCCACTTAAGTAATGAACTACCTATAATTAGCGCAAAAATTACAATAAGTGACTGTTTCGATTTCCTATTCTGCGGTACGTTCCTCTCGTAATCGCCAGAGCGCTCTATTCAAACTTTCTGATATGTTATACCCGCATATCTTTACTACCTCGCCTAGAAGAGCTTTGTAATCTCATGGGTAGTTTGGACCCACTAAATTGAGAGATTATGTTACTAAAAAAAATAAATTGCTGTTTATAGTGCTTTTTCAGGTAATCAATTCCTGTTTGACGTACATGTATAACGCAACCACAAGATGTATATTCTACAAAATAGAATTGTTTAGATTATATTTCAATAGCGAACCTAAATTTCATATTAAGGCCCGCACAGGCGTCGTCCTTTTTTAGCAATTTTACCCGCACGGTTAAAACGGTGCGTATAAGTTGGTCAGTGTGTGGCCAAAAACTGTCCTTTGTGCTGGCGTTCAAAAATATCTGCCACTGCTTGATTTTACCCGTCCGTTTTAAACGCGTTCGTTCAAGTCTGTCAGTGTGTGGTAGGAAAACAGTTAAGAAGGACAGTTTTTATCAGTGTCGACTCAATTATTTTACACAGCAATAATTACTGTTAGTTTTGAGTAGTGATTTTAAAATTATATTGTTAAATAAAAATATATTACTGTAATTTTTACAATGACTGACTTAAGAAATTACAAGCAATTTATAATTGAATTCATAAAACTGTATAGATGCTATCCGTGCTTGTGGAAGGTTAAATCTACGGAGTATTCTGATAGAGATAACAAAAATAACGCTTACGAAGATGTGATAAAAAAGTTAGAAGTAGATAACTCGGCAACAAGAAATTCCGTGAAAAAAAGAATTGACTCTTTACGTGGCTGCTTCCGTAAGGAATTGAAAGAAGTCATTCAATCTAAGAAATCTGGTTCCGGTACTGAAGACATCTATAAACCACACTTGTGGTACTACGAATAGCTGTTATTCCTTACAGACAGAAGAAACACCGAGGAGCACAGTTACTAATATTGGTGACGAAGCAAGTAGCAATGGGGTAAGTATTACAAAAGGTTCTATTAAATGTTGAAAATTCCAAAATAAACTTACTGATCAAAACGGCACCTAATTTTATAAATAACAAGCCATGTAGACATATAAAGAACCTTGTTCAAGCATATTTGAACATATTTTCTTACCTTTAAGTAATGGTGTTTTAAAATAGAATATATGGCACTGCACCTTTCTGCTATAATTTTCCCAAGGCCTGGAATGATATAGCCACTGAACATTTTTGATCTTCGTAACTCCTTCCCGTAGCAAGAAATCTTAGTGTGGCGGTGAGACGTTCATGTGGTGAAATACTCTCATTATGGTATCTTGTTTTTCTATCGGTGGTGCTACTAAAGAGAGCAGTTCCAAATAAGTGTCTTCGTCCATCCGCAGGTAATTAAACCAATCTCCCGGTTCTAGTCGTAATTCATTCAAAAGATTAACATGTGAAAATTGTCTTCGCTTGAGTAACCATTGTTTAACCCATTTGGAACGTTGTTTTTTAGAATATTTTATTTTAATAGCAACTGCGGCCGCCACTGCTAACGTCATCGTAAAATCCAGCACCAATGATTTTTACCCGCAATTTCAAACAACTGAACGAAACATACAAAACAACGCGTATATATGGGGGGAAGTCGTTGTTCGTGTTTAACCGTGCTGTTTGACCAGTGCGTGGGGGCCTTTAGTGGTAGTACCAATATATAAAAATTGTTGGCTGCTGCTTTAGAATAAAAAAACTCCGAGATTTAAATTGTAATAGTATTTTTTTTGTTATAACAGCATAGACCTCTACAATTTTCAATTGTATCAAAATGAAGAATATCCTATAGCTTTCTTGTTCTAACTTTTATAGCTGTTTATGTCTTTTTACGAAACGCATTTCTTAATATAAAATAACCAAGCTATGCAACATTCCGGATACGAAAAAGAAATAAAAAGCAGGCGTCATAATAATTCATTTATTTAGGCAGTGTAATATCATCATAACACTATATTTACATCCATCTGACTTTTCAGTTGTTTTTTTAAACAAAAAACGTTGCAAACAATCGTTTCGTATTAACTTTACCAGCGCTGCTGTGCCCCCACAGGACGCCGGCGCACAAATACATTATGTGATTTTTTTTTCATAAGATTTACCTAAAGCTAAATTTTACAAAAATGCCGTCAGATCTGAAAAGGGCACAGCGCCGTCTCTTAACAAAATAATAGCAACAATGAGCAAACTTTAATCGTTTATTTCATCCCTTGTTTGCTTCGAAGGGGGCGCTACTTATCGAAAACAAATCGGTTGCGGAGAGGGGGAGAGAACCGCCTAAGCAATTTTCCAAACGTTTTGTTTCTCCGTTAAAATCGTAAAAATCGACACCCTTTAGTTTCTTAAACTACACGGGGGTTTATCAACCTGACAAATTGAATTAACTGGACAAACATTATCGGTCATTGAATCCTATTGATTTGGAGATTCCAAAAAAAACATCCCGAAGTTTATTTTACTTTATTTTTTTAAATTAGTATGCAGCTCTAAAACACGTCATTTGACTGCAACTTTTACAGTCGCAAACTTGGATGTGACCCACAAATTACGTCATTTAATAAGAATAGAGGAGTTTATCAAATTTTGAGATGTAAACTTTAAGCTTTAAAACGTTATTAATGTTATTGATTGACAAAACACTAAGTTTGTAACTACAATTTGGGGATTTGTTCATGCTCAGATTTCAAAATACACAAGGTAAATTTAAACGGTGCTGCCATCTTTCGAGGAATAATGAAGGAATTTTTGGGCTAGCCCAGATTTCTGCCCTGTTCCATTTGTTTTCTTCTAACCATTTTTTCAAATATTTGAGTTATTGATGAATTGATGTTTGATATAATTTGTGTGTTTTAATTTAACAATTTCTTAATTTCAAACTTCAAAGTAAAACCACTTTTGAAGAGTATACAGTGTGACGCAATATATGAGCAGGCCCTTAAAATCATGTCTCATTCGGTTCAGGCAATATTAAAAAGTGTGAAGTAATTAAATGGAAACCCCTAAGCTTAGTTCTCTGGTTTTGGAAGAAACCTCTCGCTGAATCACTAATTTAAAAAAATATATATTTTGCAAATTGGTTTTCAATGAAAAAAATTGAATTTTATTTTCGCTTAGTTGTTTTTCATTTGCTTTCAGCTGGATTTTGTGTTATTTCATATCCAATAGTGGTAAATGGAATCATGTTTTCATCAACTTTAAAAAGAAATCTTTCTCAATTGAAACAGAATACGCATTTCACTTCGAGACGTTCAAAATCGCAACAGAACCAGATCAAGTTACAAATCAAGAAATTATTTTAAAAGTCCGTTTTAAGGCCAATAATTTAAATATATAAGCTACACGCTACCAGACGTTATCACATGAATTATTTATCTATAACAGTGCTATGACGAGTATCCACGGCTTTAAAATAAGACTTTTAAAATCATTTCCTCATGCACAACTTAAGCCATTCGTGTTTGTACGCTGGGCCATTTTTTAAACAATTGGACAGAACGTAGTATTTAATTTATAATATTGGTAATTGACATTAAATGTTTCTACGTAACCGAGCGATTCGCAACAAACTGTGTTCAATGAAGCAAATCATCAAAGGGAATTATTGCTTGCTCTGTCGGCAGCTATTGATTTACCTTTGTTGAAATCGTAGTTTTCTTATTAGTAATACTATTCACCCCATTACCTTTAATGAGCTCGCTTTCAATGGTTTAATTCAGGAGTGGTTATAGAGAAGCACATTAATTTTTATAATTAGCAGATACAGACTTAATGCGCATTTTTCAGCATATTTCTTATTATAATTGAAATGATTTGTTATTATTCTACTGACTGCAGCAGCTAGTAAATTGGCCTGGCTTTATCTGGAAACAAATATGTTCGAAATTAATTTTAAGATTTTCAATTATCACCCATACAGCAACAATTAATCTTTAAACAAGACACTTTTTTCATTTCATGGGTTCAAAAAATCAACAACCCAAAGCGTATCTAATATGTAGTCCCATCCCGTAAGTATTGGAATGCTAAAAACTACACCTATACGTATTTTCACCTTTATTTGAGGCTAGAACTTCTCTAGTTTAATCAAATTAGTTTTTTAATTTATCAAAACTTTTGTAATTGTATATAATTAGGTTAATTTAAGATCAATTACATGTAAAGATGTTTTTTTCAATTTTTTTAATATATTATAACAAAAGCTCCGTAATTTCAAAAGAATAATACTGAATACATCCAAAATAAAGTTAACGGTAAAATTCTAGGCTTTAAAATTTAGTGGTCTATGGCAGAAATGGAAAATAATTTTAAAACATTACCAATCTCGGTGTCAAAGTCAACAGAAGCACATTTGGCAGTCTTAGGCTTCTAGTCGACCTCATACAGTTAGCGTATTTCCTTTCTGGAATGACGTCCCGCTGGTTTTAAATAACGTATTTCTTTTATTATTTATATTTTAGTAATGATCCTTAACCTAAACGTATACAGTGATATTTATGATTGTTGTATGGCCAAGTTGTGTTGCATTTGAAGATCGTTTAATTAGATTATCAATTTGCGAACGATTCCATTTTTAATTTTCAGCTTGATATTTTTCGAATTTTTCGAAAACTAACCAAAAAATTCAAGATATTCGAAATTGTTAATTGGGATTGCTGATTATATCTTTGCAGCATCTTGCAAAAGTTTATAGTCACAACAACTCAATGTCAATTTCAACGCACAAATCCGAAAAATACATTGCAAATCCGGCATTGACTGTTATAAAAAAACAACGATTTTTCATTTTTCTTGTCTTTGTCGGTTGATATAGATTAAATAAAAATTATCAAAAATGGAGTCATTCCAGGGATGATAAAGGATTGTCACTGCAACAAACACTGTAAGTATAATCATTTTGATTGCTAACAGTCAACAATTTTCATAGATCTTTCAAGAAAACTAAATACGAAGTCTGTGGCCAGACTGGCGTCCAAGTGAATCTGAAATTTAATATTAATAATGCATTGTAGTGTTGTCACCCTAATAAATTATACTCATGCCTGTAACTATTTTCGTTTTGTGACGAGCTCAAAGCGTTAGGAGACAGGAGAAACCGTCTAGGTCTCAAAAGACTTCCGATTTTTACTCGCCAGTAGTGATAAGATCGAACATCGCATCAACAATAAGTAAATCAATAAGCCTACCTCGAAAGCAGTTTGTTTGTTGTTTAAGTTTTTACATAATTCTCGTGAAATAACACTCCAAGTAAACTTACTGAAACATATTGTTAATCTATTTTGTTAACCTGTATATTATATTTTGTTTTCATACATTCTTTCTATATACACTTGCACGCTACACGTACTTTACTATACGTTATAATTTCTCTTGCAGACTTTTTGCTACTGAGCATTTAGAATTGTCTTCAGTTGCGATGAGACTACATCTCGGTATAAAGTTTTTGGCTCTGCCTTCGGCCGAGTTCGTAAAGCCCATATTAACCTATTGCTTGCAGAAACGAAATAATTCACAAGAAAATCGCTATGTTGCAGATTCTGCTTTTGAACGGGCGTTCCAGTTTTATCTAAATGAACGGGTGTTGGATTGAAATTTTTGCATAATTTACTTTGATTAAATTAGCCATTAAGAATGACTATAAACTCTCTCATTTTTACGTGGCTTGGATGATGGTCGCATACTTTTGAAGCGTTTTAGGCAGCGCTGCTTCTACATTTGGTACACAAATTGCTTATTTCATCGCTATGAACGCTTAAATTGCATCAACTATATAAGTGAAAACTGGTTGAAAAAATGTGTCTATTTCGGTTGCTTTTGATAGGTTCAATTATGAAAAAAAGAAAGGCAATTATGTAATGGCTAATCCGAAGATGTAGGTTTGAGAATAATTAAAAATATGTATATTTTTCTTTATTTAATCTTGCGCCGAGTTTCCCCTTCAGAGGTTATACATTATAAGTTCGTTATCACTGCGTATAAGAATGTTCAAGATTATTAAGTATTGTATTTGGGTTTCCAGTTTCAAATCTGTCAAATCGGTTTCATTGTTGTCATTTAACGCTTCTTCGTGCATAATTGGGAAAAGCATGCTTTCAAAAGACAGAATCTGACAACCAAGATAGAAAAACGTTGCAAAAAGCTAGAACGATATTACATACAACAATTATACCTAACATTGATAGTATAATGAGACATATTTTCATTACCCTACACACATAGTATCCATGCGATGAAAATCAGAAACCGCTTGCCGTTATATGTTGTCTTTTTTCATCACGCCGAAGGGTTCCTGAATTTTTCGGAATGGCGCAGCGTTTTAAAACATAACAGTCAGTTAGGCGTAGGTATACGTATATCTAAAACTTATTTTCTAGTCTAAGTCAACATAAGTGTACCCCAACTAATCAAAACGGCGTAAGTTAATATTAAATATTAATAATTATTTTGCGGTACGAAAACTATACAGAAAAAGTTTTGGCCATTGGAAACTACTTGTTTACTTTTTGACGAAAACCGAAACGAATCACACGATCAGCTAAAGTTTTTTACACAGTGTACCCTGTATATACCTTTATATACATGTTTCTAACGAAAAAAACGTCTTAGGATAATTTAGAATGAATAAATTATTGGCGTACTTAAACTAAAAGTGAGAATAGAATGCACACACCACTATTTAAATATTTATTAATTTGAGATTACAACCGATGCAGGTTTAGATCTCCACTAGGCGAAGCTATATTGTATCAACAAACGCAATTTAGGAGAAATTCCTTAGCTGCTATCTAGAATAATTGAGTAAGCACGTGCGAGAACAGGATTCTGGATTTGATTCCGCCACTTTCCCGCAATCTCTGTAAGATTTGGGTAGAACGAATTTCTGCTTTGGTTGCTTCTACAATTCCCATAATCTATAGTAGACTATATTTAGTAAATGGATCGTGGATCGTCTTGATCCGTTTATAAGCGTTTGTGTGTCATTAATCTCTCAAATCATCCTTTATTGATATGTATTATAGCGTAACAGAGGGTGAAAAGAACGGCGGCAAGATTAGTATGAGTTGCAGCCCAAACCGAAGGCAAGGCAAGAAAATATGGTCAACATTGCGTTGCGGATAAAATGTTCGTCTCATCGCCAACCTTTGAATAAGTATCTATACATCCTTCACCGAAACAAGTGCGTAGTAGGCCTTGCGTTGATTGTAATTGGCCGTTGGTAAATTAGATGGACCAAGTGTCGGTTTGTTGACATACCGTGTTGCGAACGGGGTTAAATATTTAATCAGTAACCCCGTTACAGGGCAAGGCTATGTGGAACCGATAAATAAATCTAAACAAACGCATTTTAGTGTCAAACTAGATAAATATTGTAAAGCAAAAACGATGCGTAAAATTTTTGATCTTTTCATATAAAATATGGTAAAATCAATAACTAACTAAATGGTTTGTAAAAACGACCCGTCAGTGGCACTGACTGACAAATGTAACCAGCTTGATGCATTGCGCGGGACAATAAAATAAATTATCTACACAGTGACTTAATTTTAATTAAGTTGATAACAAAAAAGTTCCAAAAATGGACGAGTTCGAGGCATTTAGGATATCCGTGAGATTTTCCTTCGGCTATTCCTCTCAGACTTTTGCATTTTTCTCGGCAAAATCAAGTTAAACAGGTAATGATTGTCCTATTTAATGATTGTGAAATAATCGCATTTGCAATATTACAATCATTTAATGCTATTTAAAGTTCCAAGCACTAAAAACATTTTTCACCGGTTACTTTTGTAGTAAAATTGCGCCTTTATATTGTAATTTTATTAACTAATTGGGACCTGAAGTCAATTCAAATCGACATTTTCTGCACAATTTAATGTCTTCAATGCCACCGAGTGTCGATACACTACAATAATTTTGGGACCCTTACAACTGCTTTAACGTGTTTGCGAAAACTGATAAAACTTTGTAATGTATCACTAAATCCAGGATCGGAGAGCATGAGAAAGATGTCCTAGAAATTTGTTGATAGATGTGGTAAACGACAGGGCAAAGAAATGGCTCTTCCTGAATACATAAAAAGGACTGTTTTGCTGTTTAGAATCCTGATTTTCAAAATCAAAACGTTTTAATATTGGTAACAAATGTTACGTGGTTCTCGCATTCTTTCTTTATTATATATTTCTTTTATTTATATTTATTCCCTTAACTAAAATAAATTTTTGAAAATTTTTGCTAACCAGAACTAATCCAAATAAACCTTTATTCTGTACTGGTAAAATTTGGCAAAGGAATTTGTCAACGACTGTTATTGAAAAAAAAAGTCCGCCACCGACACTTTGCTGTGCTTCAAGAAAACCAAGTTATCCACGAAAAAGATTGAGGAACCAGAAATATTTACTAGTGGTTTTTAAATGCAAAAATATTCATTAATGTGCTTGCCGGCGTACAGAGTCAGAACAAAATTAGTTCATTATCAGTACAAGAAATATTTATATATATTTCGCAAAACTTAATTAGTAATTATTATAATCCAATCGATTGTTAATTGTAATTATCTAAAGTTAATTCAAATAGGAGTGCTAGTCCTAAAGTAAAAATCAAATCTCCCATTTTGTACCTTAAACAGGTACGTGAGCGTCTCCAAATTTCTTTCACGACCTGTTTTGTGAATGAACTGTTATAAGTTTAGTTATCAACAGTTAGAGGAACAATTATTGAATGTTTGAAACGTAGAAAATGACGGGGTTTGTTTTCTGTGCTCGTCCGATCCTGAAACTCTGAATGGAACACGTGTCTAACTTACGATCTACAATAAAAAATCGTTCGTGTCCGAAAGATTTCGTAAATATAGGACGCAGGCTACCTTTCGTCGTCGATGCGATTCGGAAAAAAAAAGAATGAAGAAATCAATAAAATCGTCATCTCGGACGCAAGGCAACCGACAACTAAGGCATAATCGCGACATATCCAAACTTGACACACCACGAATTTAGAATTATGCATGTACCACAAACGATACACGTGTCTGCCGATCGCCCGTTGGTCGTACCTTGAACGTCAGTGCGCGTCGCTCCGCCCAACTCTGGGCGTCGACGTTGGTGCGGTCATCGCTGTTCAGAGAGGTGGATCGATCCGATTGCAATACGTCACTACTACGCGCGACGCACTCTCGCGCTCGTTAGTCGGAACAGGCGGCGTTCGACAGGTATTTAGTATTTGTTTTAATAAATAATTGTTTTTAGTTCAACAACTAGTATAACAGTCTCTAAGAAATTCTCGTCCGACTGCACACATTACACTTAACACGGGGAACGGGGCGGGGTATAGTGGTCAAGGTTTTCAAATCGGGCCGGGGAAATGGTTGGGGTTCACGATATAATAGTTCGAGTCGCTTATGTCGGCGTCCATGGTTCAGTCTTTCTAGGTTAAGCACGTTCTTCGGGTAAATTCGGTTGACACTCGTGTGCTTGCGGTTAAACCCATCGACACGCTGGGAAAACAGAACTTGCGCACTTTTTGTTTTAGACAAAAGTTTTCTCTATCTAATTAAACCGCTATATACGCTTGTCGATGCAGCAGCAACCGCCTTTTGGTGTGTGAAAAATATGTCGCTAAAATTGTAACCAGCTGTGCTGGACAAATTGCGGTGAATTCGATTTGGTTTTGGCGCGAGGTTGACGCATTCCCGGAGCTTGACCACTTAAAATCGTTCAAAATAAAAATATAAATAAAGAATCTGACAACGTCGCTAACATTATTAATTCTTAAAGGGAATTTCTCATCCTCGGAGACAAGAGAAGAACATATTTAGAAAGTTTTGATTACTTTGTTTTCTTATGAATGTGATTTCTGTTGCAAACAATATTATTTTAACGTTTCAGACATTCGGCAGAGAACTAATTCTGGCAATTTGTTATAAAAAAAGAAATATTAGTGCCATAGTTGTCTAGTAATCTCAATAGGTTACTGGAAACTAATTTTCTTAATTTGTTAGAAACATTAAATATTTATTAAATTGATGTGACGAATAAGATTGGTCTTTAAAAATTCTTCGTCAGTGATAATTCAATGCTTGAAATATTAAGAAAACCACTTCAAACTGGTTGAAACAAGTGAACAATACGACTACTACAACAACAATGACGACATTACTATTGGACGAGAAAGAGCAATGGACTGTAAATTTTTATAAAATTGAAGCTAGAAATAACGCGGCAATTCAAATAATAATGTATTGATGTAATAGGACGAAACAATGACAATCTCTTTTTTTCTTGGCCTACCTTGATGCAGCTCTGGCTGTTGACTGGCACAATTTCGCAGTACTTGACGGCACTCAAGATTTTAATTTTGACGCGTTGGTCTCTACCTGAGTCATACTAGTCAAGATCACAGCGAAGTATGACTCCGGAGCCACATACGAGTTTTTTCTGGCCATATACCCAGTGAGATTGTCACCAAAATACGCGGAGAATATAACCGTAGCAATTAATTAAATGAAAACCAATTTCAATTTGCTCGATATAGAAATTCCCGAATTATAAAAATTAAAGAGGAAAAATAAAACAAAACAATTCCGATTGGACGGAACAACTATAGAATACATATATAAAAGAGTTTAGGTTAGTTTTGGTTGATACTTAATGCATCGTTACGTAACAAGAAGAATTCTGGTGATCTTTTAGGTTCCAAATTTTTTTTTTTTTCAAAAAAATTATCAGCTAGGCTCGAGCTGGTCATTAAATAAGGATTTATATTGTTTTACTTCAAATTTAAAATAAATGCAAGAAGTCTATCGCGTCCGAACAAATTTCTTTTAGTATTCTACCAATCAGTTAAAAGTAGTTGATGTATTCTTTAGATAATAAACTTTATTGTAATTTAGCAAATAATGTAACGTTTGATGAGTTATTAAAACTTTCAAAAGTACGAATTTACTTATAGGTTCAATATGGTATAGTAAATAACAATACCATGATAGGAAAAGTGGATTCATAGCAGTTTTTCTTGGCATAAAAATTGAATTAACTTCTTTGTACCTTCGCTAACTATTTTCAAACCATTAGAATAGATAAATCGACATTATTATAAAACTGGGTGTTCAATAAATGTGTCATTTTCTGTTGTCGTCAAAGACGTGTCGTCTAAAGTGGTAAAATATATTTTTTTATACGTTTCTTCTAAATATTGCTAGAGACTGCGTCAATTCCATCAAATGTCCCCGTAATTTTGTCCGGTACGCCTGTATCCGTACGGACGAATTCAACAATGTGCCCACGTCGGCAAAAATTTCGACGTAATAACAATAAGTAATTAAAATCCTATTAAACCCTAAAAAACTGCTATCATCGGTTAGATCGCGTCTTTATACTCGTCAACGTCACTATCTACGTCATCCGTTTGACGTTCCGCGATAACGGCGGCGGTGGGGGGCGGCAACGAAAGGACACGCTTCGGTAACGGCGGTCGGGCGCGCGAATATGCCCCCGCCACTGGCGGGCGGGCGGGGCGTCGACTACCCGACCTGGACGCGACCCCTCGTTTCGACCACTATCAGTGTTTATATTCGGGATAGCGCTTGGGTCGGTGGATGGTCGCGTGGTCGGGGTGCGGCAACGGTGGTTGCGGAGGGTGGGGCGGTCCGGCCGCGGGCGCGCGGGCGATACTGGGCGGTTCCTCGCTTGTCGAGCTGCTCGGCGATGGGAAGTATTCGCGGGGGGGCGGTCCTCCGCCGCCGGCCGCGCCTCCTGAAGCCCCCGCGTGACCGCCCATGGCGTCCTCACTTGCCCATCGGGCTAACTGCTGAGCTTGAATAAAGTCATCACTAGAAAAACGAGTAAACATAGTGCCAGGACTACCGGGTTTGAAGCACGCGGTAGTTTTTTTTTATATTAATAGATTACAGGAATAGTACAGTAACCAAGGCATCAAATAGTAAGAAGAAGGTCCACTTTCCGCATGTGACTCTCTTTGGCATTGATTGACTTAGAGGCAACAACAAGCATATACAGGCTATGTTAGTTGTTTTTTAGTGCTGCTCAAGTCCGTTAACGATATACTGCTCTTTACTTTTTATAAAACTGCCGGATTCCTCCTTCGTCGGTTTTTGTTGACTCGAACTAGCTAACGCTTCGGGAATCATCCTGCTGGCTTTTCCAGAGCTTGACCGAAACTGGCTCGTATTTTACTCTGTAACTGCTTTTATATTGTTTGATGGGGGCGGAGCTAAATGAGGGGCACAAACAGCGTCTCGGATGACTGATTCCCATATTGGTGACCTGAGTCGCGGTTAAGATTGTTAGGTTGCTTGTAGATTTATATAGACTCTCGGATTTTTCGTTGGTAGAAGAATTGATTACATGCAAGAATTTTAGTTTTAACGAATAAAATTTTATGAGCGGTTCCGTGATTGTGTTCGGCAACTGCTGATGAGTTTATTTGTCTTAGTTTTAATATTCTTTGAGTCTAGTTGATATTTTTCGTCCGTCTCTGAAATCTATTCTTTGCCGCATATGCATCGAATGCTGTATAAACTCCTGGCATCTCAAATGGAATTTTGTCTTGAGGGATCGAAGATGTTGAGAGATTTTTGGACAATTGGTAAATCTGGTTTTGCCATTATAATTCTTTAGAACTTTTGATATGTGGTCAGTGATGTTTTGAATATAAGGAAAGACAATAGTGGCAAAGTGTGGGATTAATTTCGATTTCATTGCTATTGGAAGGTTGTGGTGTGTATTTTGTGATAGAACGCTTAATATCTTTAATGTGGAAATTATTAGAGAGAAGAGCAGAGGTAAGGTGTTTTAATTCTGGGTTCAATGACTCGGGCTGAGATAGTTTTACGGCTCTGTAAACAAGAGAGTTGATAACCGATGATTTCTGGGCTGGATGGTGATGTGACAATGCACCTTAATGCATTGCGAGGAATTTTAGAGTTGTGAGACATCACTGACCACATATCAAAAGTTCTAAAGAAATATAACGTCAAGCCCAGATTTACTACTTGTCCAAAAGTCTCACAACATCTTCGATTCGTCAAAGACAAAATTCTATTTGAGATGCCAATAGCTTACAGCATTCCATGCAGATGCGACAAACAATACACGAAAACGAAAAATCCGAGAATCTATAGAAACCTATAAGCAACCTAAAAATCTTACCCGCGACTCAGGTCTCTACCTGTCACCAATATGGGAATCAGTCACCCGAGAGGGTGTTTCACTCCGCCCCCTCAAACAATATAAAAGCAGGTACAGAGTCAAACGCGAGCCAGTTTCAGTCAAGCTCTGAAAAAGCCAACAACGATTCAATAAAAACCGATGCAGGAGGAATTCAGAAGTTTTAAAAAAAGTATTACAGTAGCCTGTGGAAGTTTCTTTAAAAAATATTGCTCTTTGTTCAATTTTGCTTGGTTGCTCGTTTTCAGCAAAAATATTCTCTAATTTTGTCATAAACGTGAGAATGGCCATTCTTATCTTGTTTGATGGTGGGCGATGATGACAGTAAAAAAACGGACCAGCTGAGATTGCAATACATCAAATTTGATTTTGTGAAACTATATATAAAAACTAAACTCTAAAAACTTATGCTACCTAGTTACCCATATGAGTAATTGGAAAGTCTTAAAATAATTATCCTTATAAGGTAGCTCTTAAGACTATAATTATAATGTCATCGTTCTAGAAACATCAATAAAATTCTATAATTATATTAAAAGTATAATACCCTGCATATTGAAAACTAATCATTTATTAACATATGTTTACGCGAACTTTGAACATTGGTATTGATTTTTAAATTTTTTTGCTTCCAACCTCATAAATTCTTTAATTTTGATAAACTTTAGGGGATAAAACAGCACTACAAGATGGAGTGAAGAGAAAATCAATCGTAGAAACATATAATGTCATCTTGGTAAGATGCCTGGCGTTTCTCCAAGTTACCTGACTCTGAGTGAATTTCTACTTGATCAAGCAGATGAGAGATGGTTATAGAGGACAAACGTCGGTTACCTTTCACTGTCAGGCATATCCTGACATCCAGAGGCACCTTTCTCGTGATCGGCGCTCTCGTAAATGCCTTCGTCCTCGGGTTGTCGATCTCGATGAGGATGAGGATACGACATTCGCCCCAATGGTTGCCTATATCTTCCGTAAACGAGCCTAGAGTCCCGATGGGATTGATGCGAACTCTCGCTACAAGCTGTAATATGCCTATGTTGAAGTTTGGTCCTTACCAGAATGACCATCAATACTGACCAGACGATGATTCTTGGCGATAATGCCTGTCAGCTTCTGTTTCAGACATTCGAATGTCTTCCGAACCGCTAGGACTCATGTGGCGAGTGTGGTGTTCCAGTTGTCTGATAAGGTCCTCCAGGTTTCGAATTCGCAAACATGGAGGCACCTCGTCGTCGTCCTCATCTTCGTGTTCAATCACGACTTTGTGGAGCTACAAAATATAAAAATCCAACATTGATACAAATTATATTGTAAGTTTTCTGATTGTCGAAACTTTAGAAACAATAACAAAGTCTTGTTATATTAAAACTCGATTCCAGAATCACACTATCCGGTGCTGAATATTGTCTCCAAAATACACGATTATATTGTCGAAATAAATATGAGTTTCAATGAGGTTTATATCAAAGTGGGCAGTTTTGGTTAATTTTCTATATTATAAAAATACACAATATTTCATATCCAAGTATAAAACTTCCTATACAGAAATTACCTGACGTTTGCTTCACGCGTTTTAAGTTAGTTAGCTATATGCTATAGTCCTTGGTAAGTTAAAAGATTATGGAGTTCCATTCAAAATTTGTATTAAAATAGAATACATTTTTGACACCCTTTTTTACGCTTTTTCTTTTGGGGAACTTCAGTATCGTTATTTTATTAATTATAGTGATAATGTCAATAAACGATTTGGTATGTCAGTTCAAACCTTCATAACTCCATCCAACGTGGTGCTACCTAGTACAGTTTTCTTATTGAAGCAAATCTGTTCTGCCTGGTTCATATCACAACGTTTGATTTTTTTGCACAATTGGTAAGTATCCGAAATCGTGACAACCTGGAGTTTACGTGTTACATCAAAATTTTGAAAAACTACTGTGACTGACTGACGCACCCCTTGGTCGCAGACGTTCTCCTTGCTTCCACGACCTTTATAGTCGGAGTAACTATCAGAGCACTGCTGTAGGCTTCTACGCAAAAGCTCCTCGCTCAAGGCGCTGCTACTACCGGAAGGGGTAGGTATTCCCCTTTGGGCGGCCGTTTTCCTCAATGCTTCGACGATATCGTCGTGGTACCCGTTGAGGGTTTTCAGTGTGCGTTCAACTTCCGCACCAGAACCTGTTTATCAGTATTGTACATCAGATTATACTATACATTATTATAACATAGGCTAATTTGAGTTGAATTTGCTATTAAAAGTTCTGGAAAATGAGAAAGTTAATTTAGCTATATGTTAGTTTTGGTTAGTTCGGAGTTTTCCAGACATTGAGATCAATATGTAAATCCTACCTTTACTTATCTTGAACGGTTTTTGAAAAAAAAAAGAAAATAAGTATGGAAAGTATTCTTTTCTTTGAGTTAGACTTGTATGTGAGTAAAAGCTACATGTTACTACTTCCAAGTTTAGTTTTAGTAAAAAAAAATGATCTATATACCTTCTTGCACTTTGAAATAGACGAAGAAGTAGTAAGATTTAGAATTTTTCAAAGAAACTTCCACAGGCTACTGTAATTCTTTTTACAAAACTTCTGGATTCCTTCTGCGTCTGTTTTGTCTGTCAAGCTCTGAAGAAGCCAGAACAGGATGATTGGCGAAACGTCAGCAAGATCGACTCAGCAAAAACAGACGCAGGAGGAATCCAGAGGTTTTGTAAAAAGTAAGAACTAGAATTTTGCGAAGATTCTGAATCTGAATAAAACTCCACTAGTTTCGGGCAAAGCGAGATACGTCAATACTTTTAAAATACAGATTATGTCTTGTTGGTTCTTTATTTGATTTATCTTATATATTACTGTTATTAATAATATTTACCGCTCATCAGCTGGGCCATGCTGGCTTCTGCTTGTCGCATAAGATCATCTGCTTGGGCACCATCGGCCCACGCCTCTTTACCATCAGACATCAGCATTCCGTAGTCGTGTTTCTTCAAAATACCCTTTTTCTCTGGCAACTTCAGGTTATTGTGCTGGAGATCGATGAAGGAAACTGTCTCCTCTTCGCCTATCGAAAATCTCGCATTATTTTTATGCTGTGCCACACCAATTTCCAAAAGAAACAACCAAACCAAAACATTTAACACCTTCTAGAAGTGAAGTTTCGCACAAGGGCTACTTTCTGAGACTTTTCGTAAACGCTTCTGGTTACATGGCGCGTGGTGCACCGAACCTGTCTGGTCAAACCCCGAAACACCACAGCATCTGACATGGGTCGTGTTTTTTATAGTGCGATATTGATTGTGCGATCAAAGGGGTAAGGTACACGCGGTTTAGTGTATGCTCTGTCTCTCTCAAACCAATCTATGCCAAACATAAATACTAGTTTAATTCTGCATCGAAGTGTATTTCGAAACATGTCTTGGCCTTATTGAAGTCCTTCAATTAGAGGAAGTTATAAGCGTTTAGACTACAAGGATAAAAATATCGTACACGACTCGTGGGCTCGATTATATGGAGGAAGAAACAATAATAAATAACAATAATGGTGCCGGCTCATAAATTTGAACGAAGCTCGTACCGTGTTGATGCTCTTGGCTTGTAACCGAACTCCACAAACCGCGCACCTTGTAAACTTAAATTAATTTGTCTAATTTATGTATTTATTATGAAATAAATTAGCTTTGGAAATAGTAAGTTAAGTAAAAGAAATTTAGTCATGGTTTAATCTTGACAAAACGTGGCTTAAAAAATAAAAATGTCTATATACATCTTCTCAAAATAGCTTCTCTAAGAGTGTTTTAGTATGTAAGTATAAAATTTTGCAAAATATGTGTGCTTGTATGAAATTTACTTACCGGAATGACCTTGATCGTCCTCCCCACCCACTCCAATCCTTTTAAGTTGCATTTTATGATCCCTACAAAGTACGGTATACAGAATTAAAAAATAAACTAATATCTTGCTCAGAATTTTTGTACCCAGTTTCAGTTTTTCGTTATTTAAAATTTGGAAATTTTTACCATGAATGGTGTCTAGAGTAGAAAATTCGGCGTTTTGTAAAGTGGGTTCTGATTACGATTTTTGGTTGAATGATAATACTGGTGTTCATACAGACAAAATTCTTTTGAGGGCATTTTAAATCATAAGTGACTTGGGCAAGTAAGACTTAATATCTGATTGCAACTTATTAGAGCTGAGTTCAATAATAACAAAGGTGTACAAGGGTACAGCGAGAAAACGGTAAGTATAGGTAATGTCACTAACTGGTAATGCGATGATCCCCCTGCTGCCATGTGATTGGACGGTCGAAACAGCACCCGCTGTGAGTCCGCTCGGCTAGTAAAAAACATTGTTTACGCTCTGTTATGCTATTAATACGATCTCGTATTAACACCCCATTGCAAATTGACTTTGAAATAGAAGAAAACAAAATTGCAAAATATTTGCAAGGAAGTGTTTCTTAATAAGTATAAGATTGAATAACGGATTTGTTTGAAATTTGGAAAAGAAAGCGGAGCTAGGATCGCATTTTAAAAAAATATTTTAATACAAAAAAAATGTTCATGTGCCTTCCATGCCATTTTTAAGAGGTGATTTGTTTTTTTTATGTATTTAATTTTAATGCTTTGACTTTGCGCACAGACCAAAAATTGAGGTACAACAATTTATCGAATCATGAAGTTTTGTTCATTTCAGTAAGTTGTAGCCTCATTTTGTGTATATTTTTCTTTCTCCTGGCTAATGACAGTTTTGATATTCAATATACTCCGATACTCAAGATAGCGATTCTATAGTGGGGTAAGTGGAAACGGGATATTGTTCAATTTTGTTACCATAAAGTGTTCACATTTCCATCGATATTAAGAGAGGTTTGAAAAAGCCATAACACTGAAATAATAAAGAATGAAGGAAAGCAAAAAAAGAAAACTTAGATGCCTAGGAAATCGGGTAATAACGAAAGCAAAAATTCACCACCTGTTTTTAAAATAGCGGAGCACATGGACATTATGGTTGTTGCACTCTCGAAGCTTTTAAGCATTTATATATTCAACTCTTTTATTGGTCTTCAATCATAATGATTAAGAAGGTCTGTAAAATCGAAATCCTATAAAAAGCTTTAAAAACATTGTTTTTAAATTCGTAATTACAAAAGCTGTCTATCGCATGCACTCTTTTATACCGAAATATTATCCAGAACACTTACTCAATGTAAACTGAAATGTATTGATGTAAACTATGATTTAATATGAGAGCAGTTTCAAAAAAGCAATATAATATTTCAAAATTGTTAAAACTTACCAAATGGTAAAGGTAAGTTTGTTGTAAATACGTTGTACGTTTCTAGCAAAGCTTTTATAAATTACTTAATTCATTCGAACAAAACCGTTACACAATCTGATAAGTTCTTGACATATTCGCACAAAGCTTGTACCCTAAGGCATCTATAGGTTTTATTCCGTATGCACTGAGATGATATTTCCAACACATACTAATGAATTCGCTTGCTCGAAAATATAACAGGTAAACTAAAGAAAACCAAGTGGCATTTACAAAGCGCATTAAAGAAAAAGAAAAAGTTACCCATTCAAATCGCACTCACACCAGGCGGAACGGTGATAACAACCAGTGAAGGTGGGTGATAAGAAGTTCAAAATAAGGTGACAATATTAAAATTAATAGTGTTAGTTTATTGATGATATTGGTTGATGATCTATCGATTGCCTTATCGAGGTTTAGTTCTAATTATGGAGGCTAAAAAGGAGACAAATCCGAATCCTAACCCTAAGTGAACGGCAAATATATTAGAGAAAACAAGATTTATCTAAATACACTTTTTACATATTTGGTGAAACGAGAATAATGTCGGGACATATTTTAATACACTCCTTTTTCCCTATATCTCCTCCTTGTCGCCGTCTATAGTTCTCTTCTTCTCATACGACAATTGACTGGCAACTTTTTGGCAGATCTCTGCCAAGGATGACATTTTAATTTGGTATTTGAAAGGCGCGATGTAGAAAGCAATACAATAAGTTTTTTGGCGAAATACTGTTTTAAAAAATCTCTACATATCAGCATAACTAAGAACAATTGGTTATCGTTACCTTTGTGCAGAGGTAAATTATATAATATATCAAAGTAGGCATTTTAAAAAAAAATTAAACAAGAAGATTCTTACCAACAAACTTACGTTTACAACCACTACTGCACCACCACTTTATTTAGAACACTGGACACGTGTTTCGCCAACCAAGTTGGCATCATCGGCAGATGATATAAACTGGTAACTGGTATATCATCTGCCGATGATGCCAACTTGGTTGGCGAAACACGTGTCCAGTGTTCTAAATAAAGTTGTGGTTCGTGTTTTATCCATATTGGTGATGTATCAAAATGACTCAAGTTGTTTCAACTTCCAAAAATTTTAGCTACTAAACAATATCTATGTACAAACAAAAAAAATGTTATCTGGTTAAATTTGTGAACAACTGCGGTGTTTGGTTTACTGCCATGTTAAAATTTTAACTACAAAAGCCTCACAAGTCAGAATTTTTAAAAAACATGTCAGAATTTTAAACTTACTCAGAATTTCGGAAGATAAGCCAGAATTTCTAAAAAAGGTAAGGCAAGTCAGTATCTAAGTACAAATAAGATTCATTTTATTGTTGGTTTTCGATATTGCACAACTTCCATACTTAGAAAACTTGCATTTTCCTTTCTAAAATACCGTGTATTATTCATCTATCTGACCGCTAAGGACAAAGGTCCTTGTAATTCCTTTAAGACTGATGTTGCAACGATTAAAACCAACTAACCGACGAGGAATTCAACAAATCTTGCCTGCCCATGGAGACGGGTGGCTGTCAAGTTTTAACACAAAAAGAACGACAGTGAAGACAATCTTTTACAGCCACCGTTGAAAAGTGAAACAGAAAAGTCGTAGCAACTGAGACTGATTGGATGATTCTTGATAAAAAAATTATAAGCAACAGTGCAAGGTCCTCTGGGTGGCAATAGAAAAATAGTGGTTGAAAAATCCTGCCATGCGGAGAGCCTTTCTTTTCAGATAGTTCTTCCGTCCAAGACATTTCAATGTAGCGCTTCTACATCAAAAACTACTTCCTGTCCTTTTGATTTTGAGACATTCTGACTTGCTTCTCACAAATTATGACCTGTTTTCTAGAAATTCTGAGTTATGTTAGAAATTCCGAATTTTTTTTCGAAAATCTGATTTGTTTTTCAAAAAAATTAAAACCCATTTTTTATTTTCGGTGATGGCCAAAATGCGTATTCAGATATTTTGGGGAATTTTGCAGATATGAAATTCTGAAAACAATTCATAATGTGTTCATTAGTTGGGTTTGAACTGTACAGTCAAAAGATCTACACCTCGCAAATATTTTGATATTTCAACCATTAACATCGTGATCGAGAACCAATTTGAGTGATGAAAGAAAGGAAAAATGTAGGATAGCGGACCGAAAACTCACCCAAACGATGACACGCTACCCGCCGGGGCCAAGGTCAACATTTTGGTGGCCCCCGCGCCATCTAAGCTGTCCTCTTGGGAATGGTTTCCCGCCGTCAGGATGTAGTTTTTCGAAACAGGCTTTTTGTAAGCCTTCTCGTATTTACTCACTGTCGTCTTCCTTCATTTACGTGGGAGGACACACGGGGAAAAAGCAAGAATTGAAAGAATTGAATGGGTTAGGTATGTTTGCTCATGTGACTCGATTAAGAGTTCTTCTTATTATTTTCTGACGTGTTATTCAGGAAGATTTTTTCAACTTTCCGGGACAAACGAAACGTAATATTAAAATATAAAATATTTTTACTCGACCGTATCCAGAATATTAGTAATGTAGAAATGAAAAATTAGATAGACGAATTTGGGTGATAATAATAACTAGGTATAATTACGAGTGTTATCGATTGTAGATATCGTGAAAAATTTAGAAAAAATCAACGAGGCAAGTCTACGAGATTTAAGTTCAACCCTACGTTGGAATGGAGCATCTACACTACACTACACATTTTGATACGATGTTGGAACTAAATATTGATCATCGTTAAAATGATAACGAACTAATGCATTATTCTCATCGTCTCAAAAGGAATAGGTCACTTTTTATATTAGAGGTTGAATAGCTAATACATGTTTGATTACAATTTTGAAATTGGCACTACTACCTGAAAAACAGATGATATAAAATTTGTTAATAGTTCATCTTCCGTAATGGATTGCCACATCTCTAAGAATTACATATTTTTACCTGGTTCAGTAGTTGCCACTAAAATTCGACGGCCTTTTAATTTCTTTTTCCATAACGTACACAACTTCTAACACATTAACACCGATTTTGAAATAAATTCCCAATCAACGCTGAAAAACTTATACGCTTATACACGTATAGAGTAGATGCGACAGGATTTCTAAAGAATTGTTGCAAAAAACTTCTTGAATATCACCATCATAAGAAGCCAACACCAAACATGGTAATAAGTGTTGCGTTTTAATTTCTAGTGAATCCGATAGGAACAAAGCAACAAAGCAAAATTAACTGAGAAGAATTCTTTGCTCGAGTCAAAAAAAGAGATACAGGAAGTGGTAGATAGGGCCAAACACCCAACACGCATTCCAGCAAACTAGCATATAGATACAAGTAGTCACATTTAGATATACAGCAGTCATTATAATTACATTGACGATAAAAGCACGCATGCGTACCGATATTTACGTCCGCGCAGCACTCGTTCGGATGCTTGTATACTGCGCAGACGCAACACGCTTACTCACATCGACAAAGTGCATGAGTGCAGGCAACAGTTCATGCAATGAAGGATCATTGAAATCTTTTATATCTGCCGTATGTGACCGGTGGGAGGAGGTTGCTAAACTAACCTTTTTTGTGTTTGTTAAGGAATTTTTGTATTGTTAAGAGTGTGGGCTCTAGTCGATTGATGTGAGAAATATCTATGTTCGAAAATATGATTTTCTATTTGGATTCGAGGACGTTAATTTTCTTAGCAGTGTGGGATCCTGGTTTAGGGCGATTAAAATACAAACCCTTTTGTTTTGTAGAGGTGGTTTATTTTGGTCTGAAAATTTAGACGATGACGTTTACTTTCGGTGTTAAAAGTCTTACTTTGAACAGAATATAGTCAAGATTGTTTTCTAAGAAAATTCTTGAACTTTGACAAAGATACGCTGAAGATTACTTTATGATGAAAGAATGAAATCTATTTTAGGAAAGAGTTTGTATTTTACTTAATACCTATGGGAACACTAGATACTATAAGTCACTGTCCAATAATATATTTTCATATTTCAGCAATTAAAACCGCTGTTTGGAACTGTGTTTCTAATCGGGCAGTCAAAATTTGAAATACGTTTGTTTCTCAAAAGTGTCCTCAGTTCTTACTTCTAACAAATCGTTATTAGTAACTGGTGCAAAAAATGTTTATCTGTTGCATGATGATAAGACGGAAGGGTTTATCAGTGATATAAGAAAGTGGTGTTAGTTCCATTGCTGTCTATTATTAAAAGTTTTAACATTTCAGCACCCCAATTTTTGCCTGTGGTTCATTGAAGGATTCGGATTTTTATATAACATTCTGTGAATTCTGTAAATGAAACGAATTTTACTTCATTTGAGTTTTCATATACTTTTAAAAATAAAAGTTGATTTTTATGATACCAGAGATTGCCCTGTATTTTACAAGAAATCTGGTCATTTGATGAAAAGGAAAAAAACATTACTCATAATTAAAATGCGGAGAATATGTTTTATTAAAAGATCATCTTTAAGATGTTTCAATAAAATAAGGAAATTAGACTATATAACCGATTGATGTGGTTTTCTTGGCTGCGGGGATTATTTCTGAATCGCGTTTAAATATTTGCGGCTAGTTTATAAATTTATGTTAATGAAGGAAATCAATTGTCAATAGTGTCATAATTTGATGCGATTTCGTACCATAAAAAATAACAAAAATTTATAGTTTTGTGTCCTGTTAAAATCTTTGCGTATTTTTTTAGAGGCTCTACACCATTTGATTGTTCCATCAACGATTTTAAATCCGCTTGTTGAATGAAGCCGGCCTGGAAATAAGTGAAAACGAGCTCTATATATTTAAAATTCAATAATATGATTTTCTGTATATACTGCACTGTTAAAATTTCCTTATAGCTCAATAACATTTTGTCAAATTCCCAGTAGCAAAACCTGTAAACCATAGTAAAATCCATTACTATGACAAATAATGGACAATATATGAGCATGGAATTGTTTTCTTAGAATTCAATTCTATTCACTATGGCCATTCCAATTATAATTAATTAGCATATTTAAGTTACGGATCTTCAAAAACAGCATGCAGACAGGCTCCCAAAAACCGAGGTCATTTTTTGATTTATTTTGCTTTAGTATGCTAGTAACCTAAACATATAATACAAATTGAATACTAGATTTGGTAGGTACCATCATAAATAAAATTTAATTCAATGACCATTAGTGTGGCACATAAAGTAAGAAGGCGTCATTGTACAATCGATTTTCCTACACTTTTGCGGTTTATTATTGAGTACATTTTCCTCTAAAGCCAAAATGAAAAATTTGTAATTTTAAGACCGTATCTCATTTGTTGTTACTAGTTATGGCAATGTTTCAATTTTTAGACCAAGAATTCAATGGCGTAGTGATTATATTTTCCTCAGGACCCACAAGAATTTAATTTTAAAATGAATGTATGGTTTAATTGCAACATTTTTCAAGCATGTATTAAGATATATGTAAATTTGAATCTGATATGGCATTTACAGTCCATTTTCGTACTAGAAAGACGGAAAACAGTAAATAACAAGTCAAATTTAAAATAAATACTATCTTATCTCAGTGTTAGTAAACAAATTATAAAACTGTGTACATTTTTTTTTCAAAGAAACTTCCACAGGCTACCGTAATACGTTTTACAAATGCATTCCTCCTGCGTCGGTTTTTGCTGAGTCGAAATTGCTGATGTTTCGCCAATCATCCTGTCGGCTTCTTCAGAGCTTGACTGAAACTGTTTCAGGAGTTTTGTAAAAAGTAATTATTATTTGAATGCCATTCTTATATAGTACTGGCAACAGACCAATACCAAATTTTATTTGAAAAACTTGTTTTGCAAGTATTTTTAGAGCATGATTCACGAGGTAATCTAAAGTATGAAAATAGACGTTTTATTGTGGTTTATTTTTGTATTATTCTCTTGTGTATATGTGTAATGTCAGCAATATCCGAACAATGTTTTATTGCTTAATTGGACATTGGACATTGCTTACATTGCCTGGGTAGTGCCAGCAAGACCCGATTTTCCACAATGCCAGTATTTACCTTTAGGGTACTCATAAATTTTGAAAACCAACTTTCATGCATCATGTTATCATCAATGTATGTGAATTTTTTTCTTGGGTAGTTCGATACTAACGAAATACGTATTCGGCATTTTTTTCGATTCGAGTTATTATCACCATTCGGTTCAAGATCAAAAAATCTTTCAAGAATTGTTTCAAGCTTTACAATACTGTAATGAAGTAGCAACAAGCGAATTATGAAAATTTTGGTTGCGCCATAGTTCGGTTAAAGAAAAAGTAGCTCGTACCCATATTTTCCTCTTTTCTCCCGATAAGCTGTCTTCACTTACTTCTCGGCACGCAATACCTCTTATACCCAATAGGTCGCTCCTAAAGATTGTGCTCCTCAGTCTGATTGTAAGATTGCAACATAAAACTTAGATATCAAATTGCAAATTTGATTGTTCTTTTGTGGTAGTTAGCGGCCGGCATTTCGCTGACAAACGGTTATTCTTTTAAAACGCAACAAGACGCGTCGACAACCCTCCTCTAGACTCCAGTCTGATATAAAGATATTAGTCATCGTGCAGAAGAAAACGAAAAAAAAAAGGCAAACAAAAGGACTCGGTGTTTGTTCGAGAAACTATCCAGTCAGCACTTAACAATATGTGTGTGTGTGTATCTAGCGGCGACAGTGCGATTGTACTTTGGCTTTGTTCGATATTTTGGCGATTCCACGGTTTGTGTTTGTTCTGTGCGAAGGGGGGGGGGGGGCTAGGTTTTTGGGGCAAACCATTTGTCAACGACTATCTCTGCCGCGAGATCGATTGTTGCGAAAGGCTGCCACGTAATTTTGTTGTTCAAGGGCGGATGGTCCATTTGTTATCGCGATGTTAAGATCGAATGTATCTTAGAAATGAGCAATAACTTTCGGATTGCCACAAGTGTAGAGTACACACGCCGCACAGAGGCGAATTTTTCGGGCTACCCGGTTCAAATTCCAAAAGTTCTACGCGAGTATTTTCAGAAATTTTAACTTGCACTTGGATTAAAAACAATTTTTGTACAAAGTTGGCGCTTTGACATTGTTGTTTGCTTAATTTAATTCATTACAGAAACTGTTACAGGAGTTGAGTAAATTATATATATATATATATATATATATATATATATATATATATATATATATATATATATATATATATATATATATATATATATATATATATATATATATATATATATATATATATATATATATATATATATATATATTACGGTTACCTTTCTGTTCATTAGAGCTTTTAAAGTTTCCTAATTTTACTTATGATTAAATTATCCCATAAATTATAGTTAACCAGTTTTTATTATAAATTTATTAGATATATTGAAATGTTGCCAAGTAATATTTTTTAAAATTGGTAGCCGACAAAAATCAATATATCAGTTTTTTTGCCTTTTCGCTAACATGAAATTAAGCTAAATACGGAAGACGATTTGCATTATAGTCACGTTTCCTCTGATCATTTAATTTTGAACAGTTCGATCAAATAGCAAAGTTTCAGTAGTCTAAATCCTATAGTTCAACTTATCGTTTTATCAGGCCTTTTGTCTGTGATTTCTTTTTGAATAAATGTAAGTTAGGTTATTTAAATTATTCTGTTCATTTTGCCACTTTTGTTTGTTTTACGCATATATTGTTGCCAAGGATCCGAAAAAATCTTCTGTGTATAAAAAAAAAGTAAAATAAAAAAATCCCAATTGGCGAGCACATAGTGTTTTCTCAAAATTTTAGCATATGTCGTTTATTTTTATTACAAACGAATTTATATTTCGAAAGATCACCAGACAGTTTTTTTAAATCTCGTAAATTCGCAACAATAGAACTCTCGACCAAAATGCGAAAGACTCAAATGATATACGTAAGTGTCACGTGTTATTAAAGATTAAAGAACAAAGTTTCGGTAAACATACGGGTAAACAACAATAGTCGGCAGCAAAGTAGCAGTAGAGAGCGAAATATAATAAAAAAATTCAAGCGGCGGATGCTGAGAATAATAATCACTGAGAATCGAACAAAATCTGCTACCTTGGGTATCGGATCATTCTGCTCACTAACCTGAGACAGAGCGAGAAGTTTTTATGTACTACGACTGACCTGTAGCAGAGGGCCATTGTTGCAAATACTATGAACACCCCCCCTACCACCGACATGAGAGTACCCACGAGAAATACCGTGTTGGACCCGTGATAGTCTTCTGCGGGGTCCAAAAGCGTGGATCCACGAGACCGTTTGGTTTGGTTGCGCAGTCGCAGATGCACGTGTGGTTGCGGATGTTTGTGCGTCAACAGCGGCAGACGGTGTGTGGGCGCGTGCGCGTCATCGGCATGCATCGATACACACGCAGCCGCACACGCCGGGCAGACAGATAAGAGAGAAAGAGAGGAAAAGCACAAATCAGACATAAACAACACTGGTTGCACATAACGCGTCGTAACATCGTATCATTTTAAGTCCCAATCCACCAGCAACGGTTTTGAGGCGCGCGGAACCTTCCGCTCAACGACACAAAGTGCCATTTTGGCACTATTATCCGCTTCTCTTCACAATTTACCCAACTAAATTGATTTTAAATTAATCGAGTGAATAGCATTCGTGTTCCATTTGGAAAGCAAGGAATTGATGGATTTTGTAAAATTCATTGCTTTCTTCAGGACTAATAAGGAGGATTTTTCGTGCAAATATATACAGCAGGCTTTAGTATTAGTAAGTTAAAAATGTTTATTTCCTCCTGTGTGATGCGCGATCTACTTAAGTTTTTTTCTGTATATTAATATCGAAAAGCACCCTTATTAGTCCTGAAGAATGCAGCCCAAAATCCATAAATTCCTTATTATATGTAATAATAATAACACCAACCCATTTCCGAGTTAATAAACGAAAGATATCGACTTGTGGTGAACACAGGTCAGTCATGTGTTATCCAATCTGAGGCAATTAGAAGTCGCATATGCAAAACGACCGACACTCCTTTGCGAAGGTTTACCCTACAGAGAATCGTAAACGATAATAGCGAAAATAAATTAATGCACTAACGGAGACAGTATAATAGTTTGAAAATTAACCCTTTGCAGTGCGACGCCGATGTTAAAACCAGGTTATTAAGGCGCAGTGAGAAGATGATTAACGGCATTGAATCTATCTAAATTTCACATATCAGATTCCCGGATAAAGTAAGTAGTGTAGTAGTGTCGGTTCTAAGCCACGTTTGACGGGAAAAGTTGAATGGTCGTGAATCGTTGACTAAGTTCGTTTTACACTAGTTAAATTTGAATCATTAGATCGAGAAATTTGAAATTTGTAACAATTATTATTTAAAGGAAAGAAGTTCATATAAACATGAGTTCGGAATTTGTGCTAAATATACTAAAATTAAAAAATGTATTTCCCTTTTATCTTGTGTTTCCCTGTCATTTACACAAATAGGTTTTAAAGCAAATTTTATTATATAATATTTCTTGAAAAATGTTTCTTGAAAAACCCCCTAAATTGAAGAATCTTCCCAATTTCATAGCTGAAACATGTCAGAGGCGTGCTAGAAAAAAGTTTTGGGGGAGGATAAAAAAGCATCTACCTCTCAAAACGCATCACCTTATAGATATTAAAATTCTTTAAAATAATTAAAAAAGGCAAATTTCAAATTGATGTCTTTGAAAGTGAGTGATATCACTAATATAATAGAATCGTATCAACAGATTTATCAAAATAATTAGAGCGGATAATGCTTTTTGTTTGGCATGCAAGGCGACGACATTTTCAAATTTCAGCTGTTGGTATGGTTGGTTTGTGCCCTGTATGGGTTATGGAATTTTTCGATATTTGAGAGTACAATTTCAATATGTAAAGCGACCGAATAATTTTTAAATTTAGTTTAAGACAATTATTTAGTATAGTGCGTGAGGGTAAACTGTGAAGAAAGCAACAACCCCGGTATTGATTTCTAAGCTCCCATGCGCCTTTGCTAAAAAAATAATATACATTAAATACAGAAAAATTCAAATATTATTAAGTACAGTACACACAGCAAGTCAAAAGTCGATTACAGATACAATCAAATTAGTTCTTGTATATTACAAATTTTGAAAAAAAGTGACAAAATTTCACTAGCATCGCGTTGTCACGGTTTATTAGTTAATATATGGTATACATATATATTTATATAAATACATATGTACGTGATTAACTTGGAAACGTCTAGCTGGACTGCTGATCTAGCAGAGTCATTCATAAATATCCAAACTAGGAGCACTCTATTTTCTTTTACTATTTTAGCTTAATAAAATTCGATTACTATCCTAAATAATAGCATATTTGAAATATTCATGGATAACTAACTGCCGCGAGACTCAGCTGCGAGCTACAGGTAACCAAAAACACGCGAAAGTTTGCCACTAACGAGCGGTTTTGTTATTCTACAACATCACTCCAACGAAAGCGGATATTTACAATGGGCGCATAGTACCATAGTGTGTTTTGAGTGTGTCTGTACCTGTAACAAACAGCCATTAGAGCAAAGCACACGAAAACCAACATCACTACGAGCACCAGGATTCCGACCATGATGATGGTGCTCAAGCTGCTCGTGTGGTTAGCCCCTGAAAATAGCAAGTTTCGATCCCAATTCTAGTCCATCGCGTGTATTTGTCGACATTTTGCCGACCCATCGCGCACAGTGTTCAAGCTGGATATAGTGTTTTTTTGAACTGTCGTTCGTCTTGCAGCTTTGGGCATTACACTTTCATTCTTTGAAATTTGTGATTGAGTGAAACCTAAACTTTTTCTACTCTCTATATATAGAATCAGTGTTATTCGGTGGCAAATGCGCGTATAAAGCCAACAATAGATTACTCTCTCTTTACCAGCTTTCTAAGTTATTCCTGTCTCTAACCTAGTCTTCTTCACGTATAGATTTATAATATTGTGTTTTGACATTTTTAGGTTTTTTAGAATTTAGAATACATTTTTCGCTTTTACTTTTTGTTAATATAGAAAGAAAGAAGTATAGCGATAAGGTTTAGAAAATTTATCGTGGAAAATTTAAAGATAAGTTTCTTTCCAAAATAACGTTAAACACTACTTTTTGAAGTAAATGTTGTTTTTAATTGTTTCGTTTTTCGGATTTTTTCGATTGCCACATATAAACGGAGATTGAACATTTTTTTATTTTTGAAAATAAAATATGTGCCCACAATATTTGTTAAATAGAAATTTTTCATTCTTCTTCATATATTGCAGATTATGCCGAAAGGCAACATTTAGGCACCAATCAAAACGTGTGAAATTATAACTGAACAAAGGGACGTCGAGCATATGCACACAGCACACCGCCCAAAATGCTGTCCGTTTATTATCCCAAGATGCGAAAGCTTATGTACACAGGACACTGCCCAAATATTCGCGACATAATCCTGAATAGATTTAATCAGGTACCTGTAGCAAACGGCCACTACCGCAAAACATATGAAAACTCCCATTACGGAGCCTCCCAAGATGAAAACCAGTATTAAAGTGCTTAAACCGCCCACGTCATTGGAGTCTGTCAAAAGAATGTACGTCGTTTTTATTTAATTCTACATAGTATCCGGAAGTTATAGCTTACAATTTTTTAGTGAAATAACCATTGTTCCGTGTATGGAAGCAAGCGATTTAAATTATTTCAATGTTGCAATACATAAATTTCCTAAACGTTTCAACCATCGGAAAAAAGTTTAATAAACAGGCATGTAATTTTTCGAAATCTTTTAAAAATTGCGATGGATATTTGTACACAAAAATAAGTTGACACAAATAAAATCGAAAATCATCTTAATTATCTTATTATTATTGATAAAAAAAAACAGAAGGTTTACCAATTTTTCACAGTATTGTTCGTTTGGCGTTACCTCCGCTTAACTAGTATACATACAACATACAGTTCTTAGATACAAAATATAGCGGCTTGATCAAATTCCTTTTTCACTATTTTTGCAGCCAATTATTCTAACGGTACCCTTAGATTAGATCGATTAATTAAAAACTGCTCCTATCTACATGTTACAACTGTTATACAGAATGAAGATTATGTAGAAATAATGCGTTAAAAGAAAAATCATGTATACATGCATATAATAATTAATATTCCATATTCCATATTCACACCAATTTCCTTTGCCCCTGTTTGACTTATAATATTCGATAATTTATAATAACAAAATAAAATTAAAAAAAAAGTTTCCAGAATGACATTGATAAATCATCATCACCCTTCATAAAAATCATCACTTAGGAAGGTTAGGTGATTTCGAAAACATTTGGTCGCCATCATTACAATTTCCGTGATTTATACGTTCCACGATTTGAATAAGTATTGTACTTGGAAAACTTGGAAGATAAATAAGGAATAGTATATAAAATATTTTGGATTCGGATATTTTTCATAATAACTTTGTTGCGGATGATGGAACAAATCTCAAATAACAATCATAAAGACCGAAATAATATGTGCCGCATTAAAATCGGTTATACTTGTGGATTAAGCGTTTATTGATTCCTTACTGATGGGTTAATTATTGTAAAATTGTGTGCATTTTGCCAATAATCACATTAACGTGTTGTGTACTATACTTTTTGTCAATTGTCAAAATAATTGTGCAGCCTTATTCTTTACTTTAAATGTGTCGAAAAACATTGTCGAAATTGTTACAAAGGAAGAGTATGTTGTTTTCATATATTGTATTGCATTGTATTGCAGAATTTGGGGATGGTAAACCAGCCACAGTACTATGGAGAAATACTTTTTTTTAATAAAACACTCTGTAAGTCACATTTTATCTACAGTTCGTAAATATCCAGTTATTAATGAATCATTCATTTGTTCACAAGCTTTGGCAATTCCTCAATACCAATTTTTGGTGGTTTTACGGTGTATTTCCCTTATTAATAAATGTAGCGTGATGCGGCTTTCTTTACCCCGTATACTTTTTTATAAAATCAAAGGTGACAGGAAAAGAAATATCAGAGCTATCCTAGATTTTTACATACAGGATCATTTCGGATAATGTTTAGGCTGTATGTCTTTAAATAACTTTAAAATTTTTTAAAAATTAAAAATACATAACACATAATCGCAATTTCAAATATGGGAAATGCAGATTTAATTCCCTGCCAAAATAAGCTTACTGAAATTAAACTACTAATTACAAAATATTGTTCAACAGCCAAACTACATTAAACAAACGTACCTTTTCCCATGGTATATTAATAAAAAAAATTAAAATTGTATTGAAATATTTTATTAAATATATATATTTTCGTTTAAAAATATTTTTGAAAAAACAGATGAATGAAGTTATTATAAGATATACATGGTCTTCCATTAAAACAACACAAGTTTAGTTTGTACCTAATTATAGGTTAATGGATAACCGAACTACAAAGGGTGTTTTTGAAAAACGAACATTTTCAAAATCACCCTGTATCTAAAAATCCAAAGCTACGATACTTTTGTTTGTGCCACCTTTCATGTCTGCAGGATTGGGTCACGAAAACCGCAACACACTTGCATCACTAATATAGGAGGTGCGCCCTAAAGCCATAAAAAATGGGACACACTGTACATACTTCGGAAGTGGGCGTGACCGACTCGGAAAAAAACTCCTTAAAATACATTTCAAGTCCGAAAACAAAGTTGCGGGCCATCGCAATCGTACCGAATGCATAACGATCTTCCAAAAGACCTAATCCCCTCTCACTTCCCTGTGGCTTAAATCCCTGCCGGGAGATGTTCCAACTGCCAACGATGCGTAATACTGCGCGGGAATTATTTTAACGATATTTCGTTTTGCTTTGCGCGGCTCAGTGAGATTAATTCAGAATCCAGTGACGTGAGCGTCGGATACCTTTTTAGCTATGGAAAAACTTTTATATTATAATGCGTTTTATTCGACCGAAGAGAGTCGAGAAAGAGTCAAAAGTTAAAACGGATTAGCTTTTCGCGCGGGATTATAAAATTAAGTTTCGACGTTGCCGGCCAAATGTCGCGATAAATGAGAGATTTTCGGTGTACGTTTTGGCGTTTTTAGCATATGAAATGGTTGGTAAAGTTTTTCGGAATAGCATTATTTACGGCTGCTTTTTTAAGCCGGCTGCTGCGAAATTATACAAAGTTTCCAACTTTGGCGCGCAGAAATTCGCCACGTTTTTCCTCGGCGAAAACGAAATGGGAACAAAATTGGTTAATCTCGACTCAATATATGGATATTCTGCACAAAATACGAGAACTGAAATCGCGCAAATCTGGTTAAAATCCTTTGGTTTTAATTCCAAGCACTTATTGAATACGTGGGGCGAGTATACCCCAGAATTATAAGAGAGTGTTGAAATCCGATTAACGCCGTATAAGTCAATAGTGTTCTTAATAATCGGCAGGGTGTGTGGTACACTATCTTAGGGTTGCCCCAATATGCGGATCATATATATATATATATATATATATATATATATATATATATATATATATATATATATATATATATATATATATATATATATATATATATATTGCAATAATAACAATAATAAACTTTACAAGTTATATGGGAGCAAATATAATATTATTTAGCATTTTATTTAACTTTAATGGTTCAACAAGAGAGATTTAGCAATATAGACAAAAAAAAACGAGAAATACTAAGACAAGAAAGATTTTTGTCGCCAACATGAGTGATCGACCATGCAAATCAATGTGAATAAATCTACGTTTCATTTGTTTTTCATATGAACTAGTAAAATTATTTATTTTACATTTATTAATTGTAATTGATTAACTGAACATTTAAAGCTGAAAGTTAAAGCTCTGTATTGACGAGACTTAGCGGCTGATTGTTTTTATTTAACAGTTTATACACTAAAATATCGAACAACGGCGAATCAATCAGTTCAGTTTTGTTTTACTTTTATATTTTCATTTCATGTATGTGTTATTATTAGCAACTGATTGAAATTTCCGCATACACGCGCCTATGAAGGGTGCACCCTTCTGATAATACTGATTAAAACTCAACTAAACATCTGTATTCTTGTTTAATTGCATTTGCAGGAAATATGTGATACATTGATGAAATCTGGAACCATTTTTTTGTTACTCTCTTAAAATTCTGAGGCTGCTATACTGATCGACTCGATTTAATTCAGACCGGATCAAACGAACCTTATTCTCGATAATCAATAACCAAGGTGTCAACTACTAATCCCGCATATCATATAGAGGGTACTTAATGGTTTGCCAAAATTTTGTGCAACTAAAAATAGCTCTCGATGCACATTATGTATTTACGATGTCTTAGAAATATATTTAACACGGTTTCTTATATTAAAAAAACAGATTTTTGCTGTGCCTCAAAAGTTTGATGGTTGATATTTTCTTAAAATTATTATAGAAATTATCTCACACAATTAAGACTGTATAATTTAAACAAAAATTGGAATCATCAATGCAGGAATTCTAAATTCCGAAACTTGCACCTAGAAACCCCTTCTATACTTCCCTAACTGGCGTAAGTAAGACGAAGTAAGTAACGAAGTGACAAGTTAGCCATACCTTAGACGTTGTTCTTCACAAATTTTTTAGAAGCAAAATGTCGTCGCAAAATCTTTGTCACAAAATATTGAATTTATAGGAACTAATTAACTTTTGACACAATGCGACTTTTCTTATATGTCGGCAGTCCCCTGGATGTGATGGTTTTAGATGTATTATAAATTGGATTAAATATTAATCATCGATAAGTAAACGTCTCCCAGTTCAAATTGCTGGAAACCTAAACCAATGAAATTGCGCAGGTAATCTAGAAAAATAAACCCTCTTCAATTGAAACGCATTTTAAGGACGTATTAAGTAGTTAAAAGTAGTGGTCACAGTGCGCAACACACAATACACAGAACGACATTTACGTACCGTAGGGGGTTTCTTTCTTTTTCATGTGTTCCTGAAGGTTGGTCGCCGATATGTCGGCCGGCGGAGTGGGCAGGGGTTGGGGTGGTGGAGTAACCTCCACCTGAATTGAGCAATCGGTCCCCGTGAATCCCGTCTCGCAGTAGCACTTGTTCTGATTGGTACAGTACTGCCAACAAAACGATTTCTTCAAACATCGGGTCGTGTAATGGAGTAACTCCTCATTTTTCAGGGGATTGTTAAATAAAAAAAATATTCATTGAGTTTTTTCTGTTAAGTTCCATTAATAACCTAGGCTTAAGTAATTTATACTTAGGGAGTAGAAGAAACCGAATTAAGCTAAAGCAATGGGTTTTAAAAATCAGATCATATTGAAATTAACTATTATTGGAATCTTCCTCATTACAAATAGGTTCCAAAGATGGACCGAACTGGTTCGAGTAAAGTAAGACATGCGAGAGGAAAACCCACCTCTGGCGTTGATATTCTTTAAAATGGAACCGACTATGGCTTCGTGGTTTCTTAAATTCACAAAACATTACAGAATAGGAAATTATCCGTATATCTTGATATCCCAGAAAAAAATGGAGCGGATCAACAAGTAATGACAAAGCTTCCTCAAATAAAGGAGATATGCCGTACCCTTCCCCATCCCTTTCCTATTGTTAAAGTGCAAGTACCAAAAAATTAAGGTTACTACAGGTTAGTTTTTTTTTGTGACAAATTTAAAGATAGGGGCCGAGTTGCCTCTCATACCACCCTGGAGCGCTCACTTACCCCGTGACCAGAACATTCGATGACGTTCGTATTGGACGGGCATTTTTCCTGCGTGATGTGCGGAAATATACTGGTGCACGTCTGATTTAAGCAAATCAGATTTTCGCCGCAAGGCGTTCCATCTCGTACTAACCCCAAATGGGGAAGATCACTAGTCTTTTCTCCACTCGTTGTCGTCGTCCTGCAAGTCGTTAGAGTACAGGGGTAGTCTGGCGAAAATTACAACGACTTACTTGCATTCGTATTCTACCCCTTTAATGGAAATTATGGTCCTAGAGTAGAGTTGATCGAGGCCATCGACGACCGGGTAACGGTTGCCTAGTTGACACTGCAGTGATCCGCAACGCACGTTTTCCGGCGAGCATTTCAAAAACCTGCCGTTGGTGTCGCTGCCGCAGTGGCCGTTTATCGAGCCCTTCGAATTAAACTGTTCGAAACACTCTTGGTCGGCAGCGATACCACCTGCAACCCCATTTTCACTTAAGCAATAATAGTATTGATAATAATAATAGAGCCATAGAGGTATGGATGATACAAAAATCAAAACGAGGAAATTTGTTCAATAAAAGTGACGGCAAAGAGAAATTTCCAACCCAATCTTAGTTTCAACCTATTTAATGATTAATTTTAGGTTATAAGGTCAGAGCAAAGAAGATTCAATCCTCCCCATGTAAAAAACGTACTACCTGTGATCAATTAGTGGCATCTTACAGATACCACATCGATATGGGCGGGTCCAAATAAATATTAAAAAAATCTTAACTAAATATCAAATAAAACGGAATAACCATTTTCTTAAACGATTTAGGAAGTTCCAGAAAAAAATCAGTTTCTAGTTTCGAGAAATTTTAAAAATGTAAACTATATTCGAAAAATATGACATATTTTAAATAAGCCTGTTTAACGTTTAAGAGATATTATTTTTATGAGTATATTTATTACAAGTAAAAATCAGTCTCAACCTCTATTCTAAAGTTGAACGAAGGCAAATATACGGCAAATATAAGGAACATATTGTAATGACTTGTTCTAGGAGTACGTAAACATGAGATTATTTAGTTTTGATTTATTTAGTACGAGCGGCGCGCATCGAAGCGAGTGCTTCAAAAGCTTTCCAAAAGTGTTGCATACTATATTTTTTTACGACTATAAGTTTTAAGCTAAATTGATTAGATCAGAAAGACATAGAAAACATCCGATTGCTCCCAAACCCGTGCTAGTGTTTGGTCGGAAAACCAATATAATTTAAAATACAAATTCTGAAACAATCATGAACTATTCAAGTAAAACCCTCAAAAATTAACCAAAACCAAACCTAAAAAAATTTTGGAGATACTTTTATACCCGTTACCGTACTCAATTAAGCTGTAATCTAAAATGGGATAACTTGGTTTAATTAAAATTTTGTCGAAAATGCGAAATTTTTCATAGCCGTTTATCTATTGCAATTGCATTATAAATAAAATATATGTATGTTATTTATCGGAATTCGACACGCCGTAGAATCAACGGGCAAATTGCTAATTAATCCGATTAAAAATCCCCATACGTTTCGAAACCGCACAAACGAGTAGATAGAAATGGGGGGGCATTTTAAAACGTGAGATATATTGTGGTCGACAATTTCAGCGACAACAATTTTATAAAATCAAATGCAAATTGATTAGTTTATTTTCGGTACGAGCAATTTACAGATAGGCAGCAGGTTATTTTTTTAATTACTTGCCGAATAACAAACGTGCCCAGGATTGATCAGTGCTAGATGACAGCTATCAATGACATTTTATCCTAATGTTACCCGACAAATCACTGATAAAATACTATCAAACTTGCCACTAATATAAATATGCCTATTTAAAAGGTGCAATGTAAAAGACAAAATTTTCAAGAACACTTACTGAAGTCCTAAAAATATTGATAATATAATTAGATATTCGTAAAAACTACAATGCTTATGTTATTTGCTTTGGGTCAACATAAACATGCCTATTTAATAGGTGCAATCTAAAAGAAACAATTAATAAGAAAACTTATTAAATTCATAAAAATATTGATAACATAATTAGATATTCGTAAAAGCTATAATGCTTATGTTATATGCTTTGGGCGAACATTAATTGCGTTTTTTTTTCAAGATGAATGCAGTTCTGGAAAAGTGGTGGAAGAAGTGTTATAAAATACTGCAATCTTAAAGAATGATATATTTTACCATGTAATAAATGTGTAGAATAGAATATTAAAAACATAAAAAGTATGGCTACCTGGAAGCATCTCCATCTATTTAAACCGCTTGTGTAAAATACTGTCACTTTAAAAGTGTGGACGAACACTATGGAAAACAATTATTTAAGATGCTTCAGAGTTCCTTTAGGTTAATACATATAAAAAAACCATAAGAAAACTAACCAAGTAAAAAAAATAACGACGGTATTTCTATTTTAGATATGATTATAAAAATAGGTTGTTATTTGAAAAAATGATTTTCGCTAGTTTTTTAAATTTTAATTTAATTGTTTTTTTTTTCAGCATTCGGTATTATGAATTATTGAAATTTCTAACTAAATTTGTTCGACAGATTATTTTCTACAGCGTAAGATAATAGAGTAAAATTTAAAAACATTTCGTAAGGGAAAAGATTACATATATTGTTCGGTTTCATATCTATGTGCCGCCATATTAAAAACATCTTAATAGGATTGCCCCACCTAAAATTTAATTCCAAATTTTCACGTTCTTGCTACTTTTAGTTTTTCTGTAATAGATGGATGAAGTTCCCGGTGGAATGCTTACCGTAACCCCATATATGTTCACACTGCAGTGCTAGAGTGGGGCACACCCCGTTGAAGCAATATCCAGTGTCCTTGCCACAGGGGCTGCCATTTTTCTTGAACACATCCGACGGACAGTCGCCGGAATCTCCCGAACATTGCTCGGGAAGGTCGCATTCGTTCGTTGCGTCTCGGCAAATGTGTCCCCGCTCCTGAAATGCCCGTATTATTAAATAATTTTCAGTTGAAGAGAACAGGGGAAAAACCAATAGAGTCAAAAATTGAAAAAATTGGTATTACCAATTCAATACGTTATGCGCAGTGTGTATTTTATTAAAGCAAATCGCTAAGGGGAACATCAAACGGACTCCTGAGATATTCGAGGTAATAATTTTCGTTTTCTTCTTATTTAAAATAAAAGAAAAATCCCAGATCCCGAACGAAGCCTTTGATGTGGTATCATCCGAACATGTTATATTTAAAGGATGGAAATTTCTTTCTTCTCCAAGTTGTACACGAAAAATGTTAATGTTCCTATTACGCAGCTGAAACAGTTAATGTTCTTTGAAACAAAATACAAAACCGTTTATCATAGAGAAAAATATAAGAGATTTTTTAAGTCACCATTGATGCAAGATTAATGGAAAAATCCAAAATTTATCTCTGCTAACCAGCCTGCACTACCATCTGAACCAGAAGATGTACCCGATGATGAAAGAGATTTTTAGGAATCAGATTTTTTAGTTCAGTTTGCAGTCTTGTTCTTTTATTATTACGTAGAAATTAATATAATGGTGAAATTAGTCAGTTTTAATTATTCAGTTCGCTTATTTTTTAATAAAAATATCTAGATATCTATCAAGCAAAAGTAGATATTGAAATAGTTTGCTGAAAACTCTAGAAAAGCATCGGCTCCCTATCGTTTTGGATTTTGTTTTCTTTCACCTGAAAATTATCATTTTTGGACTTGGTTAACTTTTCCCCTGTTTGCTTGAATTGTGATATGAGGATCTTTTATGTGTAGGTTTTTGACTTCTTGCAGAATTTAAGTTTGTCAGAATTAATTTGAAGTTGTCTCAGAAATTATGTATGGGATATATAGTTGTCATACAATAATCAGTTTTCCACCATTTTTAATATATATCTATTAAGAGCTGAAAGGTTATGATAATGCCTAAAGCAAGCAAAGAAACCAAGTAATTAGTGAGAATAAAAAACTTTATTATTAGGTATTCATTATTGTTAACTGAAAACTCAATTTTTAATGAATTCTTAGCCATTTTGGCTAAGAATTAAATGGAAATGTATGATAGATCAGAATTTTCTATCATTCACCTAACAATTTTCAAAAGTCGGTTGCCAAGTAAGCATCTAATTAAAATCGCTAATATCACATTTTAAAATAGTTTGCACTAACCAAAATGGAAAAAAATTGACAAACTTTCAAATAAAAGAAGTTCGAGGAAGCTTTTAGTTTTTTCTTGCATAGTTTCTCATAATAACTTTTAGGTTGCCGTCCTTAGCATAAACAAATATTTTTAATTTCAGTCAAATTCCGCATGTATTGCTATACAGAAAATTCAAGCTTCAATTCCCACTATAGATTTAGCTTTTGCGGGTGTTTGATTTGTTTTTCTCAGGTGATTGTTTTTGAATCTGCTATGTGAAAAACTGCAAAATTTATTTTGGGATCTACAGATTTCTCGGTCGAAATACCTTTCAACTAAATTGCTCCGCCTTCATTTCTTTAAAAATTTTAAATTTTAAATGTAAAAGTAAAGAACTTTTTAGGAGTTTACAATGAAACCGCAATAATATTTTCAATTTTTTACAACTCATTCTTTTTTTTTTAAATTTCGGTGAGACGGAAACAATCAAACACGAGAGTTATTCTGTCATACACCTGTTATCCAGCAATTCGGTTCAAAGCAACACCAGCGGCTTTTTCTCGTCAACATTTCACAGGGGTTCTTGTTCGCTTGGGCATTACAGCCTCCCCTGGAGCCCCACAAAGTATCTTTAATCTCCACCCTTCCCAAAACAACTCGGATATCAAAGCCGCCTCCGTCGCCGCCGCTTGTTATTGTTTTCGTGTACTTACCTTAAGTCTACAATGCTCGCAACAGGGTCCCGAAGCGCATTGCGCCTCTTTTGTCAATTTACACGTGATGGGGTCGCAGCAGGGGTCGATGTTGCGACAGTTATCGATACTGCCGCAATCGCAGTCTTCGCCTTCTTCGACTATGCTGTTGCCGCAGGTACGCCGATCCTAAGTACATAAAGAAACATTCCAAAACCCCAGGGTTACATCCCAGATGATATCGCACTATGTCGTTGATGGTACCATAGTTCCAAAGTACTTTTCGTCAATCCCATAGATTACGACAGTTATGAATCTGCCCTTTTCGTGTCCACTAACATGCAGGATATAAGTAGGTACCAAGACACTGATTATTAGCAATCTCAAAAAGAAATGGCAACATGATATACAGGTTGTTTTAAAAGCAAATAAGAGATAAAAGTTCAGATTTTCACGAAATTTTATATTTGTACATGACAATTGTTTCAACAACACCGTGTCTTTATCAAATGTCCACACATTTCATAAAGACACGTTGTTGTCGAAACAATTGTCATGTCAAAATATATAATTTCGTGAAAATCTGAACTTTTAGTTGTTATTTATTTTGACCAAGATACTGATTATTGGCAATCTCAAAACGAAATGGCAACATGGTATACAGGTTGTTTTAAAAGCAATTGTTTCGACAACGCTGTGTCTTAATAAAATAAAGACACGGTGTTTTCGAAACAATTGTCTTGTAAATTTCGTAAAAGTAAAAAGTTGAAAGCAACAAAGTTGAATTTTTTAAAACATAAATCTTTTTTACGACCAGAATAAGGGATACGATACGATATGATACAGGTTTAGGTTTTTAAAATAATTTGAATTTTAGAACCTAATTTTGATTTTTATAATACATAAGATATGTAAACAAAATCTACATAGATAGACCATATTTCATATGTCTAATTTAATCTAATTTATTAACAACTTCAAGTGGCTGTAGCTAGTGTTGGGATTGGTCAATTGACTACTTCTTAATTGACCGGTCAATTGAATTTTTAAAAACATGAATCGATTTTACGACCAAAATAAGTGATATGATATGATATGATACAGGATTAGGTTTTTAAAATAATTTTAATTTTAGAATCTAATTTTAATTTTTAAAATACCTAAGAAGTATATAAGGTATGTAAGCAAAATCTACAGTAGAGTGAATGTAGCCATAGACCATATTTCATATGTCTAATTTAATCTAATTTATTAACAACTTCAAGTGGCTGTAGCTAGTGCTGGGACTGGTCAATTGACTTCTTCTTAATTGACCAGTTAAAAAATGTTTTAAATTACATCTTGCAAATGTAGAGTATTATATATCATTATCTGTTTGCGATGTTCAATTTACCTATAACCGAATACGATACTTAGCGATTCACGGAATCACAGAACGACGAGAAGGTGACGTAACACACAATATAAATAAGTAAATATAAATTTCAAATTATTTTTAACATTATTTTAGTCAATTGACACAAAAAAAGTTCACCAGTCAATTCCGCAACCCTTTTTATAGTTGGGTCTTCGCAAAATACGAGAAATTGTGTTTTTCACATTTAAGTGTATTATCAGAGTAGATTGTAATGATTAGAATTAAATAATTCCCTGCGTAATTTCGCGATGTCAACCCTGATAGTCTGGTCTAAAACAAAAGAAAACATTGCGCGGGTTTGACGTAGCAAAGGAAAATTATATTTCAGCTTTTCGGAGCGCGGGTGTCAAATAGATACGGAATTCATACCGCAGGATCCATAGGGGGTGCCAAATATTTACTACAGCGTAGCACTCCTTTATACGGAACTTAACGACTACAGAGAAATGATTGAATCAGGGCTGGGTTTCATTTTGGTCGATATTATAATCATTTCTGAGAAAGATGAAAACTAAAATAAAAATCAAATTCCACTCAATGAGTAATTTCACCTCAATATTCTAGTATAGATAGGAAATAAGCAAATTCAAAATCAAATATAACCAAAAACTAGTTATTCCTGATGCAAACACCGTCCACGTTTATTTTTAAGTTATGGGTCACGAGAACGATTTTAGATGCCCATCAGAAAATTCAAAATAACTCTTTGAAGATCGAGTTTTAGGTTGAGCTATAAAATTTTTGTTCATGTAAAGATGTAAATTTAGTACTTTTATGGTTCATTGCAAATAGAATATAAGACTAAATAAAAGAAAAATGTGCGAGCTGTTTTCGTTGTTTACATGATGAAAACTAGAAATTATCTATTGAATTCTTGGAACTTCAAAACAGAATTTAGCTTCGAAAATTTTTCTTCTTTAAAATTTTGAAAAACTAAATTCTTTAAGGCAGCTTGTTAGTGTGAAGGTGAATAACATGAAATTTGTAAAATTTTCTGATCGGACGCAAAAGTTCAATTTGAACATAAAAAGATTTGAGCTTGTTCCAGCGTATTTTATTTTATCTCTGTAAACAATTACCAGTTTGTTGGAGTCAAACTATCACCGTTCTTATTTATTTCAGCTGAAAAATGAGGAAAATTGCTTTTCTGAGCTATACCTGCCCCTTCTATGTCGGGGGTTCGCTCGCCCTCCCCGTACATCTTCGCAAAGCAAACTCGCCTGTCATAGGATTTTTATAAGTTCTAAGTTTGGAGAACTCGCGTATAGCGCATAAATCCTTAGTCAAATACGAAAACGCTGTTCGCTGTTGAATCTTTTGGATACGTCTTTTTTCTGCCGCCGGCTTTTAAGGCGGAGTTATTCGGAACTTGTCGACTACGGGACAAATAATCGTTTATCGCGGAAAGATTCGGCGAAGTTACGAAGAATGAAAAAGATGGCAATATTTGACAAAATGTCGGGTTCTTGAATAATAAATAACGTTACGCTATACAAATCAAATAGTTGCAGCAGTAGGTATTATCATTCACAATAAAACAGAATCGAAAAAATGAGTTAACTCGTTAATTGCAGATTATTTGTGTGAAAATATTTTGACTTTCATTAAGCTCTATGCTTAGCAGTTATTACGTATTTGTTTGAAAAGTCTCACTTATAGTTATTTTTATATTTTTTATGTAAATTTTGTAAATGAAAACGGCATACCAGAAGAAAATTTGGGTGATCTGCTATTATCCCCAATTAAAAGGAAAAGGTGGAAACTATGAAAAGTCACAAAACACTTTTAGCCGTCGTCAATGTCAATACATGTAAAGTGAAATCAATCGAAACTCTAAAAATTGACAACAAACTTTTTAAAACGGTTTATAACTAACAATTTCTTCAGCAATCATTTGTTGTTATCAACTTAAATTTTTACCATCGCTAACCAACGTTACTAGTTTTGGTCTGATTGAATTATGGTTTATTTATCGATATCTATTGATACAAAGAAAAAATATCTATACATTTTGCCCATAACATTTAAAATTTTTGTTGTTATTTAACCCTCTTCATTTTTTAAGTTGTATTGTATTGTCCCGATATTTCGATATGGCTTGCTGCTTAATTTTTCTAAACTCATCATAACCCTTAACCGTGATATACGAACGGAATCATTGTACATGGCGGACGTTGTTCCTGTCCATTCCATTAAAGTTAAAAATCGGTTGAAAAATTGTGTCGTTTAATTTAAAATTTTGATTAGCATGTCTTTTAATTGCATAGTTAGAGGCGTGGTGCCTATAATTCTATGAATTATTGTTTGTTTTATGCGGATGTCTCTGGATTTGTATGGTGTATTGGTCGGTTGTGTGATCTCTCATATTCACGCTGGTATTCAGACCAGATGGGAACGGATATCCAGTGTGAGATAATTGCTGACCGAACGATCTTAAGCTCAGTATTTAGTAGTTAGATAGTACTTTAAATAATAGATTCAGCAATATTTCTGAAAAAAAAACACATTTTTTTATGAAAAAGCAAATAGCGTACAATTTTTTTTAAAGGCCTTGTAATTCATTAAAATATCAAATATTTAGAAAACTGTTAAGATTAGTAAGAGCATAAGGTATAAAATGTATTTAGAGTCAACGGTAGAATTGAAATATTAATAGCAATATCCGGTCTAGCCCCATGATTTGCAGTAATGATGAAACCAGCAGAATCTTCATTGAAGTTAATCCATTCTGAAGAACACTTATACTTATACACTTATATAACAGATACTTAAATTACATACAAATGTAGATATTGATGCACAAAATAGGATTTTAAAATGTATGTATATGTAAAATCTGCGCATTTACCGACTTTGTGTCATAATCTACCTCCATGTTTTGAAAGGACGTATATGTTTATGCACAATGTCAACTGACTGCCTGATGAAGTACGTCCGCACATTGTGAGCTGACTGAAATCCCGGCATGAACGCTCGGATTCAAGTTTAAGCGACATGCAATTTGCATTCGATGTAAAACTTTATTAAAAATTCCGCGACATTCAGCTCCTCGTTTTATGATTCGAGATAACGGGAATTGAGTGATGTCGGAAGAAGTACAAGCACGGCATAAGCACCGCAGAGTGGGGTACTGAATTATAAAAAGGAAAAATTCTAGACTTTATGTAATTTGATGTTTTTTGCTGTGAAATGATTTTCGAGTTATGCACAGATACGAGGTTTATTTCATAGTTCTTCACGTTGTGACTTGAACACTATCTCAATATGCCAATGTTTGATTAAACTCGTCTGAATTGCCACAAAAAGGGAAGAAAACTCCACTCTAATAATAATGACTAAAACACATTTCCTAGGAAAATTTCAGCCAAAAGTTCCTCTCTTAATTATTTTAGAAACTAACCAAAACTTCAGTTGTTCGGAAGTTCATAGTAATTATATTGTTTAAATGGACCGCCCTCCTCTAATCAACCTATATTATTAAATTTGTTAACTCTAAGATGATTCCTATCTAAATAAATCTATGCCTTATGTGGAGATACATTGAATTTTGTTCTGGTGATCACTTTTAAAAAGCTGTAAGCCCATTGTAGAAACTTTAAGAATATTTTTTAGGATATACGCGACAAAAACAAATGTTGATAAAATATTTTAGTACACGATTTACTACTGAGTTTTCGATTAAGTCCATTTCACGCAAATTATCAAGAATACAAATTGCGTCACAATTAAGATGAACACCATCAGATACGTGTAGGAGACCGCAGGTTTGGTTTTGCTCACCTGTAGCTCGTTGGGTTTGTTCATGAGGCAAATACCGTTGCCCGTGCGCAGCCGGTCTATATAGTCCGACATGCTGCACTCGCTGAATTTATATGGCTGCACATTGTCGAGGCCCACGATGGCCTTGGCCATAATGCAACCGTGCCAGTCTTTACAAAAACACTCTTCTCGGCCATCGTCGTGACCCATTCCGATGTTGTGCCCGATCATGTGGGCCATTGTACCTTAAATGAAATAAAAATATATTAACACTCAAGAATTTTAGCCGTCATGTTTTCAACTTTTTTCTTTTTAAATAAGCGGAGATCTAATTGCTACGTTACTTCTATGAAGACACTTTTAAGAATTGAAGAAAGAAAAAACATCATCTGAATTGCACTTCCCAATGAAGAAAAGAAAAAATAAGCGATTAAACCAAAAATTATACAGAGTAATTCAAGAATTGTTGGAGTGCAAGGGCTTAATTTTGCACAATGACATTATTTTAGGTTTGTCGAATGTATTTTTTTGGCAGATTCAAAATATATAAACAACCAAAACTAACAAATGAAATTAGAGGTGCTCTAGAAATGAATATTCCGGGCTAAGATCTGGATTAGTATCTTAAAATTACGTGAATGACATTCTTTTTTTAATATAACAACTTCTGCAGTTAACTAATACTATTTGAACAAAGACATTTCTTGTAAGAAAACGCATTTAAATTAAGACAGTAAATTGGGACAAAACATTTAATTTGTTTAAAAATTCAAAATTTAAGCAGTCTGAATTTCCTTATGAAGCAGTGCCTAAATAAAACGTAGTTAAAAATTAGTATATTATGCAATAGGTGCGGTAAAAGGCATTTGACGCACTAGTTTATTTGACACGGGCGGAGCGAGTGTTTAATAAATGAGTGAATTAGATAGTCGGCCGATTGTGTTGCATACTATACTTTTTCTACGACCGTTAGTTTTTATTCACTGTCACCGTCAGAATTGACAAACATCAAAATTCAAGGCGTGGGAAATATCTCCGAAAACATCAGATTGCTCCCAAACCCGTGCGGTAAAATCTCGGAAATGTCCGAAGTAGCTCGGATCCGTGGGAAACGAAACTGACGTAGTAAAGCAACGCTTTCTGCAAGCTAGATCGGTGTATAATTAAGTATTTTACAGACGCGAGTAGAAAATAGTATATTATGCAACAAGTGCTGTAAACGGCATTTGACTCACGAGTTTATTTGACAGGAGCGGAGCGAGTGTTTAATAAACGAGTGACTTAAAAAGTTTACCATACGTGTGGCATACTATGCTTTTTCTACCACCGTTTGGTTTTTGGGTACATTTTCGCAAAACATTCACTGACATGATCATCAGAATCGAAATATTTCCGAAAACATCCGATTGCTCTCAAACCCGTGCGGTAAAATTCCGGAAGTGTCCGAAGTGGCTCGGATCTGTGGGAAACGAAACTGACGTGGTAAAGTGACGCTTCCCACAAGCTAGATCGGTGCGTAATTAGGTATTTTACAGACGGGAGTAGAAAAAAACGTTTACCTGCTAGCAAGTGAGGTTCGTAGGTGTTGATGTCCACGCTGATTCCCACCGATTTCGGAGTGCAAACCATCGCCGGAACAGCAATCCCAGCCTCGCCGCCGACAAATACTTCACCGGTCAACAATTGCGTCGTGTCTTTGTCCACGTTGAACAATTTCCTCGTCGTATATGTGTTAAAATTGGAAAGTGCGTCGCCGATGTCTAAGTTACGATCTATTTGGGCCTGGTTTCCACCTAAAGCATCACCGGTTATTTGCGACAGTTATTTGGAAGCGCATTTTAAAAAGAGTAATGTGAATCGTGACGCTATTGGTTAAGGCTACAACAATTCCAAATTCAAATTATTAAAGTTTCTGGATTATGTGGTGTCTATATTGGTGCATTAGCGTAAAATGTGATTCAAATAAGTTTCTCTCGATTCGATTTATATTGTTATACTAAGCACGAATAAGCAGAACTTAAGTTTTGATTACTTTAGTTTTGGATTAATTAAAGTTTTGATTATTTATTCGTTCAGAAAATTATCCGACCAACGCAGTTTATTATTTTATTTGAAGTTACGGATATCCATATCGTGTCGTTTAGGCATCCTGCATTTCTATTGGCTTTTGCAATTTGTTCTCTTATTTCATCCTCTATGTTACTATCATATGATAATTTGATTCCTAAATATTTGATGTTCATTACTTGCTTTATAATTTGGTAATCAAGTTCCAGCTTACACTTCATTGGTTCTTTAGGGATTAGTAGTTATTTAATTTTTTTGACCGATATTTTCATGTTAAATTTCTATGCGTTTATATTAAACTGATGTAGTAATCTCTGCAAATCATCTTCGTTATCCTTTTTTTGTTTTTACATTTACTCTAATTATTTCGTGTAATATAATGTTAAATTATAATGGGCTTAGTTAGCCTCCTTGCCTAATACATCTATGGGGTCAGTTAGCTCTGAATTTACCCTCGCTTCTATTTTATTTCTTTTGTATTTATTTTCGATTCGTTTTATTATATCAAATGGGATATTTCTGTTATAAAGTATATGTATCGTGTATCATGTCCTGTAGATGCATTCTATCAAATGCTTTTTCTATGTCTATGAAGCATAAGAACACTGGCCTATTGTACTCAATTGATTTTTAAATAATTTGTCTAATTAGAAATACTGCGCCATTACAGATCTTCTACTTCTGAAACCTTGTTGTTCTTCAGAGAGTTTTACAAGTGCAGTTATTTTGTTGGTAATAATTTTTGTTGTCAGTTTCAAAGTCATGTATAGGAGGTTAATTGCTCGATATGCTTATCCTCCAGTCTTCCGGTATTTGCGATTTTCGTATTAACATGTTTATAAACGCTATTAGTTCTCTAATTACCTTGGGACCTCCTTACTTCAATAATTCATTCTGTATTCCATCTTTGTCGGCCTATACCGAATTTTTTGAATTTCTTAAGTGCGTATTGTACAATTGTTTTTAGTGGTTTGTTCATGTCTCTTTTTCGATATACTTCACCTCTATCAAGTCTTTCATTTCTTGTCGCTGTCCACGTATCATTCTTCAGATCTCCTTTTGCAAACCATGCAAGTCGTGTTGCATATCTTTTGAGAATTTTTCCCAATGTTCTGTTTTCTTTTTCCATATTAGTGTGTTTGTTTCGTTGTGAATTCTTTTATATACTTCATAGTCTTCTCCTGTTTTTGTAGACTTATATTTGAGATAGGGTCTTGTTTTCTGTTCACATTTTGGTGTACATTTTATTCTTTTTGATGTTCTGTCGGTTTTACGTTCCCCAAGCGCTTCTCTTGTTGCGTTTTTGATATTTTCTCTAACCTTTCTCCGGTGATTTTCTATATTTTCTTCTTCTATTACTGAGTTTTCGTTTATTTTGCTTTCCAATCTTGTTTGCCATATTAAAAATGTATTAATACATCATTAGAAACACACAATAATCCATTTACTTAACTCAATTTATTTAATAAGAAAGACTGGAAGTTTTGCTTAGTTTCTTACTAATTAGTACAGTGTCGTTGGTGACTTTTATTATTAAGGAAAGTGATTTGTAAGGAAAGCCAAATAGTTTCTTAAACACATCGATAATTTTATGCTGTTGTGAGTGTTTGAGTTTACGCTGAGTGAGTTTTTATTGGTATTATTTTATCAATCATCTCTCTGACCTGATATCTATTGCTATAAATATGTTTTATAAAAGATTCCGTACGAATAAGGTCACCACCACTTTTGTGGATGGCTTAATAAATTAGGTGCGTGTTTGTATGTGCTATGTTTATGGACAAAAGTAACACAGTTTAAAGGGTGCCTCTTAAACGCTTTTAATGGGCCATGAATTTTCCAATTATTATTCGAAATCCCCCTCAGAATGGAACAAAGTATTTTTAGAGTCACTGATTTACGTTACCCCTTTGGTAGCAAAAAGCACCGAGCGATCACTCACCTTGCCACGTTTCTATGTACACAACCGACACACGCGTATTTAACGTCCTAAAATATAAGTCCGCAATATTCGCCACTTGTATGGAGTCGTGAACCACGTCTATCCTTGTGCTCCCGTTTCTTTTTTCGAACATCGCCTTGTCTATCACCAAAGCCGTCTCGATGTACTTGGTCGCTTCCCGCACGTCTCTGCGTACTCGCATCTTCGTGCCGCCGGGCAGAAACCCCATATTTGCTGGGTTCAGTCGCCACTCCATGCTGCCCGAATTCGCACACCCCTTGTTCGCCTTGGTCCGCGCCTCGAAGATCACGTGAGGGTGCTTCTGCTGAAAAAAGAAAGTCGTGCAGTCACTTTGGGTTAGATCGCGTATGAGAAAACAGTATGCCTAGAAATTTGAAAGGACTAAATTAGACTAAGAATACTATAATAAAAATTATTCATTTATAAACGTAGGAAGACGGTCATCATGAAACTTTCTTTTTCAGCTGTTACAGGTATTCTGCAATTTAGATGATCGTTGCCGCCCTCTGCCATTGCTTTACATGTTAATCCAACCCGTTGAGGTTTTGCCTCAAAATTCAAGTTACCTTTCACTCAATCGCAATAGCACTGTAAAGAGGAAGTGATTGAACGCAGAAGAAGAATACTTTAAAGACACTTTTATTTCGTAAAACTTCTGGTTTATACTTCAGACCCTACAGTTTATGTGAATAATGCATTATCTTTCTTTCTGCTGTTGAGCGTCAATTTTATATTATTATATTATGTTACCAACGAAAAATATAGAGGATTAGTTGATAACGTGAGGTGACATGAAAAAATAAGAAAAATTTTTTCATGTTAACATGGATCCCAAAATGCATAGTTTTCAACACAAATTTTACAGAAGGTTACTAATAAAGCAACTATTTAGTCTCTTGAGTTTTTTTCGTATCTTGCTTCGTTTTAAAAAAAACACTTTGTTGCGTGTCCACATCAATCAAATGGATGAGAAATCACTCATGGGTCAAAGAAGTGTTGGGCGTATGCGAAAATGATTAAAAACCGAGTAGGTAAATTGGATGAAGAAAAACAGGCTTAAATTGAAGAGATAAGAAGAAGAAGAATCACTGAGCATTATCCGATCGTTATGACATGTAATCTGAATGGTATTATCCACCATCTTAAAATTTTAAAAATTTAGTACTTGCTGGTTGTTGACTTTTAAACTGAAAAAGGTAGTATGCTGTTTACTTAAAAAGGTTAATAGAGGTATATATTTCATAAATGTACTACAACTTCCGTCGCATCTACATTTCCGAGACATATTCCATCTATCATCATTCTAGTTCCGTTATGCTATGTTAATGGGTTCTCTTTTCTTTTTTGATAATCGATAACTTCTTTAGATTAGGTCAGTCTCCTTTTGCATATCTGCATAAAAATAGAGTTAGAATTAGATGGAGATAAATAGAGACATAGATAAAGACCAACATTTAGGCTGTTCGTCATTGCGAAGCAAAAGATCTATTGCGGCTCGATATTTTATTAAGGTTAGTCTCTTTGTGTAGCTCGTTTTCTCTGGTTTGGTTAATTCGTGTGTCGCTGTTTTCTACTCTTCTTGACAGAATCTACATTCAGTGTTTTCTTGCATTCCCATTACCCTTAGAAGATCAATTGTTGAATTGCTCCAATGTTGTGTATACTGGTCTTGATTTCGTATATGTTGGATACTTTTTTAAGAAATCTATTACTTATTGCTGTCCAAAAACTACCAACTATTGAAAACCATAATTGTTGGTAAAAAAATATTAAGGAAGAAGACAAAATTGTCATATGCTACCGCCTACGACCAGAATCTATAAATGATATTTCTAAATTTACTATAACAACGTCAGATACATCTTACACGTCAATTCTTTCCGAATTTATATACAAAACAGATTTATCGGATCTTCCGGTGGAGGAAATGGTCCTTGCGTTTCTCTTCTGCTTTTAATATCCGTACGTATAAAAATAAATGATATATTTCCAAGCGGACACCACGGAAACGTAGTAATGGGATTGGAACGTACGTATGTCCGACTGGAAAAGGTCCACCCGTAGTGCTTTATCAGATTGAAGGAAGAGCACGACAATAATGGACATGCTGTTACCATCTCGTCAATATGGCCCTACGCTTTTTGTTTAAAGTTAGCAACGGGGAGTGAATTGCGTTCTTTGAAAAAGCCGCAGGTGTATTTGTGGAAGAGAAACAAATTCTCGTATACTCTTACCAATACAATATTACGTCAGGTAATATATTATTCGAATAAAAACTAAGCAGGTAATGTTGGTTAACAGATTATACCAAACGGTACAGCAATTTTATGGTGAAAATAATTTTTCAAACCTTGGTCTATAGCAAAACTGACCATTTAATAAATTAATAATTAAAGCAGTGGAACAAAACTTTTGAATCGATATTAAACGTATTTTAGCTTTTCTTGGGTTCCATTTAAATAGGGCAATTTTTATGTTTTATCTTTATTAAGCATTGATAGTCTTTTTCTTTTTCCTACGTTAGGACTAAGCCCTGTGTTTCCGTTAATGGTTTTCCAGGAGCGGCATCTGTTTTCTCTTTTGCAATCTTAACTAACCAAATATTTGACGTTCTGTCTATGTGCTCTCTGCAATCCCTTCTCCAGTTTCTTGCCCACTTTACTACATCTTGAGTCTCACATGCTAACTTTTTCACTTCTCTTTCGGTCAAATAACGTATCGATAATTTCTGTTGTTCTGAAAAGTCGTTTAACGCATGTAAAGCGCATTAATTATATGTTGTTATTTATGCAGGAGCTTTTGTTAGTTATCTTTGTCTTCTGAAATTATCACTGCGTCATTAGCATTAGCATTTGCATTACTTTTATTTCTTTATTTACTATGCGGTTCCCCTCTCCAGAAGCCTTTACTTCCTTCTCCTCTTTGTCTGATAACGGTAGAAATAATTTATTTATTTGCCGGTCTCATGTATGGGTGTTTATCTCTTCAATGACTTTTATTATATTGGGGTGAATGTTATGGTAAGATCAATGAAGGCTGTCTAATTCTATGGTCTTTTCAGTTATTTGGCGGGGTACAAATATGGCATCAATAGCCAAACTTGTTGCTTCTAAACTCTTGCCGTTTTCAACAAAAATTAAACTCATGCAAATACAGCATATCACTGTAAGACACAATTTCGAATAGTCCACGTTGTAAGTTTTGTTTTACGGAATATAATTGCACTGTCTGAAACCAGCTTTATAAAACTATGTGCCAGTCTAATTTAGTAGCGAAAAGAACGACATAAAATATTCTTCTTAAATCCAAGTCATCGGTAAATCGTAAACTGTGGATTAGACCAAAAACCGACAATGAGAAACAGATAAGACAAAAATGACAAAAGCGTAAGAGAAAAGTCTTAAAGCAACTGGTGCAGTACAAATTCGCATCTTTTTTTACTACCCTGACAGCGTCTCCAGTCTGTGTTATCGTTCGGTTCACATGCACCACTTAAAACAATATTCACACAACATTTTCTGCAACAGACTCCATTGCAAAGCGAAATCCGCTGGCTCAAGTTCCTCATAAGCGAGATTCGACGAAACTAAACCGAGAACCGACCATTTGGCGTTTTACGTCTTCGCTCTATCGCTCCTTAGCTACTTCTCAACTCGCTTTAGTGGCAATAATCATAAGTCGTAAACGCGGAGAGTTTCCATAAAGTGTGGTCCCGATTGCACACGAAGATTTACCGAAAAGTGCTGCATACGAAACGATCCGGAACGGAACTTAGAGGCGGCTAGTTTTAGTTAATTGCTTACTTAAGATTTAGTATCGACTTAGTCATTTTTGTTTTCAACAGTGAAGGAAGGAGCCGTCGCAGATTTCAAGTGGTTCTCTTGGTTTTGTTTGTGGTCATAGAGTAGTATACAGGACAAGATCAAATGTTTTATTAGTCGTTATTTAGACATATATTAATTACAAACTCTAAAATATAATATGTAAACCATCACATACGTTAATTGTTCTCAAAAGTAAGTTAAGTAAAAAAAAGATATACAAAAGGAAGTATGAGAATTCTCATCTAACTAACTACAATAACTATATATATAGGTCAGGTTCTATAGCGTCCTACGTCTTCCGGTTACCAGTTTCCATTCCTTTCGATATTCCCAGTCTCCTGGTTGTAGGTTCCTTTCTGACATGGCTCGGTGTATTCCGTTTAGCCTTCTTTCTGTGAGAGTCCATTTTAGAATTTGCTTCGGTAATCTTACTTCGCCCATTTCTCTCTACGTGGCCATACCATATAAGTTGTCGTTGGTCTATTTCTTCAAGGATGGTTGTTTGCTCTTATTCGTTGGTTGTTTTCTCGATCCATCCTTGATTTACGGACCGCTCTGCACCAGAAGTCCATTTCTGAGGACACCAGTCTTCTTTTCAAGGCTTTGTCTAGTTGCCATGTTTCGCATTCATGCTTTTAAATATAGCATCATATATAAATTTTTTACTTCTTTTAGAAATATGTGTCGACCAGAGAATAGAGTTGGGACATTCTATGACTTTTTTGCCCTTCACTATTCGGTCTTCTATTTCCTTTCTTGTTCGTCCACTCTTATCCATCTTAGTTCCCAGGTAGTTGTATTCTTCACATGACGTCACCGTAACGCTATTTCCAACTTCCAGATCCTGTTCCTCTCCGCACACGCACATGTATTTTGTTTTATTACAGTTTACTGTAAACCGCCATCTTATATATTCATCAAATAACCTCCTTGTTATAAACTCTAAGTCTCTTGACTTGATCATCCGCAAAATGGAGGGTGCACAGATTAAGGCTTCATTCAAATAAATGTTGAACAGTGTCGGAGAGAGACAGCAGCCTTGTCGAAGGCCTTTTGAAACTTGAAATTTTTCCGATATGTTCTTTCCTATCTTAATTCGAGATGTGACTTGAAGATATTGAAAAAAATATAATTTGATGTGTTTTCTTTTGATGATACCTAGCACACATAATACGAGGTTTTACTGTGTGTAACTTTTAAACTTTTCAATTAGTTAATAATCAATGAAATAATGATAATTACTCTTGTTGAAAAGCGGTATGAGCAATTAAAATGATTCAAAACGAATTCAAAAGTTTAAAATGAACACAAAGTAAAGTATAAAAACCCCCTATTAACATGTACAACAAATATTACTGTAATATCGTTTGCCATTAATTAATAATAAAAATAAAAAGAAATAATAGCAATAACTCCTCCAGAGTTATTATAGGTATCCAAAATTAAGTAAAATAGCAAAAGATTTGATTGGAAAGTAAAG